CAGCTTACATTCAGTAGGCATGCTGTCGTCCGCGGAGACAATTGATGTCATTGCCGAGACATTACAAGCGCATCAAGTTCCCGCCATAGTGCTCGACCCGGTCATGGTATCTACTAGTGGAGCGCAGCTTCTTCCAGAGAAAGCCGTGAAAGAGCTTCGGACAAAATTGCTTCCGATCACTACCATTCTCACACCCAATATCCCAGAAGCCCAGCTTCTACTAGAGGATTCTGGTGAAGAAGCTTCTCAACCTGCTGACCTTCCTGGATTAATTGAGCTCGCAAAGCGGATATGTCTCATGGGTCCAAAGGCAGTTCTACTGAAGGGAGGACATCTGCCTCTCACCAAGGATCTCAAGACAACTCAGAATTCCAAAGATGCAACCACAGTCATCGATATTCTTTATGATAGCGTAACAGGAGAAACAGCACTTTTCGACACAGAATACTTGATTTCCAAGAACACTCACGGTACTGGCTGTTCTCTTGCCTCGGCAATCGCCGCTAACCTTGCCATGGGTAAGGATATGGTGCGGGCGGTGCGAAGTGCCGTACGATTCGTTGAGGCGGGCATCAAAACTAGTGTGGATCTGGGTAAGGGAAGCGGTCCGATCAACCACTTCCACTCGGTTTACACTATGCCTTTTGCCCCGTTGGTGATCCTTGTCTTATGACCACGCATAGAATGATTTGCTGACACAAATTAGTGGTCGATTCGTTGAATATGTCCTGGATCACCCGGATGTCCAACAAGTATGGAAGAAGTTTACCCATCACGAGTTTGTTGAAGGTCTAGGCCAGGGTACGCTACCTATGGAGCGATTCAAGGAATACCTTATGCAAGACTACCTGTATTTGGTGAGTACTCATCTCGGCACTGCATGTTTGTAACAATCTAACGAGATCCATCTAGGTCCAATTCGCCCGAAGCAATGCGCTGGCATCATACAAATCGCAAAGCATGGAATCAATAGCGGCGGTAAGTAATCCCATTTCTATCGCAGGTAGATTTCTGGTATCTAACTCTCGTGACTCAGTCTGCCCAAATTGTCCTCCATATTCAGCGTGAAATGGCCCTGCATCTTGAATACTGTGCCTCTTTTGGTCTTTCCAAGGAGGAAATGGACAGACACCCCGAAACAATCGGTAAGGGGTACCCGGTCCATGATTTCCAATCCTTTTCAGCGTCTAACTACAGATTCCTCAGCATGCACTGCGTACAGCCGATACATTCTTGATGTGGGCCAATCCGAAGATTGGCTTGCACTCCAGATGGCCTTAGCTCCCTGTTTGATCGGATATGGCGCCATAGCCAAGCGGCTCCATTCTGAGAAAGGGACCCTCCGTGAAGGAAACTTGTTCTGGAAATGGATCGAGAACTATGTCGCCGAGGACTATTCTGAAGCCGTCAGGCTCGGATCAGGTAATAAGATGACTCTCTATTGAAATATCTCTTGAATAAAATTGGACTAATTGTTTCTTTTCTTTGTTAGCGCTGTTGGAGGAGCACATGCATAAGGTATCCCCCAGCCGCGTGGAAGCTTTGATTAAGATATTTGTCCGAGCGACTGAATTGGAGATCAGCTTCTGGGACATGGGATTGAGTGACAAGAAGGTGTGAAGTAAACAAATAGAAAGGGATCAATATCCCATGCAATATCAAAATTCATTTTCTATTTTGTCAAAGTTTAAAATTGATTTTCGTTCCAAAACCAATCTAGACTAATCACGTGAGGACTAGTCCCAATCGAGGACGGTGGTTTTTTTTTTTTTTTTTTGTCGCCTCCTTCCGCTTTTCTCCCCTGGCGCGACGACTTTTTTTCTGTTCCTTCTAAGTTCTTTCAAGGACTTATCTTCACACACCCCTTCCTTTTTTCCCTCTTCATTTCCTCTTGGTTTCTTTTCTTTTCCCAAGGTCAATCCTCAGAAAGTCTACGAAACCTTCTTTCTCTTATCCATCATGTCTTACGGCGGTGGTGGTTATTCGCGCGGTGGCGGCGGTGGTGGTGGTGATTCCTACCGGTACGTTTTGCTGAAGTTTCACACGCAATTTTTTTTTCTATTATTGTTCAATCCATCTCCCTGTGTCCAACTTGCATCAGGCTTCTACTGCATTAGTCTTTCGTTGGACGCGTATAGCACTGATAACCCGGCCCTGATGTATCAGGCGCCATTGGGCCGGTGGCTATCATCTCTTTGTTATGACTGTCCATTTTCTTTTTTGCCTATTTCCCTATCTTTTCCTTCTAATCCAACAATGAAAACCTTAGCTAACATGTTTTTATTCTAGCTCCCGTGGAGGCGGTGGTGGTGGCTACGACAACGGCTACTCCAACGGTAATGGCTACTCCGGCGGCGGCGGCTATGGTGGTGGTGGTGGTGGTGGCTACGGCGGTGGCCGTGGTGGTGGTTTCGGCGGCGGCGCTGGTGGTGATCGGATGAACAACCTCGGCGCTGGCCTGAAGAAGCAGGACTGGGGTAAGTTTCAAATCCATTTTGACGATATGGTGATTCCCGACCGCAGAAAACTAACAACCAGTCATTAGACCTTGAGAGCATGCCTAAGTTTGAGAAGTCTTTCTACAAGGAGCACCCCGATGTCACTGCTCGCTCCGATGCTGAGATCGATGAGTTCCGCAAGAAGATGGACATGGCTGTTCAGGGCCGCAACGTTCCTCGCCCCGTCGAGACTTTCGATGAGGCCAATTTCCCTGCCTACGTTCTGTCCGAGGTCAAGGCCCAGGGCTTTGAGCGCCCTACTGCTATTCAGTCTCAGGGTTGGCCCATGGCTCTGTCCGGTCGCGATGTCGTCGGTATTGCTGAGACTGGTTCCGGAAAGACCCTGTCCTACTGTCTTCCTGCTATTGTCCACATCAACGCTCAGCCCCTCCTTGCCCCCGGCGATGGTCCCATCGTTCTGGTCCTGGCTCCGACTCGTGAGCTTGCTGTGCAGATTCAGGCTGAGATCACCAAGTTCGGAAAGTCCTCTCGCATTCGCAACACCTGTGTCTACGGTGGTGTCCCCAAGGGTCCCCAAATCCGTGATCTGTCCCGTGGTGTTGAGGTCTGCATTGCCACTCCTGGTCGTTTGATCGACATGCTGGAGGCTGGCCGGACTAACCTCCGTCGTGTCACTTACCTGGTTCTCGACGAGGCTGATCGCATGCTGGACATGGGTTTCGAGCCTCAAATTCGCAAGATCATTGGCCAGATTCGCCCTGACCGTCAGACTTGCATGTGGTCTGCTACCTGGCCCAAGGATGTCCGCCAGCTGGCATCTGACTTCCTGAACGAGTACATTCAGGTCAACGTCGGTTCTACTGACCTGTCTGCCAACCACCGTATCAACCAAATCGTTGAGGTGGTGTCCGACTTCGAGAAGCGTGACCGCATGATCAAGCACATGGAAAAGATCATGGAGGACCGCTCCAACAAGATTATCATTTTCACTGGCACCAAGCGTGTTGCTGATGAGATTACCCGTTTCCTCCGTCAAGACGGATGGCCCGCACTTTGTATGTCTTTCCCAAGGCTCATTCGCTCCATTGATATCATTTTGCTAACCTTCCTCTAGCCATTCACGGTGACAAGCAGCAAAATGAGCGTGACTGGGTCTTGAACGAGTTCAAGACTGGCAAGAGCCCAATCATGGTGGCCACTGATGTGGCTTCCCGTGGTATCGGTATGAACAAACTACAGCCCCCCTCCCCATTCCTTCCCCCTTTTATCCCCCCCCCTGAGGGGCCCTTGAGAAAACTCACCCGTGTTGAATGTTGAATTATACATGTGGCGCGGTGCTCAGCCTCTCTTGAAGCGTGTTGGTGTATACAACGACTTGTCCAGGTGGAATGTCAGGTCATCTTAAATGGTTATCATGCCAGGAGGACCTTGGACTCACAGTGCAGCGTAACAGAAAGCAGATCTGACAGGATTTTTCTCCGACTCCTTTGTTGCAGAGACTCGCAAGCGAGTTGGAGTCTTCACATCCCGACATTGTTCCTGAACTGTTTTTGAAAAGCTGCATTTATCCAAGGTTACTCTAGGACCGCGGTCTCTACCGCCACTTCCCATGGACTCGCTTCCCCCAGGATCTTCTTGAAAGAAATTCCTCCCAGAGAGCAGTGATGCATCAAGTCCTGCACGACTGAGAATAGGGCCTTCTTATGGCTCATGCTATTATTACCCCCACTAATGCTCCGATTTGCTAACGAACCTTTTGTAAAAAAGATGTGAAGGACATTACTCACGTTCTGAACTACGACTACCCCAACAACTCGGAGGACTATGTCCACCGTATTGGTCGTACCGCTCGTGCCGGTGCCAAGGGTACTGCCATTACCTTCTTCACCACTGACAGTATGTTTTCCCACCCATTGCCGTTTGCCATATGGATTACTAATTATTTTCTCCTTTCTGCAGACTCTAAGCAGGCTCGTGACTTGGTCACTATCCTTACTGAGGCCAAGCAGCAGATCGATCCCCGTCTCGCCGAGATGGTCCGTTACAGCGGTGGCGGCGGTGGTGGCCGCTGGGGTGGCCGTGGCCGTGGCCGTGGTGGCTGGGGTGGTCGCGGCGGCGGCGGCGGCGGCGGTGGTGGTTTCACTCAGGGCAACTCTGCTCCCCTTGGTGGCAACCGTCGCTGGTAAATGTCGTTTTGCTTACACTCATGAGCTTGTCTTTGCGTCACCGGTAGACTTCCCTTGTTGTTTTATTTTTCTGCGTAATTCGGTACGGACGGCGTTATTTTCGATGTCATAGACAGTCTTAACATGATTTTACCGGTTTATGGAGGGTCCATTCTGACACCTCATAAACGACAATCCTAGACCTGGGATTCCACGGCCTCATACATGTCGATTCGCAAAAGTTTCTTGTTCTGTCTCGGTGGCTCACTACCTGTTTCTTTATGCAGATGGGAGTACAATTGTATGTCCATAATTCAATTATTTACCATTCATCGCGCTTCCCAGTAGACGTAATTAGAAGTCGAGGCCCCGTATCCTAGTTCTCGAGCCACTTCTTTAACTCCGACGCCAACAGACGATGGGTGTGGCTTGTCATATGCCCGGTGTTATACCAAAAGTACTCCTCCAGCGGTGTGGGACACCCATAAGCCTCATAGTTCCACGCAATGTCGGGTTGATCATAACCAGCGCAATAGCCCGTTGTATTCACGATCCCAAACTCGGACGGATGATCCAAAATCCAACTCAATCGCGCGTGAGCATCAAATACTCGAATTTCAACATCTCTCTTCTCAGCCCCAAACTTCCCCGCTCTCTCCGTCAACGCAGCATTATACCACGCCACCTGCGTCACATTAGGCGTCGGATAACTGCTATCCACATTGCTCGGGTCCCGGTTCATAGGCGGAAGATTCATGATGAGATACGATCTATACCCAAGATCGTATAAAGTATCGATAGAGCTGAAGAGCGTATTCGTCAGATTAGCATAGAAAGTAGGGAAGTCGACGGCGTATTTCGCACTATCACCGACGTCGTTTATACCGATCCAGACTGCCACTAGTGTTTCGCTTGTCTTGAGGAACTTGGAGAGAGTATTGTGGCCGTATGTCGCGTATTGCTTTATTTGATCTACTATTGGGACGGTAAAGTTGTGGTGGAGAGGTGTACTTGTATGTGTTAGTATTTTGAGAAAGAATATGACCTGCGTACTTACTATTCGGTTGAGATGTCTGCCCCTGCGAATGCAAAGTCCCAAAGCTGCTTCTTGCATGATCGTGGTGATGTTAAACCTGGTTTTTCTCCGCATCCCGTGAGGTATTCCACCCAGTTTGGGCCACCTTCTGCAGTTCCGGTCTATAGGAAGAAGGGAATTCAATATCTGTTTTTATTTTTCTTTTTTACTTTGGTTTCTTACCTGGTTCTGGACAATCATGTCGGAAAGCAGTGTCTCTTCATCATATGAGAAATTGAAGCTGTCGCCTATGAAGCTATAGTTCTGGTGGCCATGTGTTCCTTGGACGTATGTGTATGAATCGCCAAACGCGAGACTTAATCTCTACTTGTCAGCCAAATGATTTCCATGGGCTCCGATTGGAAGGAAGACCCATGTGCTTACAGGGCTTTCTTGGACGACCAATTAAACTTCTCTGATGGCCGTGGTATCACAGATGCAACGACCCATGGGACCAAGGAAGTTGCGACTAATAGCGATTTTGGAGAGGCAATCATCTTAAAAATATTATCAATTCTGTCTCAAGCAGTTCCAAGTCTTCAATGTTGATTGACGCTGTCTTGGCTCTGCCAAGATTGTCTATTATATAGATCTGAGCCTGTGCCCAACCCCGCAATCGTGGAATCAAGATCCGGGGCAATTCTGTGAGATCGACGGAAAATATTTCTCCGTCGGTGTTGTTTGCCCCAGCACCGAGGAACTACCCTGTTGCATTCATGCATCAAGAAAGGCGGGGATACAAGGATGTTGTTTAGGTAGCCGGGTGGGGTCTCCAGGTTGGTGCTGAAAAGATGCGCGAAGAGAATACCTGAACGCCTACTACTCTCGTAAAATAGCATCAGATCGCATGACAGTACAGTCGCTTTGCGGTTTGCATTTGATCAAGTATAGCTTACTGAATATGGAAGTTGCTTGAGTTCTTTAGTGGTAGCTGTCTTGTGACGTGTTTTCCAGGGCAGCAGCTCGTACTATACTTTTAGAGATTGTCGAGTATAGAAAGATGGTGTTGGCAACCTTCAAAAGTCACTTGCAAAGGAGGAGTAGGGACCATAATCATAAGGAAAAAAAGCACTGTATGCTGGATAGTCAACAAATCGGGGGTCTTGGTGAAGCTTGGAAGCCGAAGCCGATGTGATGCCTGCCGAGAGATAGTTGAACCTGTGAAGCTGAGATTGGCGGTATGAAGTGTCAAATGTGAGTCAGACTTAGGTGCATAGGTGAAATGCTCATAACAAATCGATCCTGCTTAATACACTGGTTTCGCTTCCAATACGATACTTTCTTGCAAAACTGGGAAATCGTCTTTCCCACACCACATGAGACCCGTTCCGAGAGAGTAAACAAGTGCCACGGAATAGGCAACCAAGATGAGAGAAGCAGGTTGCTGTGATTGTTTCCCGAGCCTTAAGCCTAGGTGCATAGAGGGTGTTATTATTCACAGAGTCGCTGCTTGGGCTTGGGCTTGGGGAAAATGCGGCTACAGCCAACCGATGCAATTCAAATTCATGGGCGAACGATCTCAACCTCAACCCTGGAAATTTGGATTGGCTTTGGTTGTGGCTTGGGAACATGAAATTGAAAATAAGATGTCTCATATTTAAAGGTTTCACACATACAAAGGATAAAGGAAATCTTTGCCAAAGTTTATGTGGTGGACAGCTACCATAGTACTAACCTTACGACTGATGGTTCATTAAAACAGCCACTCAAACATTATTTGGAACTGGCCCTTACTATATCGAAGTAAACCCGAATTGACACCCCGTTACCACTTATACACAAATATATCCGAAAGTACGAAATATAAAGGATTGTGACGAGATCGCAATGTATACGAAGCCATATATATATCGACTTCCGAGGTTCAGCCGCAAGGATTTAGAATAACTCAAAACCTGCCGAGTGCATGAATATTGACGTGTCAAATACGAGCCTTATATGGCTTAGTGGTCCAGTCTGAAATCCCGATGCTAGTTCATGGCCTAACGCTCAAAAATTATGCTTAAATGGCCCACAATGAGGCCGTGCGATGCTAGCTTTCCTAGTAGGTTCCACAGCATCGACTAGGCTTAACATGAGAGAAATAAATAAATAAATGAGAAACCGCTAAGCACCGGGCGCGGTAGAGTTGGTCATTGCTTATTGTTTAACGTGACCAGTCATGGTGTTTAACATTAAGTTACGTGGAATCCACCGCCAAAAGGGCCGTGAGAATCATGACTTCGAGGATTTGCCCGACCAAGAATTTACAACGTCCACATGGGAAACAGGGTCACAATACAAGTGGAGAAAGCATGGATAGACACGCGAACCCCAAATTCCAAACCCACGCATCGATCGTCGCCCTCAATATTAAGACGTGCGCTGGTACCTCGACCAACTCACCACGAGTGTTCATTGCCGACCGGCTGCATGTCTCATGCACGTCTCCCAAAGTTTCTCATTGTGCATACAACCACTGCACACTAGAATCCCAAGATGGCAGCGTGCAGTGGACTAAGACCCCATGTATGTCGCGATTGCATAAACGCCGTTGACGTATTGCAATACGGCAGTACAGGAAGAACGAGGAGTTCCCGCGAATGAATCCAGGCAAACACAAGCGACGGAGACCAAAACAAGTCAAAAAGCTAGAACGATACCAACGGTGTAAAAGCACCAAACAATCCAATCCGTCGGGCCAGATCCCGCGTTGGGCCTGAGCGTCAAGCCGTCATTCCCGGACGCCATGCGCTAAACAGCGGCCCCTGTCAGGTCATGGATGCTTGACCCAATTTCTGTCCATGTACAGAGCAGGCGAAGAATATGCATGGAAAATGTAACACTAGTCGGGTGGCTCCGATATCGATCGGAATGTTCAGTTGCCTCGTGCTTTTGACTTTTTCCTCATTTGCCTAGAAGCGATAGGGTATACTAGATGAAGTCATTACACTACCATAGAAGGAATTAAAATCCTGCTCAACCACAGGATTTGACTTTGGCACTCTGGGAGACGTTAAGAATAATGTCATCAATTTATCCAGACTGGGTTGACGGGATTCGGATCCTTGACCTGATAGTCTTAGTGGCTGCTTTTCCCCTCTCTTCGCCCCCTGATCTTAATTGGATCTCTAACCGAGGACAGGACCAAAATAGTACCTTTGATATAAGGGGTACAGAGGTCATCCGGACATGAATCAATTTTCAAAATCCCACTTTCAATCTCCCATTTTGATTCTTTTTTTTTTATTTTTATTCCTCTTGAGGATCATCAGCTGGGATTGTTTTGATTACGCTTGCGCCGAAGTGGCCTAATTCGATCTACCGAAAGACGGGTGAGACTTACCGTGTACGGCGTAGTACGGCCGCTAGTCAACCAAAAAGCAAAAAGCAAAGGCACACGGGCCACGAAGTGGAGCCCGCAGGGATATTTCCTATTTCCCTTCTCTTGAGCACTAAGAGCGCACGGGGCACCAATACCCGAATGGAGACTCGGCAAGGAGGCAAAGGAAAAAAAAAAAAAAAAACCAGCTGAGGTACCCGAGGACCCAGTACCCACTGACAGCTTTGCTTGTTCCCTTCATTTCGTTTCGCCATTGGGGCCTTGATCATCCAGTCATGGTGTTCCCAGACTTGAGTCCTTTGATGGGGCCCTGGGGAACGGTGGGATCGTCTCGAGTCCTTAGCTTTCTCCGGAGTTGACCCGTGGCTCGACCAGTCCATCGTTAACACGTGCATAGGCTCGGACGTAATGAAGCCAAAGTCCCAAATGACCTAATTACCCAAGTAAGATGCTTGACACAATTATTGATAGGCCCCTCTCATATATTACAGGGACCTTCAAATCAAGACCAGAACTGAAAAGCCACAACCGCGGAAAGCGCCTCATAACGGTCGCCGTTATGTGCAAGGGAAGGTCCAGGGAACAGAGCATCTGTTATGCGCTGTATGACCATTTGATTGGTAACCGCACGGAAAACAAAAAGCTGACATCTCAACACCTCAACACCGATGCCAAGCTCTCCTTGGGCATGGACATGAAAACTGGGGACTGAAGTCCACTTTCGGAGGGATCGTCCGAGGTTACAGAGGTCCAGCATGACCTTCCGTATCCCGCGTACTGGAGCCCTGCGGCTGCGGCGTCCAATGACTGACGCGCCATACGGATTTGATATCGATCATCCCGGCTCGAGTCCGGATATCCCGTACCTTGGCCTGTTGCGTCTTTGCCATTTCCTCCCTCCGCGGAGCTCTCCGCGTAAGGCCCACTACGGGCCTCACGGAGACGACTAGATTGCCGAGGCAAGGTCTCTTATCATCGAGGATGGAGAAAGGGTGACAACCTGAGAAGAGGAGAATTTCTGCCGTGAAAGATTGGAGAGGGAGAGGCGCGCAGGATTAATTTGTGTAGACTGCGTATACGCATCAGCAAGCGCCCCGGTGGACAGCGTACTAGGAAATCTTCAATATTCCGCCCCAATCGCCTTGTCCTCACCGGCAGTGAAAGAATCAACAGGTTTCCACTGCGCGGGGGTCGAGATCAAGCACACCCGTTTCTACACCAATCATGGGCCAGACGGCGAAACATGAGCAGTCGTTTCCGAGAAGGGAGCCTTGCATCTATGACCACCAATTGGCCGTTGCTTCGCTATCTAAAGGGGAGAAAAAGATATTAATCTTAGAGTAATTATTACACAGAAAAAAAAACAGGATCCACTTTACCTTTGTCCACGAGGATCCCTCATAGGCCACAAGAGCCTTCAGGAGGCGCCCGGAGAGCCGCCGATACTCCGCTCACACCACGACGAAGCTCAATGGCAATCTGGAGTAAAGCAGACCCGCTGGTCGGTGACCAATTACTGACCAATTGCCCAAAGCTCGACAAGATCGGGGCTTGTTCCACGGTACTAAACCGCCCCCTTTTTACCCTTTGGGGATTTTGGGTTTTGTCCCAAGCTATAATTAACATGATTTCATATCGTATGATAACCTGGATTCTGTACAGAAAGATCAGAACCACGGTAGATGCTTTCTATCAGAGGAATTGGATTCGGAGAAATCTCCTTGTGGGACCATGCAAGGAAAAGGGGGAATCATGTATTTGGTAATTGGTATCGGGTCTCCCCGCTTGCTCGAGGGTGTGTAGAAGCACGCAGAACGGAGTCGAGGACTCCGTAGAGAAATACATAACTCTCATGAATAATGATAATCCTCCTTTAATCCCTAGGAGGTGTCAGGGAGATAGCCTCCGATCACGGACAGTGGGGTTTTGTTGTGGTCTTTTTTTCTTTTTCTTTTTTTTTTCTCTGGGATCCACCGACGCGTTCCTGAGGTACTGTTGATACAGTACGCGAAGAGCCGAGTGGTAAAAAACCGCCCCCAAATCCCAAATCCCATTGTCCATTGATTTTGAGAGACAAAAAAGATCTTATTCAAATAAAAAGGAGACCATAAGCACCCTATGTGATGCAGATATGCCCCCCTTTTACTATAGTCCTTCTGCTCCTCTTCAGGACTTCTACCGAGGTAATCCCGTATATACACCTTACCTTGGAAAGTTATCAATGACCCAAGTAATCACGATCACCGATCGATGCTTCCATGTCGTATATTCTGCCATCCCAGGTAAGTGGATATCCTCTCCAGCAGCAATATCAAGTACGATACCCAAGGTACCGGCTTCAACCGCTTCGGCTTTCAAACCTGCCAGCAAACTTTGGGGCTAAACCTAAGCGGGCCAGGCCCCACACCACACGCACACTAACACACTAACACGCCAACACGCTAGCCACTAGCCCTGGTCTTCCCGAGTTCCATCGCTTCTGCTTCCCCCGTACGCTAGTCCCCACTTAGGTTTAGTTGCTCGCTACTAAACCATTTTGGGTCTCGTTTCCATCATTTGCCCCGAGGTTTTGAGATGAGGTTCTGAGGTTCTGAGGTTCCTCGGGCACGCCATTCCTTAGTTTACCCATGGCCCCCTCCTTTTAAAATTTTTTATTTTCCTTCTTTTTATTTTTATTCATTTTTTATTGTCATTTCTATTTCTTGGTACATACGGTTATTTTGGTTTCCCCCCTGCCCCAAACCCCTCGCACCGTGACACGATCTTGGTTGGTACCCACGGGCAGAAGACGCTAGGTTCACCGTCTTGAGACGCACCCGAGTTGCGGGTAGACTAGTCTGATGAGAGGCTAACCTTTATCACCACTTCATATAAACTGTTATAAAATCTCCCTCCGTTGAGAATCCGTTGGAAGAAACAAGAAAAAAAGAAAAGAAGGAGATTGTATTTGGATTTCGTCACATTTACGTCTGTTGGAAAAGGATCCGCTTTTTTTTTTTTTTCTCCTTTTTTGTTCCCTGGCAAAGAGAAAGGGAAATAATAATGATAATTCCAAAAGGAAGAAGATATTCATATCAAATTCCATAATCAGTAATGGTAATAAAAAGAATACATTATCACACGGACATAGGGAACACTTAGCCGGAAGTTGTGAGGGGAAAGGGGGCCCAGTCCAGTCGGAGTAATGAGTGAAAAAAGGGAAATGTCCGGCCATGATCTGATTTGGTATTTCTGTATTATATGCAGATATCAGGGGGAAGAAGAAGAAAACCTGGATCTCACAATTTTACGTTGCATTCCAAGCAAGTTGACCTGAGTCAGTAGTCAGTGGATAATAAGATAAAAGAGATAGGATTTAATATTTTTCGGTATCGTATTTGTGGCTCCAAAAATACGGTCCACCCGGATCCACAGCATCCTCGGATCCCACGAGGACATTCACCCTGCGAATCGACATTTAGGTGCTTGTGTGCCAGCCCCTCTTGAACTTCCTTTTTTTCTTTCGAGATATCTTTCGTTCCGTGTCTATTTTTCCGCGCCGGTGCCTCGTGCTTACCGCCACCTGCAAGGCATCCTCGTCCTAAAAAGCGAACTAAGATTTAAGCATCGGGGTATCGTTTGAACGCGCTTTGACAAGAACGCGTCGATCCGCCCTTCTTTTTCCCTTTAATCTCCACCCATCGATCTGCGTTTCTTCCTTCGTCTCCCCCGGACTCATCTGTAAGTCATTCTGTCGTTTCTCTTTGTCCAACGTGACTTGTCATCTTGCTCCCTTGCTTTGTACCGATCAAGTCAATTTCCCCGAGATCGTTTTTTTTTTTTTTTTTTTTTTTTTTTCCTTTTTTGCTCCGTTCCAAACCCCTCGCTAACTCGTGGATTCGGGAATAGGTGAAACCCGGTTAAATCACTCCTATCGACTCAATTGCATTCCACTACGCCAATCTTTATGGACAATCGGCCTGCCTCCGAGTACGCACAGTCAGGTTCGCACTTTCCAGGACTCCAGCAACCGGCCTAAACCACCGCGCGCATCATACCAAAGAGACCCATTCTGAACTTCTTCCCACTCGCAGACCAGACTTCGACTGCTGCCAGTGCTCACTACTCTCACAATCACACCCCGCAACCCGAGGCTCGTCCACCTCAGTACACACCTCAACCTGACGTGCGACCTCCCACTCTTCCGGCTGCGAACACACCTCAGTCCGACTACAGCCTGAATCCTCCACCTACTCGTTCGCCCGCCTACCAGGACTACCTCCCTCGTCCTCAGTCCTACACGCCTAACTCACAACCCGGCGGTGTCCCCAGTATGGCTCAAGCATCAAGTTCGTCCCTGCCTATGCCTGCAACCTTGCGCAGCCCGAACCTGAAGTCTGACGCCGTACCTCTAGATCCCTCGCTGCCGGCCAACAGCCCCACCTATCCTCCCCCCTACTCCCCCTATCAGCCCCAGGGACACGATATGCAGTATCAGAGCCACCCGCCGCCTCCACATCAGATGTACGCGCGCCCGGAATGGCCCGGCTACGGCGGACACTCACATGGTTTACCGGGTCCTTATACTTCTCCTGCTACAACGGTTGGTTCCGCCTCCCCTGGGCCTGCTTCGGCAGGATCGCGTCCTGGCCAGGTATGTTTTTGATGATTCCTGGTCCTGAAAAGGCTTCTTTCACCGTTGTCTTGGACGCCTCTGGGGCTTTCGACTTGGTCCTCCGGTCTCAGTCGCCCACCCAGGGATTGTCAAAAACAGCGCCTCCCGTCACTCATTACTTGGGTGGATTTTCTTGCCAATTTTCGATCGCGTGAGGTCTCCCTTGATCGGGTCGCTAATATTATTTTTTTCTCAACCTAGGTCTACTCTTTTGTTCCTATTCCTGGTGCTCAGCAGCACAAGCGTCCTCGTCGCCGGTACGAGGAAATTGAGCGCATGTACAAGTGTGGCTGGAATGGCTGTGAGAAGGCATATGGTACTTTGAACCACTTGAACGCACACGTGACAATGCAATCGCACGGTGCGAAGCGTACTCCTGAAGGTGGGTTTTAATTGCGGTGTTTTTAAATCTTCGCGCGCGGTCTTTTTTTTCTTCGCAAACCCCAGATGTTGTCGCAAATCGCTGGATTGGGTTAGCGCCGGCTGGTCCGCGCTAGTGAGTTACACTAGATCTCGCGGGGCCGCAGTAGCGTGGTCGACGGCGGAGGTTAGCTTGCATCGCTATCCCTTCCCGCCCCGCCAGATTCTTGATCCATGTCACGGACCATCCCTTTTCCTTGCACATTTCCACTTGGACCTTCTTACTTTGATTCTTGTTTTATGAAACCCCTTTACTGACTTGGTCTCCCAGAATTCAAGGAAATTCGCAAGGAATGGAAGGCCCGCAAGAAGGAGGAAGATACACAGCGCAAGGCTGCTGAGGAGCGTGAGCGTGCTGCCGCTCAGGCACAGGCCAGCCATGTCGACGCTCCCGGTGGTCCTTCCGACCCTCAGGCTGCGCAGCCCTCCGCTTACGGTGGTGGTGTTCGCCCTCAATTGCCTCCCATCGGCTACCAACCCGCGGACAGTCAGGTCCCTGGTCAATATGGAGGCCCGGGTGGTGGCTTGGTCTACCAGAGTAACGGACAGATGGGCTACCCTCCCAACTACCCACACTCCCCGTATCCCAACGGTCACGTTTATCAGTCACGTGAGTAAAAGAAACATCAACAACCCAGCGCCATCTTTGCCCGGATCAACCATCCCTCCCCTTTAGGACCTGAACACCTTGATCTACCTTCGACCTCCAAGATCGGTCGGCTGATGACTTCGCTACGGCTCCCCAGAGACCCCAACGACCAGCTACCCCCAATAATCCCTTAATCGACTCTCCCAACGTTGTGAAACGGAAACTGCATCTTTTTTTTGTCTTTTTTCCCTTTCTTTTGTTCTGTCTTTTAATTACGATATCCCATTGCCTGTGACTCATGTCGTCCCGGATTCGATCCCCTCCTTCTCAAGTCTTTTCCCTCGATGATACCAACCTCTGCGGCTATAATCCATCCAGTCATAGAGTGGCTTTCCGACTTTGATCTCTCTTCCTGCTATTCTCCTTGTATTAGAGCGCTTCCAGGCTCCGCAGGAATCTCCACTTCACGAGAAATGTGCTGGAGCGCATCTGTTTCTTCGTGTTCCCTTCCGGTTGCTTGACGCCAGGGTTGTGGCCTCAAGGAATGGTCAGGTGGCGGGCTTTTTGCATCAGTATTTTATGTTCATTGCTTGTGGTATTTTCTTTTTTTTGGTTCCTGTGGGGCATTCCCTCCCAAAATGGAAGGTTTTTGTTTTTTCTTGATCTATTGGGGGGTTTTGTCTTTTGCTGTTGCTTGTGACTTGTGACTATGACTTCACTATCTGCAGGAGTACTCATGGTCTCCTTGCCTCTCCACTTTTTAACGTATATTTCTGATCAGGTTGTTTTGCCTGGAATGTTACCTTGTGCATTATTCTGATCCTGATTCTTCATTTCTTTTTATTTGAGGTTCTTGCTTCATTTCATTCTAAGATTTGCTTTGGCGTACATATCGAACTCTTGCTTATCAGGGCCGTGAGTAGGTCAGCACCGAGTTAAATCGAGTCATAAGTCGAATAAGATCGATGAAAGAAATAACCCGGGCCTTTTCCTCTCTATATGAGTAAAACTTCCAAAACAAAGCACAACCCGACAACAACATTACACAAAGAAATCCGCAACAAGTCGTGGGCCACAGACGTCATCCGCCATATGTTAGTCAGTTTATTCTCAGCCACCAGCTTCGTACCAAACAACATGACAGACCCCGCTGGGGATCAATTTACCCGTAGCCCTAAGCACTAGGCACAAGTCACTAGTATCAGCTGGTCGTAATTTTCAAATAAGGTTATTTTAGAGTTACCCGCCGGTGCCATGGAATAGAATTTTTTTCCCGGTTTTTTTCTTTTTCAATTTTTCTTTTTTCGCTAACCACACTAACCGTCCAAGGCTTGGTTTGGTTTTGGTTTTGGTGCCTTGGCTTTCATTAGCGTATGTTAGCTGACATACATACCAATCACGGGATACTGGAACTAGCGTGGATTTCTGTGATGACATGTTTCATTTGTGTGGGATCTAGGTATCATTTTGTCACTCCGGGATCTCCAAGGGTTAGGTATGCACAACATGAGTCTGAATCATCGATTGATCACATATGTGGAGTTTGGGATCACTTTGTGGGATTTAGGAGCACTATGTGAATTCTAACCATTTCTTTTTGTAGACAGAAAGGATGTTCGTACCTGATTGTACAAAATATACGGATCTTGGAACAGGTTACCTGAAATGTACGTACATTTTCGCCTCCAAAGGTACGTACCAAAGTCAAGGTTTAGCGTGACAGCTAAAGCGACCTACATGAACGCATGAACTCTATAGTGCGAATCTGCAACCAGGAATAAAAAGTACACTATGTGGCTGAGCTGCAGGTACAGCTCGATTGGGGTTAGGGCGCCACGTGTTGAGGTGGGTCTTGAAAACCCTGTCGATCGTCGGACAATATATTCTCTTTTCTGAGGAATCTGAGACTCTACATCCCGTGGTATGATCCTGAGGAGTTGAAAAAGACGATTCCACTTTGGGGGTGGCGTACCTCTGGGAGACTTGATCCTTGATAGAGGCTTAAGCCAGTGGTCGTGGATGGAAAGGCCAACCCCCGTATAATCTCTGAAAGTGTGGGCGGCTCTGGGTGAAACAATGGGAGTTGCTTTGGGGGTTCTTTCTATAAGGTGGAATGAGAAAAGGTAAGAGCACACATAAAACACTCAAGTTAAACATGCAGGGATAGGAGCCACTTCAGTTTGGTCGTTGAGATATGCCCAGTACTTGGTTTCATTGTTAATCTGAAGGTCGCATTACATTGCTTCATGAAAGGACTCATTTGCACTAGAATTGGGACTCAAGAAAGGCTCTCCAGCTCCCATGATGCGAGTGAGAGATTTTCTTGTAAACCATCAAGATATTCAATCCATCATTTGGACACTTGATGAGGGGCGTTTCTTGACTCAAATGAACATCATGAGAATTTTCGGGGGTCTACGGGGGGCCTATGTCTGCACGCAAATATCTCCACCGACGCAGATGCAAGTATCTACGGTATCCAACGATGGTCTGTATACGCATTGTGCCGATCCTCCCCCGTATGTAAGGCATTCAACTTGAGTGATTGCACAGGCGACGTTGTACAGTCCAATACATCTGTGGAGTCAGCACAGTGTCAGGCGCACAGAGACATTACTCTGCCGGAAATTGAGTGTAATTCTATCAGATGTGAGACAGTCACGGAAGCGTATAATGAGTAGGAGAGATCTGCCTTAAATCTTTGCCGGAGGAATTTAGGAATGAGGAAGCCATGAGAAGGGCTAGGATCGTTTTGTTTCATGAAATTGCCCGACTCTCGACTTTGATCTTGGCTTCTGTAGCACAAGTAATTTGCTTTTGCCTCCGCTATCGTTCCATAAAATCATACAACAGATGTCAGTGCCGGCCTTATTGGTGACATGCTACACAGTGGCACAGGGGCCGTGATGGGGGCCATCTCATTGTAAAACTTTCCTCCGACGAAACGGATGGACGGAACATTAAAATATCTGACACACTGTAACGCGGTCTTGGCTAGGAAGGTACTGTTTTTCTCAGTTGGCTGTCAAATTGTACAAGGTGGAGATTGCCCGTAGGCAGCAGAGTTCGTATCACGTATTGAGATATATGCCAAGGACTTTTCTGCCTTGTCAGACTATGTAAGGATGAAGTTGTTTTACCTAGTTCAAAGTCAGGCCTCCAAAGTACAGGTAATTTATTAGCTAGGGATAGACCTCATCTGGTAAATCAGGGTACTAAGAGAGCTGATCAAGTATTAGTTCCCTATGTCCAAGGACTAGAAGCGAAATTCTCTATAGGAGACATTATGGAGTGGACGATTCGATGACAGTATATTTCCAAAATGGGCTGCGGCGATATATCTATGGCACATAATAGCATATTATGGAGTTTTTGTTACTAATATCAACACAACACTTGTTTCAAATGGGGAATCCAATAGAGTAATGTAGAAACGCTCCGAGGCCAGCCTTATGGGATTTCTGAGGCCAAGACGGAGCCTTGCGGTAAGACCTCAGAGATCTACGGGGAAACTGGGGCTAGCTTGACGACAACAGATAAAGATCTACATAGAATCCGGAGGCGCAGGTACTGACCCCAAATATCTTTCCCATCACTGATTGCCACAAGGGCACATCCGAGTCGACCAATAACATTCAGTCCTCATTGCCACTCTAGATCTTGAAGGAGGATAAGAACCAGGACCTTCATCATGTATTCAGGAAAAGAGAACAAACCAATTCTATATCTCTTCCTCTACACTTCTTGTCTTTATTAATTTATTTCTTTGTTGCTTCTTTCTGTCTTTTTGTTATTTTCCTTCTTTGTTTTGACCTAATATTTATGCGCAACATGATCGAGATCAAGTACTCCGCTCGAACCCAGGCTCTTGCACTTCCCGAGATCGTCATATCTATACTGCAACAAATGGACATGCGCACTCTGGTCATCGCTCAACGGGTGTCTCGTATGTGGGTAGATTTGATCCGTGGATCAACTTCACTCCAGCAGTGTCTCTTCTTTCTGCCGGCCAGCGAGAACCGCTCCCCAGCACCTCCAATGCCTAATCAACTGCTTGGGGAAGCATTCCCTTCGTTTTTTCCGTCCAAAGATATCAAAGCCAGTCCCAATGGCTTACCAACCGACGAAATGAGTAAAAAGCTCGAGTATGTCAGTCTCCAACACCTCGAGTTTGTCCGAAACCCAATGAAAAGAGACAAATATCTCCGTCCTGAGGCAAGTTGGCGCCGCATGTTGACCCACCAACCACCCATTCACACCATTGGGAATTTTTCTACCATGCCTGCCCAAGAAGGCTTTGAATGGAAATTATTGCAATTGGCCCGACAGGAAGATGGACTACGAATGGAGATACTTTTGAACTGGCTCATTGAGTTGGAATGGTATGAATGGAACAGTGCATACATTTCAACCTGTCTGGGGGGGTCACCCGTCGATGCGCCGGTGGTTTACCTCAAATCGTCCGCGGGCGTTACCTCTTATACGCCTTCCCTATCAGCCACTGCTTGTCACCGTGACACGGGAGGAAAGGCCTAATTACGAATTGACCTTGCTGGACAAGGCATCTTCGAGACCATTTATTGACCGGCTGGACCGGCGTCCTTATTACCGCAGCTACGCAATAAAAGCGACTTTGCTAGCAGGCCTTGCTGGATGGGGTCTTGGCGAGTGTCCTTTTCACACCGGCTGGCCCGGGGTCCTCATAGTGAGGCAGGAGTTTCTCTCTGCTTCGTTTATAATTTTTTAACATGCGATCCTTATAATCGTCGGATTTTCGCGACAGAGCAGGCAAAAGCATATTTTACGAGCCGGCCTTGCTGGTCGAGGCCTTTCGTGTTCCTTGGGCCGGCTAGACCGGCATTTTCTGGAGTGGTCAAGAATTTTTTGTTTCTTAAAGCTGGCTCTTGTCTTCTCTACTTGTTTGTTATGTTGTGACCACCCTTGATTTTAGATTTCAGAAATCGAATTTCTCTAGCCTTTCTTCCCGTATTCACGTATCTTTAGCTTTCTTCTCGTATTGGATACGTAGCATGTAAATAGCTCGAATTTCAGGAGATACAGCATAAGGGCACACAAGTACCAATTATGTATTAATACGATAAATATAACGTGCGAAGATCCATGGACATACTGCCGAGACTATTTTGTCTTTATTGAGTCCCAAGTAAACCTAAAAATAAGGTTTCATGGAGGCTCATCAGAAAGGGACGTACTCCAGAAACACCATACGAGCTACACGGAGAAGCAGGAACAAACCAGAAGTAACAAGAATTAATGGAATCTCTATCGAAAACCTTGGAAGTGCTTCCAAGGTTATTCATATATGGCGCCCGAATGGTTATGATTGGAAAGTCCGACCTTTTAAATAATTGGATCCAACATCTTAATATAGAATGCGTGGCACGACGGTCTGAGCGGCCAATATGTATTTGCCAACAAATAGTCGCCTCACTAGCGCTAGTGCTCACGCCAATTGCTTATCTGACATGTCTAGACAATCGCGTATTCGGAACTCCGCCGGTAACATCCCACAAATAACTGGGGATACCCTCTTTCGAGAATTGCGCAGCACCTATTGAGCATAAGGCAAGGACTTAGAGAGTAATATCGTGAAAAAAACACCCAGTTCGCGTTTCAATTGCGAGCCATGCCCGTGTTTGTATCCGACCCAAGCGGCAAGAAGATTTGGCCCGAGGTGGCTGGCTGACTTGGACTGGCCCCCCACAATCTTGCCGTTGAACTGTGTGATTGGAGCGCTTTCGGCAATAATTTATGGAATGGATGACATCTCACTCGGGACCCCATGTAGAACACAGCCTCGTCGGGTCGATAAATCATTTCTGAGTACCTGGGCCGGGGGGCGGAAAACTTCTCTGATTGGCTCACTTCCATTTATTTACTAGCCATCGATCCCGGTGCAACCGGATCAGCATGTTCTCCAGGATAAAAACATATGACATAACAGAACTACAGAACAAGTTTCTCCTCGAAAAGATGAATGACAATTTGATGTTATCAACAGTGCAGCCTCAGCTAGAGGAGCAGGATGAAGACGAGGATAACACATGGTCTCCCCTTCAGCTCGCCGCTGCTCAAGGGGATTTACCTCAAGTAACGAGGCTTTTGGCCCAACCCTCAGTGGACCCCAATGAGTCCGCCAAAGGCTACTATGGACAGACCGCCCTTCAAGCTGCCTCTCAAAAAGGGCACCTCGCCGTGGTCGAGACACTATTAGAGGCTGGGGCAGACGCCAACGCCCCGGGGGGAAACAACGGCGGAAGAACAGCAGTGGTTCTAGCCTCTGGAGCGGGCCACCTTAATATCGTCCGTCGCTTAGTCTCCGCGGGCGCGGAGATTAACCACCCACCCCATAGATATTCGGGCCGAACGACTCTTCAGGCCGCTGCCGAGGGAGGCCATACCGAAACTTTTCAATGGCTGCTCAAGCAAGGCGCAGATATCAATGCACCTGCCGGTAAAACTGGTGGTCGCACCACGCTTCAAGCTGCAGCAGCAGGAGGCCACGCCGATATTGTGGAAATGCTCATCCGACAAAATGCTCCCATAAATGCCCCTGCGGTGAGGCATAAGGGCTTCACGGCCCTCCAAGCTGCAGCTTTTGGAGGTCACCATAGGGTCGTCCGTCGATTATTAGAAGCCGGAGCAGATGTGAATGCTCCAGGCTCATATTATGAAGGGTATACGGCACTTGCGGCAGCGGCAGAATGCGGCCACTATGAGATTGTTCGGATGTTGCTGCACGCTGGTGCAGATGGATCTCTTACGTCTGGAAATAAAGGATGGACGGCAACACAAATTGCAATTTTTAGAGGGCACAAAGACATCGCGCAGCTCCTTCAACACACTGAGCAGACGGTACTTGGCATTCAAAAAAAATTATCGTCGAAGGAGAGAAAGCCAAAAGCACGGAAGGTTGGGTGGATTGACTATCGTGAGAGAGAGAAGAGAGAAATGTATCTACAAATGACACCCCGGGCAAAGGTCTGACCTGCCCAGCACACCGTTAACGCCACGAAAACGTTGAAGTTCAGGAGTTTCCCCGGAGCCGCAATCTTTTTTTCTTATAAGTGACATGATTTCTTCAAAGACCTAGGCCAGCTTGGGGCTTATATAGTCTTCGCGCTACGTCTCACGGATTTAATATCATTCAAGTTTAGTCAGGGCCCCTCTGGTCCTGTTCAATTCGGAATATAACACAATCGGGTAAAATCCATTCAAAGTGCTACATTTGAGATATGGGCAAGCAACCACAACTAAATCAAAACCAATCGACCATGAAAAGAGAAGGCAAAAATGTAGAGAAACACGAATAAGACTGACATGAGGGAAAGTTGATCCAAGAAGTGGACGAGATTCATAAAGTCTCACAGCTTAACCAAAGACTTCAAGCACGGACCTGCAATCAAGTCATGTTAGCAAGCGTTTGTCAAATTTCTACAAGATCATCACCCCCTTACATCAGGATTGGAGCCTCTTGTAGAAATCAGGATTGCGGGTTGTGATAAGAGCATCCAGATTTGTCGCCTTGAATTCGTTTACAACGGGAGTGGAAATGGACCTTGCAGAATTCTGCATGGCAGGGGCAAGATGTTCAATGGCACTCACCTCCAAAGCAGAACCGGGGTTGTAAGCGGCATTAATATCAGCAAAGGATCGTTGCTTTCTGACGAGCGCTGGTGACGGCGAGAGACCATCGTTCCTCGAAGACGATCCCGCGATCTTCTTGCCCAAGGCATCTGCCGCGATTGGCAAAAGAGTACTGATCACTTTCGGTGCGGCCTTGGAGACGGCACTGCCAAGGACCTGGACCATAGACTTGATGCCGTCGAAAAACCCCTCAGGGCCAAACAGTGACTCTGTCTGGGAACTAGAGGCGCGGTCAAAGTCATTCTTGTCAAGTTTCATGACAGCACGAAGGGCAGCCTCTGCCATAACAGCCCGCTTGGTGAGCAAGGTGGCAGCAATCAGGTCATCTTTGTCCTCGGGCTGGGTTTGGGACACACTTTCCTCTCCAGATGGTGCCAATGCGTTGTTGAGAAGCTGCAAACCGATCTTGGCACCCTTGAGAGCAAATGGCGCCGCCTTCGTCACGGCCTTGCCAATGAAGGATCCAAGCCCGTCGAAGAATCCTTCCTCGCCGTCGACAGGTCTGGTTGCTTCCAGCAGACCCTCCACAAATGGCACTTGAATCGCCTCAACAGCGGACGCAGACTCTGCATCATTTCTAATACCCCGGCGAGCGCTAAGCTTCACATTGTCTCTCTTCCTCATGTAGTCCTGGGTGACAGCAATTCTCAGTGCGGAATCCTTCAGCAAAGGAGTCATCTTGGGGGCAAGGTTGGTGACATGCGGAGCCAGCTCGGAGTAAGTGACTTGCATGTCCCGAAGGAGTTTCTCTGTCAGCTCCGGGTCTTGGATTCTGAGGACAGACTGCAGTGTTGCCTCGGCGAGCACAGCACGCTCCGTTGCTCCCTGGGTTGCTTGTGGGATGCTCACGGTGGTAGACTCAGCGCCAGTGGCACTGGCAACAGCCGACAGGGCAGCACCAGCAACAGCAGAGAGGGGCCCACCGAGAGGCCCAAGCAGAGGGGAGGCAATTGGAAGAGCGACTTTTCCTACCCGAGCCACAACACCAACGACAGACTTGAGAGCATCCAAGAAGCCCTCCTCTCCTTCAAGCATGAGATCTGGGGACGGGATGCCATGATAGGGGAGATCAGTGGGGATTTCACGACCTGGGAGAGTGGGAGCTACGGTGGTAGTAGACAGAGCGTTGGGCTTGACAAAGTTGACACCAGCAATAGATGTGACCGTTGGGTAAGATGTAGTCAAGGCCGAGATGTAGGCATTGTAGTCATTCCCGAACTGACCTCCGATGGGACTGGCAGAATTCTTGTCAGCTCCACCATAGCAGTGGGCTCCAATAGACACCTGAGGGGTCTTCTTGCGGAGAACGGGAGATCCAGACTGGCCTATATTTGGCAGAAGAGTGTCGTCAGTCAGCGATTCTTGCCAGAGAGGTTGCAGCATCCGAAGTCATGAATTTACCACCAAAGGTAGACAGGCGGTATTGCAGCATCTTGAGAGCGTTATCTTCCAGGTTGTACTTGATGTCCTGGAATAACTCATACATCTGAGCGCCGATCTCATCAATTCCATCGCTATCCTCGAGGTGCATATCACCCGGATATCCAACGACACCGATCATCTCGGCTCCCTTCATCGGAGTGGGCGCAAATGAAAAAGTGCGAAGGTTGCCTGTGAATGGTGCATCCAGCTGCACAAAGGCAACGTCGCGATGACGATTATCTCGGCTGTCGATCCACTCGCCAGTGGTCACGATCTTCTTCGCAAATCGAGTCTGCACAGACGAATCTTTCAAAGAATCGCGACCATTGTACCCAATGTGGCACTGCATGATGATAACTCGGCCAAATCCTTGTCCATCGTTTCCGGCGTGGTCGTAAACACAGTGTCCAGCAGTCACGAGGATGTCCGGGCGGATTAGCCAGCCTGTACCCATGGATGCCATCTCAGCTCCGGGAGGCATCCCCTCGTAGGACATTTCCAGCTTGACGATGGCTAAGGGGAGAAATTTAGTTTTCACATACTTGATATTTATGGCGCGGTATGGTACTCACAGCGATATTTGCCGCCATCCTTGTAATCAGTCTGATCAACCTTGGCCCGGTGGTCAGGCTGGAAGACGGCTTCGGGATTTCCTCCCCCTGAAGTAAAATAATACTCTCGGTCGGAGGAGCCTTCCCTGTTTCTAAGGTCCATGTAGCGGCAAGGCCAGTATATTGAGAAGGAACTGCCATTGTGATGACTCTTGAGCTCAGTGAAGTTATAAGTAAGAATGTTGAAGAAAAAGCAGAGTGCTTGGCGTTGCTTGAGTATTGATGATATGAGAACCAGACGTGAAGAAGTAGGGCTTTATATACCTATTTGATTCTGCACGCCTGTCTTCGTCAAATGCCACCTCGATTCCTTCGATCGGCTAGATTGGCCAGCAGTTCGTCCTTTCTCGGCCAATTCTGCCTTCAAGAAAGTATTCATACGCCCAGTCTCATTCTCAGCTCGTCACATTCAGCCATATTGCACCGGTTCGGTGACGCCGTGTGGATCTTTCCCCGCTAACCTGTTTGAAAGGGCGATGTGAACTTAGTCCACTTCAATTAACGAGCTCATCAGGAGAGAATGGGACCAAAAAGCCGGACTGTAAAATTCATTAAGCTTGAAATTGTCTCGTGGTTTGCAGAAAACAACCAATGGCGAGGACACGGTGCCATATCCACACAGGTAAGAATGCCCGGGTGATCAATTCGCCAGACGGGTACACCTGGCTCGTCGGATTCTGTGCAAAGAAGCGACTAGTAGCAGACAAACTTGCGAAATGCATGTACTTTGGCCTTAGTCCAGGGCACATATGTCAGGTACAGGGACCGATGGCGCCGTGCGAACAACTAACAGCTCGACGTAAGCCCACAAGTGCTCTGCATTCGAACCCATGGAGTATGAGTGGCAGTGGCGCCAATAGCTCAGTTCTAGGCCCTGTCATCCGCGGGGCTAATTCTTCATGAAGGGCAAGCGACCGAGGATCAAGTGGGGCACGAAACCGATTGTGGGGTGTGAAGAACAGAACCGGACATGGACGAGATTTGGGGATTTTGCCGGTTAGTTTTGCCGATGATTGCTCTTTGGGCCTAGTAGGGTCCATTGACGAACTCTGCAGAATGGATTAGTGAGAGGATACCCATGAGCGTTTGAGCTTAGAGAGGAATTGTACAGTAGCAATTTGTATCGTGGTATCTAAATTGCGTTCGGGTAACATACTAGTAGATAATGCAAGGTACGGCTCCTTAGCAAATCGCCACTTTCCACGGTTTCTTTTCGTTTTTATCCCAGAAGCCCCATAGTCGACAGGGCCAAGAGCACCCTCAGGCAGCCTCTATCACCACACCTGTGGTTAAATTGTCAACTTTGGCAAGAAAGCACCCGACGGATCGGGCCGTTTCAAGCCACGAACCAATCGGCAATCATTGCCATGTTCCACTCCGCTGGAGTCTGGTCTCTCACGACACAAGACATAGCCCTGTCGACCGGATATCTCTTTCAAGGTATTGAGTGTATCCGATTTGTTTGCCATTCGAGGAATCTTCTCAGTTGGATGAAGATTTGCGAAGAAGATTGTGACCACTGGCGAGTGGATAGACAGAGATTGTCTTGCGCGAAGAAAGCGATGGCTCGTCGGAGGATTCGTGTATAGAGATTATTACCTAATGTTTGCAGCACGCTGCCTTTCTTAGCTGTGTCACTTTTCAGCTGCTTGCCATGCACCATCAAGAGTAGTGTTCGAATTCAGCTATACCTACACACATTTCCAAGTAGTTTGCTGGGAGATATACCCGATAGACGTTACGTTGGATCACCGACACCCATAAATCGGGGGGGGAATGAAAATTAGAAAATGGAAAACAAAACATAAATTAATAAAAATAGAATAGACAAAAGTACATGCTGTTTGGTAGCCTTGATTCTCTTCACTACATTGGGATAAGAATCACAAGATCCTCTAGTTCAATAGTTCAACCAGTTTTCCGTCAAAATCACCTCATCGCGTATCCAAACACAGGGGTCTTCTGTGAAAAGCGCGTCCCTTCCAAAGGCCACGGGGTGGCGTAGGTGCTCCAACTGTCCAGTATTCCATATGTGCGGTAATTCAATATTCTTCCAAGATAGGGATTCCTCCTCAGTTACAACAGTGCGAATAATATCTCGGTGGTCACTATGACTTCGGAGTGCATCCGGTATTACAATCTTGAATGAGAACGAGATTGTGCCCCGTGGCTCGATAGATGCTGAGGAATTCTCGGTTGGATAAAGCTGCTTGACATGAAAGCCAGGCCCCAGGACAAGAATGGTAAAGCGAAGTGGGCTTTGGGAGTGGTTGACTAGTTGGAATTTCACTTTGTTTGAGATGTCCCAGGACGAACTTGCCTTGCCTTCTCGTCTAATGCAGAGGTCAAAAGGTGCACGTAGTGGGGAGCATAGCGTTTGGAGGTTGAGAATCTGTGAGAATCGACTTAAATGACTCAATATAGCGGCGGCCTTTCTTGCAAGCTGGTCAAAGCCTTCGTTTACAAGGCTGGCTCCTCGTAATGGGCCATCATACCCCATCAAACATGATGGGCCAAAAATGGCAATGCCACCATCACCACTTTTCTTGATCCTAAAAATAGTGGTATCTAGCTCGTCGTCGTCGTTGTCCATATCACAGACTTCAATATTTCCAATGATTCTCTCTTGCATAGCCCCGTGTAGGGTCCGTCGGAATTCATACCCTAGAGTTCGATGGACGTATACACGGAGATTATGACCTCCTAGACTCCAACGTGATGGAATAAGCTCACACATACACTGCTCTAAGACCCTTGCTTGAGGTGTTGTAATAGAAGCAGTGCATTGAAAGTCATCAACGTCATCAATTGACAATACCATGTATGGCATCCGGTAGGTACTGAACTCGGACCCTATGTTGACGCCATGAAATTTTCCAATGGGAAGAGTAACACAACGATGCTTTATCCATGCAACAACTGGCGTGGCTGAGAGGGGTTCTGTGTTGCTAAAGAATAAAAGCCCGTCTCGACCGTATACCCGAGGGGTCTGTTGATGGAGCTCTTTGGAGATCTGGTCCCGAAGACCACGATAAGTGATAGGCACCTTGCTTGGTGGACTGTTTTCCAGGCAAGCCAAAAGTTCATAAGTGAATGCACCATGCTGTTTATCACCAGCCATCGTCTCCATCGCCTTTTGATGGCTTTCACATGCTGCCATAAGGGTAAATGCCTCTGGGTTGATGCCCCACAACAATGGTAGCTCGCCATCACGATAACTTGTTTCACTAAATGTCTCTGTGATAACGTCTTCGTCGGCAGTGGTATTAGGAACATTTGTCCAGTCTTCTGTCGTTCGAACATTCATGCCATCTCGCCAACCGCCACCAGAATAGCAGCTATCAAGAATAACGACGGTACGGATATGCTTTTCATTAAACTTCTTCAACCACTCATTCAACTGCCATCCCCTTATCGCAGGTTTCCCATTGCAAAAGTCCACGGTAATTAAGGATGGGTCAACAGAACGCCCCGGGGGAGACTTGCTAGTCGGTTGCAGGCGTGATCCATGTCCGGAGAAATGAAAAAAGAAACCATCACCAGGCCTAGCCAGCTCATAGATACTATCAAATTCCCGCTTTATGTTATGGAATGTTGGCCACATACTTGGAGGTTCTAGTGGGACGGCATCATGTGTCATTACAGATGGGGACGACGCTGTGAGAACACGAGAGTCATCTAAGCGGAACTCCCGCTGAAGGTATTCTTCGATTGCGTGGACATCATTGACACAGCCACGAAGCCTCGAAAAGGACAGACGGCCATTCTTCTCGTTTTTCCTTGAGCCGTCATTCAAGTACATATCGATACCGACAAGCAAGGCATATTGTTTTGGGAAATCCGTTAATGTCATGGTCGCAAGCTTTCGTCGTAAGGAATGTACGTCTCTTGCCGCGAATCTAAGCGAGGAGAACTTTCGGTTTTCTAGCTTCAACATAGATAAGGAATAATGAGGGGTGTACGCGCTGACAGCCATTTGTAATAAATGGGGCGGCCCCCACCTATAGCTCATTCTCAAAAATGCAGCACACGTCTAGTCAGAGCGTTCATAATGGCACAGGAGTGAATCAATGATTTACTGCCTTCACCCTCGATATTTACCATCCAACAAGCTCAATATTCAATCTTCTAAGCCTATGGAATGGGCGGCTACGTTACCAATCGGATGCTTGAATCTGGTATAAGTGCTCACACAAACTCACGTGGATATTAGTTAATCAATTTCAATTTGTCATTCTCCACTAACCTAGCTAAGACTTCTTCTTTCCTCATAACATAACTTCATATATCAGATCTGGCACTTTCTGTGCGCTCCAATCGTACGTCCATGGACAGTTAACTGCCGTAATGGACATAAGGGACCCAGTGCGGCCGCTTTCGGGGTGGCTCAACATAATCCATCTCAACATCTCGTTGTATCAAATCCCGTGGTCTTCCAGACGAAAGCCCTCCCTCGCTTTCGATCCATTGGTCTCGAAGCATTCGAGTGGCATGATGAAGTCCGTGGCTCACTGATTCATCACTCAGCCCATTGTCACGTAGAAACTCGTAAGTTATACGAGCCATATCCACTGATAGTTCATCGTCAACACTCCAAAGCGTGCCTACTACATGACGAAACCCAGCTAGCTGATAAGCACTAGCCAGATGAATGCTTTCATCGACAGACCTCTCATCCGAGATCTGGCTAGTTCCACATGCCGAGAGGTAAGCTAGGAAAGGCGATTTTGCGGTGAGATTGGTCTCTAAGAGGCTTTCTACTGTAAGTGGCTCTTCCTCCCAGTCCTCAAGAAGCAACTGGCTGTGTAAAGGCTCCACTGGATTCGTCTGACCATGGCCAGCAAAGTGGAAGATCCAACAAGTCTCTAAAGCCGATAGGATATCGGCTTTACACGGGCGAGGTTGAATGCACGGTATCCTCATCGACTCACAAATATCTCGCACAGTATTCGTTTCGACGGCTGCAAATTTTAAAGATCCTTGTTTTGGAGTGTGCTGCATGGTGACGATGGTGGCAGCTGGGAGATCTCTTAGCTCCGAATGCTTTTGCAGTTTTTGTTGACGACGATGAACAATTGCTCTAATAGACGAGCTATATGATGATATAACTCGATCTAGCGTTGTTTTGCCGCTGCGCTGAAAGTGATACCCCGCTGCATGAAGTGGAAAACGACTAAGTATACCGGTTGGAACCCACCATATACGGAACCATCGACCGTTCTGTGAGGGCTCGGTGAGGCCTAGTGCACTAAGGATAGGGTGAACAACAGTATCCCAAAGCCATTCAAGTACTTCAAGTGACTGCAGCTTTTCCGCCCATACATCTAGATCTGCTCTAGAAAGAAGTGGTAGCTCGAGGAGTCGAATGCTAAAGTTCTGAATGATCAAAGCATCACAACGATGAGAGCTGACGTTGATAATTACTATTGGTCCAGTTGATGCGGCCTCCAACATGTCGGCTTCCGTTGAGGACAGGAGAAACCGCTCAAAACCTGGCTCTAAGCGAATTTTTTCCAAAATAGTAGCTGCCTGGAGCGAATGTTCACGATTTTGATCATCTTCCAACTGCACATTTGTGTCAGAGTACTTAGCGATATCAGAGGAAACCCCGGAGGACGATGGGTCGGGGTTGTCCCGTAAAGCATTGAGAGTGTGAGCCAGCTCTGGGTGTTTCTTTTCCAATTCGTGTGTCTCCAATCGCTCAAAAATAGAGGCTGCGATGACGCCACGGCCAGTCTCAAGAAACTCAATCGCAGCAACTAACCCTTTTTGGCTGGACAAAGCAATGGCAGCCGCGTCACAGGACAGCCCAACAACGGCTGACAAAAGGTGCCGTTTATCAGAATTCTGGAGGGAGCGAAATGCTAAAAGGGGAATCATCTCGATTGTCGTCTTGCTGATAGAATAGGCCTGGTTGAGGTCTTGAAGGATTTCTGGTGACGATAAAAGATGGCGACCAGCATCTACGCGACAGCTAATGACGGCTGTGCGCTGATAAAGAGCAAAGAGAAAGCTTTGTTGGGACTTCTCGAGGTCTGAAGCTACTCCAGTCTGCTCATATCTATGTTTGAGAAATGACCCAAGATTTTTCAGCCATATAGGTCGATCTGGATGCTCCTGCGGAGTATTATCCACGGCTTCCTCGGCCATGCGAATAGCGTCTTCGAGATCCGACATCGCTCCAGTCAGTGAATACCTTTCATCAAGACACAATCCAAGAATATTCAAGCGATGAGGGCGATCTGGATGGTCGAGCGTGGTGCCATCTATAGCTTTTCGAGACGTAAAAATAGCTGCTTCAAGATGCACTTTTGTTTTTGTGGCCCAATAGCGACCCCATTGGTGTATTGCGAGGCTTTTCAACCGTAAGGCATGTTCTGAATGGTCTGGTGGAGTAGCGTCCACAGCTTGCTGGGTGATGCTACTAGCGTCTTCAATATCCAATATTGCTCCAGTTCGAATATATCTATCCGCTAAATATTCCCCAAGACGAATCAACCGTACGGCCCTTTGCGGATGATCTAGTGGGGTGCTATCGATGACTCTTTGGGCTAGACAAATAGCTTCTTCGAGATTCGATAGTTGTCCAGTCCTCTTATACCTATTGTTTAGGCAAATCGAAAGATTGATCAGTGGTTTGTCGTGATCTGGAGAATCTTGGGGGATGGCCTTCACAGCTCTCTGGGCTATATGAATAGCCTCATCAAGATGTGACATATTTCCAGTCCCCTCATATCTATCCAATAGAAGCCCCGCAAGGTTATTTAGGATCCTAGCCTTGTATGGATGGTTTGGTGGGAGCGAACTAGTATCCATAGCTTCCTGGGCTATACGGATAGCACTTTCAAGATCCGACACCTTTCCAGTCTGCTCAAATCTAACACCAAGGTATAGTGCAAGATTAATCAAGTACCCAGCTCGCTCTGGATGGTCTAGCGGTGTTTCATTCAAAGCCTGCTCGGCTATATGAATAGCATTCGTGAGATTTGCTATCGTCCCAGTCCTCTTGTATCTGTCCTCTAGACATGTCCCAAGAATATTCAACCGTGCAGCCCTTCCTGGATCACCTTCAGCAGTGGCATCCACAGCCTGCTGTGCTATGCGAATAGAGTCTTCGAGGTCCGAAATTGCTCCGGTGCGCGCGTGTCTGTTACTTAGACATAATCCAAGAATGTCTAAAAATCCTACTTGGTCAATATAACCTAGCGGAGTAGCATCGATAGCCTGCTGAACTAAACTGATAGCTTCTTCAATATCCAATGTTGCTCCAGTGCGAAGATATCTTTCCCTTAGATACATTGCAAGGTTACCTAACCACCCAGGCCTGTCTAGGTCGTTCAGTGGTGTTGAATCCGTAGCTTGTCGAGCCATATTGATGGCATTATTGAGATCTGACATTTCGTCAGTCTGTGCGTATTTATGATGCAGGTGTAGTCCAAGATTATTCAAGCATCTAGCCATATCGGGATGGTCCAGTGGAGCGGTATCCACAGCTTCCTGGGCTATACGAATAGCATCTTCAAGATCCGGCATTGATCCAGTTCGCAAATGTCTCTGGCGCAGATATAATCCAAGATTGGTTAAGTATGTAGCTCGGTTTGGATGACCTGATGGTGTTTGATCCAGAACTTGTTGAGCTATATGGATAGCATTCGTGAGATCCGGCATTGCACCGGTCCTTTTATATCTGCTCTCTAGGCCTGATGCAAGATTGTTCAATCGTGGAGGCATTTCTGGATGATCTAGTGGAGTAGCATCCACCACCTGCTGTCCTATACAAATAGCGAGATCAAGATCCGAAATTGCTTCGGTCCACTCGAATCTATCACTAAGATAGGCTCCAAGATTATTTAAACATCCAGCTCTGTCAGGATGGTCTACCGGAGTGGCATCGACAGCTTTTTGTGCCATTTGAATGGCTTCTTCGAGATCTGACATTGCCCCAGTCGATAAGTATCTGTTGTATAGAGACAGTCCGAGATTGTGCAGCTGTCCAGGGAGCTCTGGTGATTCTATCTGCAGAGCCTTTTGAGCAGGGCTCTGGAGATCTGCCATAGCGAGGTTATTTCTTTCGTAGCAGATGAAGAAATTTCGGGAATCATGTATCCTCGAGTCTGAAATATCACTGCAAAGCGGTCAGTCTTTTTTGATAAGGTATTCGAACCTCTGACTTCGACTTCGCCTGTACTCCAATAGATGATTCTCCAAGTCCCTAGTCTCAGGCGTCGCAGCTTCTTTCTGAAAAGACCAAAGAACGCTAGCTTGCTATTGATATATTAGGCAACAGTTCACTGAGCACTGCCTAGCCAGAACTTTGAGTAACAGAGCGGCAATGTGGGAAGCAGATCTTCACCAAGTGATGTGTTTCAAGTTTCAGAGTCTTTTGGCTGGTTCGCACCTGCCCAGTCACTTCAGTGCGTGAAAAATGATTATTTGGATCACCACGCGTATTGTTGGTCCATTAGCCAGCTTTGCCTCGCGTCCAGCCATCCAATCAGCCAATCTGGAATATGCGGGCGCCATGGCCTTAGTTCCGTCTCTTGGTTGCCTCGTAGTTTTTCCGTCCATTAGGCGGTATACACGTGGCGGTACACGGGTATACGTAAACTGCAAAATATCTCGCTTTATTTTCAGACTGATTTAGGGTCCTTCTTCTCTAACGTGGAGAAAAGAGAGCGCACCTACACTATTTAGTCGAAAGGATTTCACCAAATTAGTCTTCGGGCCTACCCATCAATTATACACATTCACTAAATAGTCCACCGCACAACCATATCTTACTGAAATTCGATATAATTACGCGTACTTATTAATACCCATCTAACGCACAGTTCTGTCCCTTGATATTCTAAAAAGAAGAATCAAAAAAAAAGAAAATTCACCCTAAGCTTTCTAATTACTAGTAATTGTCTCATCACCCTTTGTACTAGCACATTAATAGTACCTATAGTATTACTCACCATAATTCTGCTACATACCTCTTCAGGTACTATTAAATACTATTATATTTACCTTTTTAAATAAGCTTTATATAAAATCTAAGTCTAAGAGGCTCTTGTCTTAACAATATGTAAATAATGTTGAAGGGGTTTAAAAGCCCAGTGAATGCCTCGGCGGGTCCTCCATATTTACACATCAACTTTCAAACCGCTCTATCGTCACCAAAGCTAGATGGATCTTCGAACTACCTTCTCAAAAAAATTCTCTATAGTTATGGGTTAAAGTGAGACTTTTTTGAAGCGAGCCCTCTTAATACTGAGTAATATATGTCTTCCCGAAAGTTGGTTGTTGGGTTGACCCTACCGGACCCGCACTTGGGGAAATACTTAAGGTCCCCATTGTATTAGGATTGCATACCTCTTCTTGCTTTCAGCTGGGATTAGAGCGGAGGAATGTGAATAGAACAATGCTGCTGCGACGAAAAGTCAGCATAGAAGTAGAAGGGCAAGTCGGCGCTTCAGGCACGCACATGGTCTTCGGGTAGTGTCCAGGGCTACGAGGAGTTTCCAAATATGCCACAAAAGTAGCAAAAAGAGAAGAAAAACATACAACAGTCCCATCTAAGGTTGTGGTTACCTAGCGCCCACGATTCGGCCGTGGGCGGCTCGCCGCTCTATTCAGGCCCCTTCAGGGCAATCCGGGCGGATCTTCACCCTCCTGAATAATCTTCATCCGACTAGCGCGGCTCTCTCATCAACATGTACATTGTAACATTTTGTGTAATACGTAAATACCGCCCTTCTCTCCCCCTCTTTTTGTTGCATTCCCCCTCTTCCCATCCCTCTCCAAGCTTGTTTGCTTACTATTCTTTCGGTTACTCGAATTTGAAGGGAAATGAACCACATCCCTCAAACCAGATCGAAATTTGAATGACGTACTAGGACTTTCAAGGTTCAAGGCTCATCCCCCTGAAGCATGGCAGCTGCTCTTTGTTCCACATGTTCTTCTATACCCACGGATTCAAATGTTGGAGTTTGAGGAATGATAACTGTATCACTGGGCTCCATAAATTGATTTAGAAATTTGGTGAAAGCAAACTGTTCTCCTGGGGAGGGAAAACCACCTTAAAGCATCCAACGGCCCGATAGTATTACCTTCTGGAGCTTCACTCAGTGCTCTGCCTCCTGCTGCTGCCTCAGCCACGATCTGCAGAACCTTGGTAGACACTAAAATATAACGATGCCCCTTCTGTTTGAGAAAAACAAAAGTCAAAAAGCAACATTTAGGGAAGAAAAGTCAAATGAAAAGAAAAAAAAACCTTTCGCTTATGTTCTAATCTATGCTTGGCTTCCTTTGATGTTCGGTCCGAGTCTTTGTGTGGTACATGTCAAAGGTGATGTCAAATGATGGTTATCTTTGTCTGGCTTTTATAAACCCATTTCGTCCAGGCTAATCAGATTGTTAGTGTTTTCCTTCTTGATGTCCTCTGGTGTAAACCACGGAATTTAGAAATTAAACACTCACTCAAATATTCTTGATAAAATCATGATACGCCGACCCCCGGCCAATTTCCCTGTCATTTGTTTCATTCAACCCTTCTTTCTTTAACACGCAGTACTAAAACAAAGAACATTACACAGCTATGCGATTACGGCACTTGCCTGTACAAGAAGGGTGTTCAGTATTCCTTTCAATTTCCCTGTATAGACCAGTAACCATCCCCATACTCCCCCTGCCCTTGCTTATATATCGGGATATGTAAAACCTCAACCTCATGTGTGCTAGCATTTCAAGGATGCCTCAAAATTATTATAACAATCTGGATATCCTACTATAGTGCGGTATATAGCGGACAAACATCTGGATTGGTCGACAATTTTAGTACTAATCGATATTTCTACCTACCTAACATCGCAAGCTCATTCAATGTTTATGGGCTATTGAAATCCCCACAGCATGCGAAATCAAACAAGAACAACACGAAAACCTTGGTCTGGTTTGATAGTTAGCAGAACACCGCTAAGGAAACATTTGAACCCAATAATCCATCAAAACACTCTGGGTTTGTATGTCAGAAGTCCTGGCAGTCCCAAACCCTCCTAGCTAACTTTTCGAACATCTTTCGGTCAAGGGATATATCCTTTCCCAAGCGGCCTGTGGGATTTCGACGAAAAAGGAGATCAAAAGGGATCTTGAAAGGGACTCCTGTGATGGTAACCTTGTCCCCAGACTGACTCTCGCAAATAACAACTGTTCTTCTGCATTGGGCTTGAACACTTACTGGATCCCATGTCCACATCTCAATCGTAATCTTGGGTCTTCTTCGATCGACCTTGAGCATCATGGCAATGTTGATTCCTCCCCGGTTTGGATCGGTCCACATCTGCGCATCTCTGCGCAACTCGGCCATGCTCTCTGATAGCCCGACTTCAAGGATCATTGTTGGTTTCGATGGGGACCCAGCGGGGACTGGGTTTAATACCCATTGGCCATCCGGCTCCCTGCTTGCGCCTCCAACATCGATTCCGGTTGAGCCATCCTGCTCTAGCTGATCTCCCAGGTTCATGCTCGACAGGAGTGAGTTGATTGCTTTATCAAAAAAGCCTCGCACGACTTCGTGTGCTGGTTTCGGCATGGTGATTTTCGCCTTGTGACCTAGGCGGTGCTGCGCTCTTAGTGAGGATGGGGATATTTGTCCTGTCTGCGGTGTAAAGGTTTGCTCGTGCGTATAGCGATGGATTGTCGAGGTCAATGTTCGGCGGTCACAGGTTTAGACTGTAGGGCGGTGCAAATCGTCGGTCGTCTCCTCTTGTTAGCAGCGTGGCTATTGGACGTCAGTATGTATGTGAAGAGAAATGAGAAAAGGCAGAAGTGGGTAGAAAGAAATATTTGAGCCTTTTATAGTCGGAGAAAAGTCAACATAAAACGGTATTCCAAGAGTCAATGCTCAAATATTGCAGTAACATTTGAATACCCAGCATTGAAAGTCTTAGCAACAAGTCTCGCGTCCGCATATGGCTGTCTTCTCCAGAATTGCACGACGAAACCCTATGTAGTAATTTCTGAACTTTTAAGTCAACACATCCCACAGGCCGCCGGGAGAAGTCTGCAGGATGGTAGTATCATCGATTGATTCTTCCATCCTTCCAAGATCTGAAGGTTTCAAATATAAAGCTCCCCAGTACTCAACTGCTGCTTCAACCACATGTATACCCCTGCCCACTCCTTTGCCGCCCTCCTATCTCCCCGTATCGAGATTGGGTAATTTGCGCGCCTGTTGCCTTTGGAAGAGGAAAGGTCATATGGCTAACCGCCTTTGGTCCTGTCCCCTTTTCTTGGCAGCCCTCTCTCCAAGTTTCTTTCCTCTCTATCTAGGTACGCTTTTCTGTCCTCACAGTCCTTTCCTAGCCTTCCTTAGATGTGGTGGCCATTTGCAAGGTTCTTCCATAGCTCAATGCAACATCAATATATATTACACGTTCTTTCCATTTGTAACATCTGAAGTCTTTTGTATGCCCACGTGCAAAACTCAATGTTGAATTTCTTTAGCGGGTGATTCAAATGTTAGACACAACATTTGAAAGATAATAGATCCAAGGGGACGTGTTAATAATCATTCTGTCTTTATATCGACGGTGTTCTGTTGCTTTAGTATACAGTAAAACTGATTGAATATTTCTACACTCGTTTTCGTCGTACCTTATACCCATTGATTGGTTGAATACCCAACTCTCTTCTTTGGCAGGAAATCCCAGAATTCATTTGCCACATGTGCAGACGAATCCAAGTGTTTTTGGCCTGAACATGTGGGTTCCTGCAAACTTAGATTCCATCCATGTGGTTTAACCGCCTAGGTCGATACCGTGGCACTGATAGTGGTCAACCTCCTACCTAGTTAATGACCGCAAGGTTACATCACCGTGGTGTTTACGGATGACAAAATTGGAATTCGCCATTTACCATTTGTCTCTTTACGCAACAAACCCGTGAGGACTTCTAAGCCTATACGATGGCAATCCATTTCACCTACCATGGGGTAGAAAACTTTTTGAACGTCTTAGGGGAACAAAAGCGACGTGCCGAGCAAGACGGATTTGATTTATTAGCCTTCTCACAAGTCGAGTTTGACTTCCTCCGTCGCCATGAACTTATGATAGAGCGACAAAAGATTCGAATATTTGAGTATGCGCCAGATAAACAACAGCTCATCATCAAGATGCCCATTCGTGCTATCTTTGCCGCCCAGGGAATGATATTCAGATACTTGACAGAGCAAATGACGAAGGTCGGGATGGAAGATGACGACTGGATGCTTCTTAACGGAGGCGATTTTCAACTTGAAAACGGATGCACCGTCGAGCCAGACTTGGCGCTTTATTGCATGGCAGGTGGAAAGGGGCTGCCACCGTTTCCGCATATCGTATTTGAGATTGGGATTTCGCAATCCGTCGAAGATTTAAGAAGCCGTGCAGAGTATTATATCCGGCACTCCATTGAAGAGATCAGTGCAGTAATTTGTTTACATGCGCCACAGAACCAAAGTCACGTCAGCTGGGCAGTGTACAAGGCGTTTAGACCATCTAAGCAGGATCAGGATTTTAAGTCTGTCATTTGCGGCGATGGGCTAATCAGCTTCGATAAATATGATGGCAGTGGGGAGCTCGGTCTGCCCGCCAATATTACCACCACGGGGCCAATGACCATTCCTATCGGAAAGGGACCTCTAGGGACCCCAGATGATATCGAGTTGATTGAAGAAGCCCTCGTCAAAATCACCGAGAAATTAACTTTGAGACGCTGGCAATGGTAATTCAAGAGCCTTGGAATGAAAGACGAACAAGTTGCCAAATTCAACAATATGTACGCACGTTTGCTCATAAAGATTGTGGGACCTGCAGCAGCGGAAGTTCCCAGCGAGCTCCAAAATTTCAAAGATTTGAACTTCCAAGGATCGGCATCCAAATAAGCGATCATGTCTCCAATTTGATTTATTGGCAGTCAACACTTTATCGCCCAGAAGACCCAAAAGAATTGGTTTATTTACCCATAGAGCAATTGCAAAATGTGGTACGATACCCACATGCCATTTTCATGACTGGGTTCCAAGGTTTATAATGTGAGTCGCATCTTACAAGACTTTGGTTGGAATCTTAGGGTCGCAGTATTCGAATTGTCATTACTCCAGATGAGCCGAGCGTTGATAGTTGGATGTGTTAATTATTCAATTCAAATGTTTGCTTCAACTTCAAGGTGTTGAAATGTTTCAACTTTCTTCCGAACATAGTACATGCCAGTACATATGTGTCAACCGGCACCTAGGTGTATCAGCACTTGAAACAACCAGTCGACCCTAGATATCTGGTACTAAACCTCAAGTGCTTGAGAGATATGTATTTCAGGGTACATATCTTGAAGATGTCCGCTACACTCCAAATGCCCAGGTGCCAGTGTAGAAATATAAGTAAGATCTTGCACAATGTTTATCTTTTATAAGCTTCTTTTTCCAAATGTCCAGTTTATGTATGTGGCACTGGGATTGTAACTTGGGACATGTAGTCAACTGCAATGCAAATTGATAGCAACCTTTGTGAGCTGAGTTTCACAGAAGAAACAAAAGCAAAAACATACAACAGTTAGGATTCGCATGTGGTCACCCACCATACTACTAACTAACCGGCGTGTGGCTTAAGTACGGCTGAGCGGACGGGAAGCCCTGTTCTCCACACCCTATGGTCGTATGTACTAGATAAACAATGGCAATGGATTATATAGTGCAGGGAAGTTGCTCGAAGACATGAGTAAAAACAAGGGATCTAGCTACATACATGAGATGAGTGAGGTTGGGTGGATAACTACCTCGTCCCCAACAATACTCGAAATGAAAGTTAGAACAATTCAACCAAGCAATGCCCGTTATGCAAATTTATACAAGTTTTCAGGGGTCAATACTTTGCCACTGCCCTTGTGGGCCATATTGGACTGGAATCCTAGGCCATGAATCCAAACCGTCCAAAATCGCGAGCCTAAAGTAACAGGTTAGCACACTTGATGTCATAACCGTATACGTATCGGACACATACGCCATTCCTCCCGTCAGATGTGGGTCGATATGACAGTGAAGCAAGAATGCCTGATCGGTTAGTTATGTAGATCGGTATAGGTGTTGAGAGATCAAAATTTCATACCCCTGGGTTTTGTACTAATGTAACAACAAAAATTAGCCTAGAAATTTCTATCCAAGTCGAAAGCACATACCATGATAGCGAATTGCCATCCAGCTTTCACCTTTCCAAGCCGGAAGCGTAGTGAAAGTATCTAATTTTGATTAGCTACCGAGATGCCCATGCGGTTAGAGCCTCGAACCTCTCATAGGGGGATTGATTAGGTTGAAGCTTTCTGGAATGGCCTTGACGGCGTCGGCGACCGATGTCCACTTGAAGCTGCCGCTGCCGGAACCCTTGAAGTTGTGAGTCAGCAACGTTGGAGCCAGAGCTGGGTAAGATTTCTTTTGGCGCTCACTAGAACATAAACTCGATTGGAGTGCTTGTGGAGTGGATGACCAGGCTGGAGTGTAGAAACATTGCCAGATAAGGAAAAAATTATATCAACCCAGGTACCATTTTTCGTCCCGATAGCCAAAGGGCTTTTAGCTGCGGATCGAGGGTCCCACAGAAAAGGCCTATCGGCTTCCATAGCAAGGCCGAAGGTGTGATATCCGTTCAGAGACCATTCCCAGGCCTTTTTAACACGACCAACCGTAAGAATGTAGGTCTTATCCGGCTGCTGACTAGGCTGGCTAGGAGTCAACATTTCAACCACGGTTGCGTCCAGTGACACAACCCCTGTGTTTGTTGCGACTCCACCATAGTTAATCGAAGGCATTGATGTAACCGAACGTCCATGCTTGTAGGACAGAGTAGCGAAGCCCGCAATCTTTTGGTTCAATCCCGAATTTGCCGCTGTTATTGAGTAATTTCCAGGAATCTTGTTCAGTTGTATCAAACAGGAATAGCGGCCACCATTGTTGATTGTTAGCGCCTAGGGGGAGAACTTTCGTCAGAAATGGTTCGTGAAAGCTGCTGTCCAAAGAGTCAAAGGTATCATACATCAACTTTAACAGGCTTTATGAATGAGCCATCAACCTCATAGACCCAAAGTGAGTGATTGTTGATAGACACTTTGATGATCAGTTTAGTAGCTCATAAGAATTTGGCAAACTACACACCTGTCAGGGCTGAGATCGATGCCGCACCAATGAAATCAAAGCTCGCCCACCCATTGAGCGGGTCAACTTCGATGACCTCTTCTGTCGATTTGGTAGCGTGACATTCGTCAAATAGGGTGGGTGGAATTTCACTGAAGTTGTGTGCAAACGTTGTTTGGGCATAGGTGTTTGTAAGTGGGAGACAACTTGGTTTTCCAATTAGCACGGATATCTCAGACAGAGTGTTAGTCAACAGCATACCCTTTAGCCGTAAAGTTCATGCCTTGAAGCACAGGCTTCATCGAATCAGGGACCATGTTAGTTAAAACCCCAGGATCGCGGCAATTGACCCGCCCTTTCCCGTTGATCAGAATAGAATCTGCGCACCTGAACGCCATGTCAGTTTCATCAAGCTTCAAAATCCTCACGTCAAACCTTTAGACTTACAAGGTGTCAATGTCTGCAGACACTGCAACATCCCGGAGTTCTTCTGATGTCATGTGGAACCAATCAGAAAGGACCACTAGGTTCGGTGACTGAATGGCGTTATAGATCTGAGTCCGTTGGAATGTATCATTTGTGATTAAACTCAACAATTTCACAGGAATATTTCGAGGCCTTTATGTTCCCAATATAAGTCATCAAAATTTGCGCTTGGTATCAAGGCAGACAAACCTGATATAAATTGGACCATACAGGCCATCCATGATTTGCCCAGAAGTATGTGAGTGGTACCTGCAATTCTTTAACACATCTGGAGGTCTCATTCAGCATTATCGACTCACCAATATGCACCATGCTGCTGGACAGTGAATTTGGAGATAAATTGTTTGCAAGGGGGAATGTGCCTCTGGGAGACTCCGGGCACACCATCCGACCAAGGCGTTCCGACTTGCCTATCAAAATGTTATTATATAGGCCGGTGTTGGTCGAGTTACTGGAGGACCCACTCGATTCCGTGATAGTGAATTGTGGTATTGAAAGGGCTGAAATTATTCACGGTCACCTCGACGTTGTCTCCTTCGTCCATGATGAGTGGTGGCCCAGGGAACTGGCCATTGACCAAAAATTGTTTCCGTACGACCCCATCGGCAGCCCACGATTCCCAAGTCAAATTCAGCTCAAATTGCTTGGTGTGTGAAAGCTGATTGGCAAGAATTGGGCGGTTCACTTCTACGCCAGTGGTAAGACTGACGCCTAATCCCACAAGGTACATCAGCGCGACCAACTTCATGGTTGCTGGAACGATGCTATACACTTGCAGGTGAGAGCTGGGACAACCACGAGGGTAATGGAAGCTCAAACTCAATTTCTGGAAAAGCCCCTAGGGGCGTGTACACATAATCATTTCGTCTGTCATTGGAGCAGACAAAACCAATAAAGTCACCGATGTCTCCACAAGCGATCGCGCAGCGGGATTTGCCTGACGATCCGATCAGGGATAGTCGATTCGGTGTTTGATCTCATAGTCTGCATTCTAGCTTTCTGAGCATCTCCACTTTTTGCAGATCTCTCTCAACACGAGTCAGGCTTGGCCTAAGATGGGCCTCCCCCTATTCTAAGGTTCTGCCTTCAAAACCAACGTGAAGTCACTTGGGCATAATTGGAAGACGAAGGATGGCACTGGCTGCAAGGTCTATCACAATCCTCTTGGTCGAGAGAGTTGATTGGCAAGAAAACAAAACGAGCGGCTGGTCCGTGCATCGGAATTCCAGGGCAAACATGCAAGGGGGATCCAGTCCGGGATTTTCTCACTTCGATCCACTTGCCCTTTTTGACTTCGAGATCATGATTTGCATTCTTCAATACTAAAGTAGTCGTCGGACATGCTCGGAACATAATAAAAAGGGGAAAAAACAGTGAGAGGGACCCTTTAGAACATGAGTCATGCATACTCGGTCGAACCGAGGCGGGAATCTACATGGTCTCTGAGAACATCCAATATCTGAAGATTGGCAAGCAGGCTCATGTGTGAAATCATAATACGAGGTTTGGACACATTCGCAAAGCAACCGAGAGGGATTGGTTGCTTATCTGCACGAGGAAGCACAATGTGAGGAATCTCCTCGGAAGCAAAATCAACGGACAACCCCACATCTGCGTCACTTATATACGCGACAAATTGCCCCTGCCGAGAATTTAGTACTGGCTACATCCGATACTTATTCTGTTATCCTTGAAGTCGGTGGGGAGATCACGGTGGAGATACCAGGTGCGATGAGGCGGCAATGACATATGTAGAACCTCATTTCCATCCAGCGTAGAGTGAGCTTCGCACACAAATTGACACAAAAAAGATGGACCGAAATTTTACCGGAATGCGTCTCATGTTGAGATCTAGATAACAGGGAAGGCCCAACAGAAACTCCGATTTCTACCAAGCGATCCACGAGTGCGGAGTACCACTCGTCTAGCAGTGTGAAGTGCGCGCGACTGATTTGCTAGTCAACATTTGGACCACAGAGAGTTTGAAGTGAGCGGTCTGGCCGTGGACTTTGTTCACTTGTCAAAAGTGGTCAGCTTCGTATTCACAGGTGCCAAACTAGGTACGAGGTATGTACTTTTCGATAAAGTAGTCTGCTGCCGACCTTGTTCGTCTTTCGAGAGAAAGACAAAATAAATCAACCAGGCTCCTTTTTCTCTCCGGCTTTTGTCATCATTCGGGCCGCGAAGAAGCACCGTGAGACTGACAAGCACACATGATTGACAAAGGCAGTTCAAGCTTTTCTACCGCGTCTGAACTGTTTATATGTCAAATACTAGGGAGTCTCCCGGTTGGAGCTATGAAAGAACAAACTCTCTTCTTGGCATAATGTCCCATATTCATTGTTTCAATGTTCTAACTGTCAATATTTGGCCCATCTGTGCGCAATACATCAAAACAGATCTGAAATCCGGCAAAAAGTTACCGATTTGTCGGTAATGGTCTATGGTCGGAACAAACCTTGCCACTCTTTCTGAGATCGATAATATGTAGCCCATAAATGGGAATATTGGTAAGTGCTGGTGAAAGCAAATTGAGTAAGATCGCGTTACGATAATACTCAATGTTAAATAGACATGCCTTTTGGGTGAGGTTTTAAAAGTACGTAATACATCGCATCGGCACGACTACTCAAGAGCCGAAGACCCGAAGAGCCGGTATGCTTGAAACCCTTCCACGGCAAACCCAAAATAATGCCTTCGAGGGCAATTGATTCGATTGCTTGGCCTAAGACGATCGGAAATATTAAATGTCGTTTTGGATAGCGGCGTAGCAGGATTAATAAAGATGGAGGCCTATAGCGATCTGGTTCTTTAGTACTTGAGAAATTACCTGCCAAAACCCCATTGAGAACTTGCTCCATACGCATTCATACTTTTGATTAACGGTCGTTGGAAATAGGTCAAAAAGACCCAAGATATCTGGTTGCAATGGTGAAATGATAGTAATTCTTGGTGAGTTGACTGTCGAGACAATTTAGGTATACGGAGGTCTTTAGATTATATCCATACGTCATAATTAAATGGACTGATACCTATTATCACGCGAGAAGTTCCCCTTCCTCTCCATGCAGGAATCACATGAGTCGCTAGATATGCGCCCGACTTTGCCTCATCCTCGAGCTCACGTATGAGGGTAGCCACCATTTGGCGAGAGGTACTGTCCAGGTACAAAAGCAGAATGATCACTCAAAAGAAACACCACCGAGTCTGCAATCTCCCGCGGCTCGGCAAATCTCTTCAAAGACGACTGATTTCTTAGGGTAGCAACGATTTCACCCAATTGACCCTGGGCCAGAGCATTCATCAACCCAGCCGATGCCACCACACCTGGCAACACAGCATTACATCTATCCAGTACGGCGCCAAATCGATGGCCCATGTGCGTGTGAATCCCATGACAGCGTGCTTAGCTCCAGTGTAGTGTGGAGATCCTGAGGTGCGCATGATAGATGCCGTCGATCCAATATTGACCACGGACGCGACCTGCTCGTTGATGCCAATGTCGGTCTCCGGTGGATAAGGCTTGTTTTTAGCCATGTAATAGCGGAAGAGCTCGGTGGCGCAATGCCAGGTTTCGTATGCACAGACTTCTATGGTTCTGTAGAATGTCTCGTCGCTCTGGAGGAAGCTATCTTCCTTATCTCACAGATTGACACCTGCATTGTTCACAAGACCGTAGAGGTTTGGACTGATACTGAAAATCTTCTGGAACGTATCGCGTACGTTCTGTCGGCTCGTAACATCCACCCCGGTGTACACATAGAATTGGCCACTGGTAGTTGGGTAAGGAGCGTGTACCTTCTCGTCGAGTGGATTCAAGTCCAATATATGCACAGTCGCCCCAAGCTCCAGAAGTCGCACAGAGATGGCATATCCTATGCCAGATGTGCCGCCAGTAACGGCAATTGCCTTATCTTTGAAGAAACGGTCCATGCTTGCAAGATTTCGAGCTGATTGATGACGTTAGAAAAAGTTTAGCACCAAATGGCGATGTACTGTACTTTTCTTTGTTTCAGCAAGTGACAATCGGACAGAAAGTCAGAGACTGAAGAGTGAGGGGCTTTTTGTTTATTGGATCGAAGGCAACAGTGAGCATACCAAACCAAAAACTTGAGTCTCAGCTTTCATCCGCTGATGATCATCAGTTAGGTATATCGCTATTTATGTGTAATGGTTATCTGTGCACGGCATTCGAATACAAAACCTCGATCCAGTGCATTTCCGGTAGTTTCGGCTTTATTCCAGGAGAACCCAGGTTTCTGCTATACAAAGTGAGCGTGCAGACGAGTGTCTTTGCCGGTGATAGCCGACCGGGTAGGGAAGTCCTTTATCCGAACTAAGCTATCACAAAGGTCAATAATACAATAATACCATTCGTTCTAGAGATGATTTCGGCCTCGCAAGATTGGAAACTGGCAGCCTTGGGCGAAAATAATGAGGAAAAGTCAACAAAATTACATAACAGGGTCCCAGCCTCTGACGAATCCGGATGGAAGCAAACCATGTATTCCGGTATTGAAAATGCGGTGAACACATCCCAAAGGATAAATTTAGAAACATCTCCAAGAGACGAACTCGCCTTCAACTGCCGTTTTGTACAAACCCCGGCTATTTGTGATTTATTTTATGATTTCGGCAATGGAATTGAGTTCCGTAATCATACGAACCTCTTGAACGAGATCGAAGCTATTGAAGCGGATGCAAGCCAAACACTCAGAGTACCTCGTAGAGGGAATGAGAATCAGTATATACAGAAAACTTCAGTTGTATGAATTAATGTCCATTCCTATATTCACCAACGCAATCTTTTGCCGTAAAACCAAATCCTCTAGCAAAATGAGAGCTGAAAACATCGACCAAAACAAAGAACATGCTTTCCGAATCACGCTTCAAAACATCTGTACCACGACCTTTGGCTACCTGCTCATACACCATTAGGCCGCTCCTTCGGGTCCATTTCCCGTTCCGGAGTGGGCTTGACAAAGTCCGACGCCAGAATGGCCGACACGCCGAAGACCATAGCAATGACCATGCAGATGATCTCTTCCAGAACAGACATGCACAGATAGACAGTGACGCTGGTGTGGTCATTTAAGACCAGAGATTCTATTGAAAAATGGCGATAAGAGGTGTAATCACCGAGGGCTGAGTAGATCAGCCGAACCAATAGAAAGGGAGCGGACAACGCAATGCTAAGGAACAGCTTCTTCTGATAGCTCAGCATTGCCAAAGAGAATGAATAAAACAGCCAGACCGTGAGGATCATGGTGATGGCGTATACGGCGAGAAAGAGGCCCATGGCTGCTTTGGTGAGGTTGCCCGGAGTGTAACCACCATTGTTATCGGCGGTGCTGACTCCAACAATACCGAGGATCAGGCCGATAAAGGCCATAAGAGTCACCAATGCGAGAGGACGTGGAGGGATCTTTTTCTCCATATCACTAAGTAGATGTTCATTAGACCACATCCATCAGGTTGAAGAGCTTTATCGCCATCAACTCACATTAGTCTCAGTATTCCGACATAAGCCAGCAATAGAGGCGCAATGCCAATCAGCTCGCACACGAATATGGCAATTTGGACATCCTTTGAATCATTATTGATCGAAATGAGGGTAGCAATACTGCCAGCAAGACGAATGAGCGAAAGGGTGAACGGATATCGCCAGATCTTGGAACCGACTCTCCAGCCTGTTCGTTTCCAGATGAAAAGGGAAGCGACAAGGATGAAAGGGAAAATGATGAGCTGGAGAATAGCTATTCCATCTTGATATGTAACGGACCCCATGGTTTGCTTAAAATGGTGTTCTAGGGCAAGCAGATGTTGTTGTAGGGGGTTGGAGAAGTATAGGAAGATCGGGTTGGGCACTCCTCTGGACGGACGATTGGGGCCCTTTTATGTGTTTCTTCATAGATATACTGACATTATTTTTATAATAGCGGCCCCATGCAAGGCCAGCCAGCCCTGAGCCTTATTCTTCCCGCGACCAAGTTTGGCGGTGTTGTTGGCATCTTCAAATCCGCGTTGACTGGTCCAGCATCGAAGATACCAAAAGAGGGCTAGCGTGGACGGGGAGGGTGGAGGATTAGCAGCCAATCACCACACTCACTTGTCAGCCTTAAGTGGCTATGGCCAAACAGCTGCTTCTGGGATTCCCCTCTCGGTAAAAGAGGTGCAGATCTGCCTAGGTTAGCGCCTCGCCATTGCGCAACCTCGCAGCGTCGCTGGTGGGGGCGAGAGGGGGCCACTTGAGCTTCCTTTGACTTTCTTCACTTTCACCCCACGCTGGCCCCGAGCCCGCCAAGAGCTTGAACCCTTCCTCCTGTCGAATAAGCACTCAAAGGGGCTGTGTACCGTAGCTTGTTTGCAAGGCTAATTCAGCTGTCTTCAGCTCGCTTCAGCCCTGTGGAAAGGCGATAGTCTTCAAATAGTAGCCCCTGTTCCGCTTCATTGTCTCATTGAGGATCTCTGGTCACTTTGTCAACGCATGCTTCAAAATGCCAACTCTCAATGCACCTCGTGCAAGGACATCCAAAAGCTGCGGCAACTGCCGCGCCGTAAAACGACGCGTGGGTCTCCCTTTCCTATTCTGGCGATGTTTGTCATTAACACGGCCGCACAGTGCGACAAGCAGGTTCCCCATTGCGGTCAATGCATTCGCACCCGCCAATCTTGCCCTGGATACCGTGATGACTGGGATTTAGTCTTTCGCGATCAGACAAGCCACACAATCAAACGGTCTAAGAAGACACTAGAAAAGAGTGGGGCCTCAACCAAGGTTATCCCCGTGGCCGCACCGGCCCGTGGTCCGGATCCCAATCTTGACGAGATAGGCGTGAATTATTTCCTCCAAGACTTTGTTGCGGGTGGCCGCTCCCCCTCACGTGGATATCTTAACTACATTCCAACTGACTATTCCGCCGATGCCGAGCACCCGACCCTCTTCACCAGCATGGCGGCTGTGGGCCTTGTGGCGTTGGCCGCTCGTCAACCCGAGCTGGTACGTCACGCGCGCGCCAAATACTCCGAGGCGATTAATCATGTCAATAATGCGTTGGCATCCCCTGTTGAGTCACTCAAGGACAGCACCTTAATGTCGGTGATTTCGCTTGGGATTTTCGAGCACGTCTCAAACTTTGAGTCGTGGGTTCGACATGTCAAAGGGGCTGCAGCGCTGGTGATTGCCCGAGGTAAATTTCAATTTGCCCGTCGGCCTGCCATCTTGATGTTCAACCAGGTGCGCGCAGATATGACGACTGCCTGTATACAAAGTATTCAGCCGTTTCCAGACGACATGCGTGAACTGCAGGAAGAGGCAACCAAATATGCTGACCCTTCTGATGCATTCTGGCTACTTGGAGTGCTTGCTAGCCGGTGTGCGACTCTTTTCGCAAATGTCACAGCGAAACATAAGGGCTTCCCTTCGTCAAAATCTTGGTCTGATTTCTTGAAAGAATCGGTCGCAGTTCAGGATGACTTCGAATATGTTCTCGATGTCCTTGCTAGACAGGAATCGTATACAACCATCCAGGAGACTTGTGGGAGCGCGGAGTTTATCTCATATAATGGTCAATACAACCTATACAGGTCATTTTGGGCAATAAGGCTTTGGAACAACTCGCGAATGGTTGAGATCATCATTTGCGAGATCATATGCTGGCTCATCAAGAAGGTTTTTGACGAGAATATGCCGTACCCCTATGAGGGCCAGCTTAATCTTAAATCAAAGCTGCAATATGCGATGCAGATCGTCGCAAGAAGAGGAGAGGAGATATTGGCCAGTGTCCCACAGGGGCTAGGGCTTGTATTGTTACCCGATCTCGATAATCCCCAACAGCCCAACGTGTCGGGAGGTTATATGCTGATTTGGAACCTCTATACGGTCGGAAAGTCTCCTGCGACTAGTCATCGAAATCGACAATGGATCATCAAGCAACTGAAGGATATTAGTAAAAGTGCAGGTATTACCATGGCGTTTCAGCTTGCCGATGACCTTGTTAAAATAGAACAAAGTATAAGTTCATAGCATTGTTTCTCCACAATCTGAAAACTCAGGGTGGAGCAATTCGGTATGAGATAAATCACATGTCTTCGAAATGCATTTTCAGGGCCATATAGAGTCCCCTATAATCAACGTAGCCTAGATGCCCTTATCAAAGAAGATGGAGACGAAACCGGTGACATGGTGGGCTTAGCCGATGATTTTGGCTATTTCGTGCCATTTCTTTCTCCGAGCCGTAGACGTGCGTGTTGCTGCCATTTGCCATGCACCACCCTCTGCTTTCTGATCATTGGATTTGAGATCCACTGGTGTTATATTGTGTGGCAGACCTATATGGCAGACTTATTTCTTCGGGGGTGATGAAGGGTTAAACCTTTTTGAAAAGCCGTTGGGAGTGGAAAAGGTATAAAGCGCGACGAGTTTGGGGTAGGCCGTTGTCGTGGGTTTCTCGGTTTCAAAGAATTCTACGGTATGGTAATGGAACATGGTTGATATTCAATCACATATGCTGCATACAGCTCAGCATTCATTCGAGGCAAAGATAACCATTACGGCGACAAAGGGATATCTAAATAAACATGGTCATTTCTGTTACAATATCGTGTGCGGTTTCTAACAGGCTTCAAAAGCTGGAAAATATTGTTTCACAAAACGGTCCAGTTGCTTGATGACGACAGGCTTCACAAGGTATTCGTCCGCGCCGGCATCATCTGCTGCAGCTCTGTCCGATGGACTATCCTGGCCAGTCAGGATGAACAAAGTGCTCCTTTCCCATTGGTTTCGTTGCTCCAAAAGTCGTATTTGCTTGGTCGCTTCGATACCATCACACACAGGCATTTGTAAGTCCATGAAGACCAACCCAATTGGAGCACCCTTGCCAGCAACAGAAAGTGATTGACACTGTGAGAAGATCTGAACGGCTTCACAGCCGTTGATGGCGGAATATGATGGCAATCCTCTTTTGTTGCAGTACATCTCTACGATGCGAAGATTGATGGCATTGTCATCGACTATTAGAGCTGTGGGCCTAGAGGAGCTTGTGAGATCGAGGAAGAATGGTGTGGCTATTGTCAAGCCCATAAGATCTGCTGCATCGGGTTGGGATGCTGGTGGTGCAGTTTCATCTATGGTTTCGTCTGACCCGGGATTATAAGGGGCAGATATGGCGGATTGCTCAGACGAGGCCGCGAGATAGGTTTGATCGGGCTCCAGTAAGCCCGAGTGGGAGACTACCGTCTTCACGAAAATAGCCTGTGCTCTTACAAGTGCTGAGCACATTATTGACCTCGAAAAAGGCCCGCGGGCATAGACAACATTATTTGCACTATGTTCAAAAGACGGCTCTTGTTCTGAGTCAGGAACAATGCAGATAGCAACTTGTCCAACTGGGATTTGAGATAAATGCATGCGGTGCATTTCTGGGTCGGGCACAGCATCAAGAAGGACAATACAGTCTTCGATACTGTCTGAGGCAGTGAAAGAATTGCGAGTAAGAAAGTCCGCAAAATTTCGACATGACACCGATACGCCATCAGAGTCAGTCACCAAGTTGAAGTATTTCGAGGATAGATTAATCAATTTCGGAGTCAGTGACTGGGGTGGAGATGAGAAAATGAATTGAACTTCACAAAATGTGGCTCGGAAGTGGGAACCGCGGCCAACATCCGATGAAATCAGATTGACAGATCCGTGAAGTAGTGTTGCAAATTTGCATGCTAGAGTTAGGCCCAGTCCAGCACCCGCCATGTGCGAATTGACTTTTTCGTATGGTTCAAATATGCGTTGTTGATTATCGGGGTGGATACCTTGGCCATTGTCCTTGACGTCGACAATAAGTTGTCTGCAGTCCGGACGTATTGAAATGGCTATTGATACAATACCTTCAGGTGTATTTTGGATCGAGTTGATGATCAACGGAGCGATGCTGTCTCGAAGTACGCCGAGATCACCCCGGAAGCTCTCAAAGCCTGGCGGCAAGTGTTGAGTAAAAGAAACAGAGGTCTTGTATCGTGCGTCCCCCAAAGTCAGCTTTAAAATCTCGTTTTCAATCTCGGCCTCGAGCTCATCAACAGTATGCAGGTCATACTCCCGTTCTGTCATGGCAATGTCTGCCCATCTGTTCAAGGTAATTAGGTTGTTGACGATCGAAGTCAAATCCCGACCCGCCGTCTTAATTATGTTGAGGTACGTGGAAGGTTCACGTGGATTAGTCGGAGGGTTTCCCTTCATCAATTCCGATAGCGAGATGGCGGACTCTTTGGAGTTCCGCGACTGGAGCTCCTCGGCTAGCAGTTCCACAGAGCCAAGGATGCCGTGAATTGGCGTTCGGAGCTGATGAGAAATGCCCTGGAGGAACCTCTCTTTCGCTTTTATTGCTTCTATCAAAAGACTTTTGCGCCACATCTGGGAGAGCATACCCGCACAAGTTTGAACAAACCATGAATCCACATCGTCAAACACCATGCGGGCATCCTTAGATGCCACGACTAGTAAAGATGATCCCGATATGGATTCGCATGGGGCGGTAATTATGCGTATTACCCTATCAGACGGGGGATCAAGGTGGTTGTAATTTGCAATGAAATCGTCGAAGTAGTCGTGGTCTTCCCATAAGCCATCTTCAAGGTCCGATATTGGTATCGGATCGCGCCCTTCAACCTCGATTTGGCTTGATATGGACGGTTGTAGTCTTATTAGTGCATTGGGGTACGCGGTTTTCAATATCTTGAGAACTGGCGCATCAGAGACTGTGTCCTCGATTTCCTTCTGTGCTATGACAAGGAGTTCGGACATTTGACGTCGCTCTCGCTGGCGTCTTGCTCTTGCACATTGAATAAGGTCGGATACGACCCAGTCGGCTAGGCGAATCAAGGCCTGTTGCTGCGATGCTGTCAAAGGCTCTTCACTTTTGCTTGAGGCCACACAGAGGGAGCCAAGACCAACACAATCCCCGTTCTCGTTCTGCAAACGAAGTGGTGCGCCAGCGTATGCGAGAAGGCCGCCGAGCTCGAGGTATGGCGACTCTCGGAATCTCCAATCCTCCATCATGTTGGGTAGAAGAAATACGCTCTATATGGAATGTTCAGCGATTTATAAGCAAGGGACAGGGACCCACAACGTACACCAGGAGGTTGAGTCACCGTATGGGCGCAAATAGTTTCCCCACGCGGAAGGATGCCTAACTCAAGCCCCACTGTGGCCAAGCGGATATAAACGTTGACATCGAGAATGCCGATGATGGAGAATTTCCAACCCGTGGACTCTTGGGCAAGATGCGCTTTCTCCTGGAGTCCGGACAGAAACTCATCCTCCTTGAGAATGTCACGTGTATAGTACCACATCATGGACAATCTCAGTCGTTCATTTTCGGAGAGGAAGGCACGCAGGTATCGACCGGCGATCCCGGGTGGCTTTTCGGGGATTTCTGCCGGCGCATAAGGCTCTGTCTTGGGATAGAAGTTCGTTTCGACGTCTGAGGGCCATGACCCGATCGGCTGATCGACATTTTCCCGATCGAAGATGGGTTCCACGATCTCCGGGCGAGTTGGCGGGGGCGCACGCTTCGACGTCAGAATGGCAGCATCCGCCTTGGGGAAGAACGCGATGCGTTGCCCACTGTTGGGGGCCATGTTTGCGGCATCACAGACTGTTCTTCTGGTTAATTCGAGATGTGCCGGTAAATGCACGTGACTCTGCCCCCGGAGTACGACCATTGTCGGCTCCGATCACCTTTCGCTTGATTCTAGACACATCTTGGAACTTCGTATGGGGTCTAGACGCATCTATTTTGATTTCTGGTATGAGTTTCGATTTTTCCGTGATAAATCAGTGAACCAAAATGGCTTAGTCCAGGCCATGTTTATTTCGGGGGTGGGACCGTTTTTCCAATGTGACAAGCCTCGGTACTCATTTATATAGTTTCTCAAGATTCACACCTCGTATAAGTGACCCGCTCATTTTGAAGGAATTTCAAAAGAGCTTACCTGGAACATTGAAACATGGCTATTGAATGATTTTCCATGCAGCATCGAACATTTGAAGCATCATAAACTCCAAAATTGAGGGCTTGCATTTGCCAGTCTATTCAATTAAGTCAGATACACCCAACAAGCCTATCGACCAGCCACATACCATGGGTATCCAGCCTCATGAAAGATACTTGGATTCTATGCTTTTCAATCCGATGGAAATATAAGGTATTGCTTTGCTCGGCAACATATCTTACAATGACACCAGGCTGCAGGGGAGTTAGTATGTGAAGTATCCACCCGGGTCATAAACATGTGCATACTTGAATCCCAATTCTTAGTGTATTGCCACTTAGCTGTACCTACTATCGATGATTAATACAAGATCAAAATCCAAATGATAGCGTTCTGGTCTGGATAGCCGTCGACGGCTTCTTAGCAGCTCCTCCCTGTGCGTTGGAAGTTAGAAACACTGAAAGCCTTCTAAGCAATGTCTTCCCAGTACAAATGGGCATGAAGTTGCACATAAAAAGAAAAAGCAAAAACATACAACAGTTAGGATTCGCATGTGGTCACCCACCATACTACTAACTAACCGGCGTGTGGCTTAAGTACGGCTGAGCGGACGGGAAGCCCTGTTCTCCACACCCTATGGTCGTATGTACTAGACAGTGCATGACAATGGAATATATGGTGCAAACCTTTGCTCATGAAACAAACATCTTCGAGATTCGACTGGAGGAAGATAGGCAGAGGACTGTGGAGAAGTATAAAAGATAGTGGATTAAATCCAGATCCTGGTTTCTATTCGCTCCATCCGCCGTCTCCAATGAAGTCGGAACATGTGTCACACATGCAGCTCGAATCACAAGGTACACATCCAAAATTTTATTCAAGGAATCCCGAGCGTTGAGTTACGAGGATCACTATGGCAAATACCTAGATCCGGGTATTATCCATCATCTTCACGATGGGAAAGTCTATGCATACAACCACTTGAATATACACATCCATCAGATCATCTTCTTGAAGGTAATACTGGATGAGATGACTGCTCTTATGAAAGCAAAAGGGGACTCCCAAGGTAAGTGGACGTGGAATTTAGTCTTGTCAAGGAACATTGCTCCGTCATACCTGCTCCGAAAGACTGGATACAGTATGTATACATCCTTTCACTTCATTCTTCCAATTTGCCACCAGGTAGGAGACTATCCCTGCCTGACGTGTCAGCTGGCGGTCGGAGTTCGAGCTTTTCCTAAGGTCATTACGAAACGAAAATTCGCATACTACTTTCGTCCTCCCTCAAACAATCTATGCTACATCTTTTGCGCCAGGTCAATATTTCACTGTTTAAAGTGAGAAACTTGATATTTGGCCTTATTCCACTTTTCGATTCACTATTATGGCTGGCTACGATGTACAGGGCAGAAATCAGCAGTGAACATGGATGATGTGGCTTGAACTATATAAACAAGATGATGTATGGAAATCATCATAAAAGAGACTGGCTAACAAAGGCCACGGCGATGAAGCTGGGCCGCCACTAGGTATAGCTATTCTTTCAAACTTTCACCCGAAAGACCCCGAAAATATGACAACACTGTAGAGACAGAAGTATTTTCTCGCACAACTTATACATGGCAAATGCATGGTTTGCCGAGGCTCATCTCCCATTCTAGTGGTGGAACACCTCCTTCATCGAAGCGTACACCTTCACCTTCAGGCGAGATGACCACGCAGGAGTCTGCCCCTTGTTGACGCTATACGACACGGATTGGGCAACCTTGCCTTCGGCTCGCTTCTCAAAGTATAGGGCATGCTTCCAGTCGATAAACACCTCATAACCATCACCTTGGTCATGAATGAGGATAGAAGGCGTTTCACCCTTGAACCGCTTCTCCAACGAGATACGGACTTCCTTTCCAAAGGCGTTGTCGATCTTGGTGTTGAAGACAATCTGGTTCTCAGCTCGTCTGATGGAAAGCAAGAACAGGACATTGCCATCTCCATTCTTGCCCTCGTTGAGGAAGATCTGAGTGTTATCGATGTCCTTAGTCTTGGCCGGGGTAAGATCCAAGCTGGCTGAGTCGATGATTACCACGCCATCGGCCTTGAGAACCTCCTTGAAGGGCAGGAAGGAGTTGACACTGAGAGCAGCCTTAGGAATAGCAGGCACCACCGGGGGTGCAACTGTGACGGGCTGCTTGAATTCGGGATTCAGGGCACCACCTGGTCCTCCAGAGATAGAGGGCTCTTCCTTGAAGTTTTCCAGCTTTGGAGCCTTCGTCGCGTCGTTGTAGACGGTTGAATCGTTTGTGCTTCCGATGATCTTGAGGTCGAGGGCTTCCACCTCATGGTGTTCCAGCTCCTTGGCACCCTGGAACACTCTCCAGTAAGCCCTCTCCTGGATGAACTTTAGAACGTCATCCTTAGCCATACTGGCCAGGTCCTTGCCCGACTTCAGAAGGGAGATCAAGATCGGAGTAAGAGAGATGCTGGCAGTAGACCTGATATCGTTCTGCTTGTTGTCCTTGCAGTTACTGCATGCAAGCTTTCCTGAATTGTCTTCTGGCTTTTGACTGAAGTTGTAAAGTTCAGTAATCAAATCCAGGCTTGCGTTTCGCGTTTTGCCATCCTGAGAAAGGTAGATACGAATCCAAAACGGTTCACCCCCACCAATGGCATATTTGCGGTAACGAACACTGAACGAATAGTCAAGAGACTTAGTACCGTCCTCCAAGTACTCCACACCCTTGATATTGCCAGTTGCATCAATCAATTGCTGTCTTGACATGCCGTAGAGGTCGTTGATAGTTTTACGGAGGCTTGCAAGGAAGGGCTCGGAGGTGTAGTTCTCGGGCTTGTACTTCCATGTCTGTAGCTCAGGGTATGTGTGGCCAAGCTTGTAGGGATAACGAACATCCGCGGGCTTCATCGGAGTTCCCGCGGTATCTTTGTGAAATGGGCGTAGCGGAGTGTTAGGGGTGATCGTGCTTCCAATGGGGAGGCCAATGATTGTTTGGAAGAAAGTGTTGACTTTCGAACTCTCAAACCACTTGTCCGGGTTCAAGGCCTGCCATAGGGCAAAGATACGGTCGATGTTACTAGGGATTGGTTAGCGATTAAGTATATTACCCATAGAAGTAAACCTACCAATGGTGAAGCCAAAACATAGGGTCAAATGATGCCACTGGAATCTGCGACATGTGTCCGTTCAAATCACCGCCAACCCAGCCGTGGATGTTATTATGGACTGAAAACTGTTAGGCAACGAAGAAGGATTTCAATTTCAATGAGAACTTACTGTACTCGATGTTGATGTCATTCGCGATATTCTGATCCTCTGTCAACTGAGCGGTGGTTGCAAATGTAGTATAGTCCATAGGAGTTGTCAACAGACGATAGACCATCTCAGATGGCTGACCGTAAGGCGAATTGGCCACCCAAGTTGGCTTCTTCATTGCCTCTTGCACCTTATAGTTGTTGACCACACCGTACTTCCATGTGTGTGAACCCGAGGCAGTCTCGCCCTTATCAGGCCAACGAGTGGTTCCAATACATTCACCGTACTGGCTTTGATTAGAATACGTATGTTTGCTCTTTTGGGAATTGGAGACTTACGAATAGCATATCGCCTTTATCATCCTCAACCCAGGGATCCTTGAAGTTGTCCATTCCAAATGAGGACATAGGCAGCATATTCGGCATGCGGAATTGGAAAAGAGGGTTGTTGATGCTCTCTTCACCGGTACCATCCGCGGTTGGGACAAAGGTGTATGGGTATTTGCACAGATCAGGAACCGAAGTAGTGATACCCCAGTCCCAGAAAGGCAGACGCCACGTCTGGGCAGCTTCCTGCCATTCGGCGCGCACGTCCTCAGCGAAATTGGGGACAATCTCTTGATTCATAATTTCGGAAATGCGTTGCTAATGCATTGTCAGTCCATATCAACCGCGGGCCGTCAATGCACGTCATTACCTCGTAGAGTGCTAGATAAGCACGATGCCAGATCGGGAACAGAATGTTGTTGTGAGTGCAGTATCCCTTGCCCTTGGTGTCCTCATCAACTTGCTCATCCCATAATACATTTGGCTGTCCGTGAATGCCAGCAATTTGGAAGTATGACTCCCGTTCTTTGGGGTCAATCTGTTGGAAGCGATGCAATGCCTTCACAAACAGCTTGACTTGCTTCTCGTTGGCAGGGTTGCTGCTCCATGAGTCGATCTCCTGTCGAACAGGAACAGGAGTCTCAGGACCCAACTTCGATGGGTCCTGAGAATTCACTGAGATACCCGTGATGGGGAAGTACTTGTGGTCAGAGACTGACTCGGAGGTAGACATCTTGGAGGATCGGCGCTTTCTTGGTTTTTGATTGGTTTGGGCAAGGTGTTTGAGAAAAAACATCTGGTGAGCAGATTTGCGTGGTTTAGATATATTATTTATATCCAGAGAAGAATCCAAATATGTAAGATATAAGAGCCATCGATCCCCTTTCTTTTCCTTTTCCAGTCAGGGCTGGCTGGAGCTACAGCTGTGATGGCGTAGTATGCACGAGTAAGTGGGGACGAGCTAGCCCCCCTGCCTGATCCAGGTGGTACATCTGGACGTCTCCATCGAGATGCATATATGTATTGTACCTGGGTTTCCATACCGAGGTAGATCATAGGGTGCATGAACCTGATTATGTTGTGCAAATATGCACAAATATCGCTAGTGTATGTGTCCCAATGCAAGGGCTTTTTCTCTCGATTTACGCAGTTCTAATAATCAAGCAACTAAACAGAGATACAGTTGAACAACCATGTTACCCAAGGCAGGGTGAAGGTACAAGATACAGACCTCGGAAAAGCAGCGAAAGTCTCGGAAAACTTCGGTCGCGACTTGCAAAGCTCTTTGCTTTTTGCTGCGGTAGTGTCGATCAATGCCTTTGAGCTCAGCACGCCACTGCTTCCTGCTCCCGAGGCCATTGGTGACGTCGGCTGCATGGCCGTGTTACACGAACCCCACATTCTATGTGTCTGTATGTACTACATCATTAGTGTTCACAAATGGGCAGCTGTAGAGGATCACATCCCATCGTGTTAGGACTCGGTCCTCCGACAGGATACTAATTTGGGTGGTCGATTCTAACCACGGGCATTTCTTTTCATGCAGAGTGATGATTTCCCTTGCATATAGCTGGGGCAATATGTAGCTGGTACCACGCTGGGGCTGAGGAGGCGGCAGCTGAAAATAAGTATGTCACATGGAGAGGCAAACGAGCCACCGATGCCCGCATGTGCAATGTACTTTAGTACCGCTAGAGATGAAGAAAGGACAAAAGTGAAAAAGAACCTTCACGGGGATTCTGAATATAATAGCCTCCTTGTCAACTATGGTCGGCTTTGGTGCTAGTATGTGCTCCCCTTGGCTCTATAGATTCTACTGTACTTCTTCGACAAAGATTTTGCAAGCATGCTCGCCAAGGAAAAAATAAAAATAATTTCGCTGTCTTTGATGGCTCTGGATATGGAGAAAAGAGAGCAAAGGAGAACGCCAGCAGTGCTATGGGTCCGCATCTCTGCAGGGGCAGCATCATGCATGACGGCTCGCCAAAATTTGCCGTCCTTCGTCACACAATCAGAAGCAATACTCACTACACGCGCGGGCGTTCATGCAGTCGAGTGGGGTAGGGCGATCTGCAAAGTTTGGATCGTCATCCCAATCACAGTGCAGGCCACGGGAACTCAACATTACTGTGGTGGTCAAAAGTACACCATATACTCGTCAGGCCGTCCTTAAAGTTTCTCTTCAGGTGGATCATGTTGTGTAGGGACTTGACCGTAGCCATATTATTCTGTCGCCTATGGCTGTTCATGGGCCCACATACATTAAATACAAATTAAAGAGACTCCATCAATCACTCTCGTTTATCTCGTCCGTGTCGGCTTTAGGTGGGGCTGCTGAAATGGAAAAGAATGACGAAAGACCAGCGACAAGACATAGAATCCCAAGTACGAGCGTCATGAACCCCCAGCCCAATTCATGTTTTATGAATCCACCCCCCATAGGGCCAAGTGTTTGACCAGCCGCAAATGCCATGTTACAGAGTGCGTAGCCCCGTCCTTGTCCGCTGCTGTCCTCCTCGGCGATCCCATGAAGGCTTTCAATTTTCCGGACTGCATTAGAGACATCCCCCATAATGATTGCTTGCACCGTGGTGAGGCACACTGCAATGAGGAACAGCAAGCAAATAAGCGTGATTTCATGGTTGATCGTATTTCCTTGGGCCCACCGCAGTGATATCATTGGTACCGACATCAAGATAAATCCAGTCACCACAACGTTCCGTGGTACAAGGCGCCTCACAAAGTGGGCAATTGGAATACTGAGAACAGAAGGTACAGTCATTGGGAGGAAAATGAGCCCCGCACCCAAACTAGACCAATGGTATGTGTCGAGGACAAATAGGGGAAGGGTCTACCTCGCTGTCAGCTATGAAATTGCTTGTCTCATGGGTGATGCCAAATACCGTTTCAAAAGCAGATAGAATGGAAGAGATCGCGAAGACACAAAAAATCACCCCTAGCATGATTGGGTGCAAGAAGTTGTGAAAGCTCAACGAAGTTTCGCTGGAGGTACTGTTTGCTAAGAGAGGTGAATCCTCCTGCTCATAAGCTTTGGTTATATCTGTGTCTTCTTTCATTAGCGTCTGATGACATGTGAAACGGAGATGACAAACCTCTATCCTCTTGTACAATCAACATGCGCAAAACAATGTCCACCACAAGCAGTGCGATGGGGACTCCGAAGGCACCAAGAGTGCCAAATTTGGAGAATCTGTTTTTCTTAGTCATTCGTATCATCAATGGAGTAGATCTGTCAGAAAACCTACAGAAAACCACCCGCAATAGGGCCACAGAGCATCCCCCATGTTAATGATGCTGACCCGCAAGCCATACGTGGGCCTAAATTTTCCGGACTGGATGTTTCGGCGATCATGCTCAAGCCCAACACCCCGACCACGGCGCCTGACAGGCCCTGGAATACTCGAGCTATGAGTAGAACCCACACATTACCCGCAAAGATGAAAAAGAGGGTTGCTAGGGCCATGGCGACGAAGCCAGTGACCAGCGTTGCTTTTTGAATGCGATATTTGTCGCAAAAATAACCCACCATAGCTATATCTACAATCAGCTCACGAAGAATCAATTGGTTGAATATACACCCACGAGAGCCAAGTAAAAGAGCAACTCCATAACTCGCGAGTAACAGTGATGTCCATTGTTGAACTAGTAGGAGTCAGTCAGGAGGTTAGGAAGCCATGGAAAGAGACGAGCATTACCGTCATCCGAAGACACGTTTCCATGACCGATCAATAGAAAGGGCAAAATTGGTATGATCTAGAGGCTGTGTCAATTCCCGCATGGATTTGGGGAGATCATTGTGATATGCCGAGACGGATCAGAAATACTTACAATGCCGTAAACAAACGTATCCTACCGTAACCGTAGTCTCAAGGTTAATCGATGATCATGCTCGAATTCAAGGTCACGTACTGTGAATAGCGCAAAGCATAGAGCCACCAATATAAAGGTGCTGGAGGATCTCCATTCCCTCGCGAATAACTTTTGAACCCCCATGGCGACTGGACTTTTCGAGCGTTGTTGAGTCGGAAGACCGCACGACTCGGGAGAAATAAACCAACTCGGCGCCTAGGCTGGGCGGTATTATGAGGAGCTGAAGGGTCGAGGACCCAGCTGAAAGGACAAAAAGAAAACATGCCAGTTCATGGGGGAAACGCGGAAACCCGGATTTGGCTCCACTCGGGTGACACAGCTCCTTGCTGCCAAAAAAGAAATGAAATCATACAGGTTGAGGCCGCTCACATTATGCACCCGAGGGGGAGATCATGCAGGATGCAGGATGCAGGAAACCTCTTTGACAACAGGAAAAGGTAAGACGCTAAACTTTAGCGAGAACGAGACTCGGGAGAATAAACCCAATGAAACCAGCGACAAGTCTGACCCGAGCATCTGCTGCGTGCAGGGCCCTGGTCCTGGACCTTTGCTGCTGTGTGCCCCGCTGGGTCCGAAGTGGATTCCAAAGTGGAGCCACCGACCTCCGTATATGTAGTGTCGATCACCCACATTGTGCATGAGCTATCCAGCTGAACCTGATTTTTAATAATATGCACGACGCATGGGCATGATCCACCACATACGTATATACCGAGAAGCTGAGCTATGTAACACTTCCTATCCCCTAGTGTCAAGCTAGACCTCTATTTATTCGGCCAGGGGACACTTCTAATGGTGCACGACTCTGGACTAGATTTGACGAGACTTCCTCTCCATTCACTCATTATCCATCATGGCGCCCTCAATTACAAGTCTTGAGCACGGGCCTTCGGTCATCCCCATCAGCTCCGTGAAGCTACCCAAGAAAGTCCCCACGCAGCTGCCCCAAGAGTCTGTCGATCTTTCCCTGACTCTCAGCGATTCCCATATCCTTGAAGCTGCACACTCTCAATATCTAGAATACTTGACGCCGGAATTGGCTCAAGAGCTGGACATCGAGTCCATTCTCGTTGTTTGCTGGTTGCTTGTGCTACATGGGTTCTCTCCCGTGCGAACTATGTACTTAGAGTTCCACCCGGGATCCAATTTGTGCTATATAGATGGTGAACGACAGGGAATCGACTCGTGTGCTTTGGAGTTCTCTTCGGAGCGTCCATTAAAAGACCTCGTTCAGGATTTCTGCCTCGTCAAGGCAGGCACCGATTCCACTGACGCTGACGAAGGATCGGCCTCCGATGGCAGGAATCATTTCCTCAGCTCGGCAATCCGCTATGCTGGGGACCGTCCAACTTTGCAAGAAGCGCCAACGTCGGCCAACTCAAAGGTACCATTCACCTGTGTTCCTCCATACATCCCTTCCCGCTTCCGCCTTTAGTCACGCTGACCTCACCTCCCTCTAGATCCCCAATCCCAAGCTCATGCTCAACGTGAAAAACGACAATGGAAGATTACATGCGAGTCTTGCCTTCTCCTCGCCTGAGGTGTCCAAAGAATTCGCAACGAGCCTCCTCCACTCCCTGAACAAAGTTGTCGCATCCATCTACCGTTCTCCCACAACCTCCTTAGGCGATCTTGATTTGTGTTCTGATCTCGACCTCATTCTTTTGCAAAAGTTTACAAAGGAGGTTTCGGACCCTCACGAGGTCCTGCTACATGATATGGCACTGGAGCATGCACGACTGACCCCCGACGCCCCTGCAATCTGCTCGTGGGATGGAAACTTCACATATCAAGAGTTAGATGATGTCACAACCCGTCTTGCCCTTCGCCTATCAAATATGGGCGTTGGTCCCGAAACCTTCGTTCTTAGCTGTTTCGAAAAGTCATCGTTCGCAATTATTGCTCGCCTAGCCATATTGAAGGCCGGCGGGGCGTATATTTCTATCGATGCTAGTGACCCTCCCATCTTCCTCGACTCAGTTATCAATCGCGTCAACGCTAAAGTCATGCTCACGTCCCCGGAGTATGTATCAAAATACACGTCCCTTATCCCAGATGTGATTGCCATCTCGGGAGAAATACTCAAAGAGCTTCCCACAGGGTCTTTGACTTCCACGGTCAAACCGGACAATGCCTGTCTGATTCTATTCACCTCCGGAAGCACAGGTCAGCCCAAGGGTATTATCCAGGAACATCGGTCTTATGCCGTAGCAATCCGCGACTACAACAAGGTTCTTGGTCTCGGCCCACATAGCCGCGTATTTCAATTCGATGACTATGCATTCGATATCAGTAACAATGATTACCTCACAGCTTTGGCCGCCGGTGGGTGTTGCTGTGTCCCTACACCCGAAAAAACCATATCTGGCCTGATTGAAAATTTCAATCTGACAAAAGCCAACATGAGCTTCATGACACCAACAGTTGCTATTCAGCTCAACCCAAGATCTCTCCCAACGTTGGAGTTACTCTGTGTTGGCGGTGAGCCCATGTCTAATGATCTACTCATGAAATGGGGTCCTCATGTGAAGCTCGTAAATCAGTACGGCATGGGTGAGGCTGCCACCTTCTGTGCGTACAACGACAACCCGAAAGCAGGCCACAATGCCGTTGTCGGAAAATCCGGCAGTGGTGCTATTTGGATTGCGAATGCTTCCTCACCCGAGCGGCCCGTGCCCATCGGCGCTGTAGGCGAGATCTTGATTGAAGGTCCCCACCTCTCTCGCGGGTACTTGGATGACCTCTGCCAGAAACCTGACGTAGGATTCCTCAGTGAAGTGCCACGGTGGATTGCGGATCTGCACCCGTCACGAGTATCACGTACTCGCATCTATCGCTCTGGTGATCTGGGTCGGTATCGCCATGACGGCACAGTGGAGCACATGGGCCGAAAAGACACGCTTCTTAAACTCAACGGTGGTCGCGTTGAGTCGACCGAAGTGGAGTACGTTCTTCGAAAGGCTCTTTCACCGGGCGATTTTACCGTCGTCGATATGCTTGGCGAGATTGACGGTACCGACGATCCTATTCTAGTTGCCTATGTTTACCTCGCTGGGAACCCAGCAAATCTTCTTCCGGGAATTTCAGACCACGAAATGTCGTTTCTTCCGATCACAAATCGTGTCCGGGTGAGCAGCTTGGTGGAGTCAATGCAGAAAGAAGTTGATAGCACGTTGCCAAAACACATGATGCCTAGCATGTTTCTCCTTGTCGACCGAATTCCACGTACAAGGTCCAACAAACTTGATCGCCGAAAGTTGCATCAGATCGCCCAAAAGTGGTATAAAGATAATCGAGATCTGTGAAAGCTTCTAGCTTTTTTTTCCTCCGAGCTTTTGGTTTCGGTTGCGACTTTTGTTTTTTCAGGTTTGTGTGCAAAGCTAGCATATCAGGCCAGGTTTATCCGGACCTTTTGGATCCAATAGAGCAACGTCCTTCGATCATTTTCAAGGGGCCATATCACCAGCTATTCTCGTGTTACTCAATGTTACCCTGCATCTCGATGGTTCATGGGTCATCATTAAGACTGGGCAATACTGTACTTTACCTGTCATACTTCCGAATATTGTTGAATTAAATTGAAGAAAAAAGATTGATACAGAATTGGATAATCCTACGTAATTACCGGTATAAGTCAGGGAATTTTGACCAAAAGCCTACATTTCTTCGCTTCTCAAGGTTCTAGGACCTCCATTTTTGAATCTATCACTGATGTAAAGTAAGGTGCTGACCAGGCTTATGTACTCTCGCCATCGTTGGGACAAGTGGTGGTTGATATTCTATATATAAAAGCCGAGGCAGACAGTCCCGCATACAGCTGTTTGGTCTCCTCGAGTCCCTTCCCTGAAGTTTCAGGGAGCCATATAATGGCAAATATTAATCCCAAGAACGTAATACCCGAAAAGAACCAAAATTTTCCAGCTGGTGTTAAAGCTGAGTTCAATAGCATCGACGGCGTTGCCTTAATATACGTTAGTTAGCCACCAGATAAAGCACATTATTCAAATACACCTTTGAGATACCAATTCGGTCACCAAAATGAATGCAAGTCACTAGGCTTGCACTACTTAGGCGAACACGTAAAGGAAATGTTTCGGCCGTGACGAGGTACTGGATAGAATTCCATCCCATCGCCCAGCCAACGCCGATAAAGTACATAAAAACAATGGACCCAACTGCAGCATGCACAGCAGGACCAGATGAGCGGGTAGAATCAGAGATATGTGAGTAAACGGTCAAGAAAATTGAATCATATATGAGAGCCACGAGCTGAAGAGTGATGCCAATGTAGAGTGTCTTCTTCCGGCCCAGTTTATCGATGAGCAAAACCGCGCCGAAGAATGCCGCGACAAGCTTGACCAGCCCAAATATTGCCGTGACAAAAAGCTTTTCATTTTGTCCAGTGATACCGAAGAGACTAAACAGCTCCGGGGCATATGCTACACAAGTACTGTAAGCGGAGGACTGTATCGATACACAGAAAAGACTCACTTGTAACCGAGTTTGGGCCAGACCATTGGCTAAGGAGCTGTAAGGTAATAACAAAGCCAATGCGGCGCAGATTTTGACGGGTCATTAATAGCTCTTTGAACGCCGATATCCAAGACCGGCCACTGGATGCCTTTTGCTCTTGACTGAGTTGTTTTCTGGCATTTTCCATTTCAAATCGAATGACTGGATCCATTGGATGAAGCTCCCATAATCTCCCAAAGATCTCGCAAGCTTTATCCGGTAGTCCTTTTTTGCAAAGAAACCGTGGGCTTTCTTCACAAGGCAAAGATGCAATGAGCAAGAGTACTGCCCACATAATTTGAACACTCTGGGGGATAATCCATTGACTGGAGCTGGAGTCGGAAATGTGAATGGAAGCGCCCCAGATTGAGAAATACTGCCAATTTTTAGACAAATAAACCAAAAGATGCGCCTTGACACGCAAGAGAAGGTGGACTTACCCCAATGAAGACCGCAAACATAGCCTCTTCGCATGGTCTCCGTGAGTTGAAACTCGGTGTTGCCGGATGATGGCATATTTTTTTTCGATATACCTAGGTATTTGACGCCAATTTCAATGTTGATCATTTCTATCCATTTGCGGGCGCTGTATAGCTGCTTGAACAGATGGTACAGTTTGAACATCGTGCCTGACTGACACCTAACTACGCTTAATTACGCCTATTTACGCCTAATGTCTGCCTGAATTAAACCTCATTGACACCTCACCAACCTGATTGACACCTAACCAACCTGCTTGACACATGACTGACACCTAAGTCATTGACGCCTATTTTACACTTGAAATCTGCCTGACTTGCTCATCTCTACGCTGCGAAGAGAAGTCGGAGAAATCGCCAGCTTTTCGTGATGTCGACATCTAAGTTACAAAGATGTCCAAAGGCCCGCATGATGGAATGTCGTGCGCGAAAGAAGGGGGATGCGAAATTTGCATTAGCTACCTCGATCGATGGTCTTCTGAACCGTTCTCCAGCCGCACATGATTTGATGTCTCATCTACGGTGGTACAAGCACGTAGATTTCGATGGATTATGGGATTTGCTTGTAAGGGTAGGACAAGACTGAATCTATTTATAATATCGGAAATATAGCGCCAGTGAGAAAGATGGATGTTCTTCATGACGTCGCCCAATCCGATCTTAATATTTGAATCGCTGGCCGAGACATTGAATGGATGAGAATGGCCAGCTGGCAAAGACACTGCTATCAGTGGTATGTTGCACTCAGGTATAGCAGGAGTAAAAGGGACTGGTAGAAATTAGCATATCGCCGACAATTACCTGAAAATAGGAAAAGTAACTCACTCAGCCTCGCCTCTCCATCCGACGCACTTCCAACAATCAAATATGTGAGTAGGATCATACCGGTTCTTCACATCCAAAAGCCTGTCGTAGAAGGAACCAAAATAAGTGTATTCCCAGTCAGGCTCCAAATAGCTTGCTTCATTCAAATAAGCTCCACCACCAGGACTCAGCTTCTTCAACGGATCAACTGTGTGCAAGATCCCATCAGCGACAATTTTCAACTCGTGATCATCCAACGGTTCGAGCCATTCGCCAACATGAATGACATGCCATAGAGCATCCCGCCACGCCGGGTTAACGGCCGATGATTCGTCTGCATTCAAGTTGCTCACGGGTGTCTCGGAGACAACCTGGGTCCCGGTGAGATTGAAAAGACTTCTGGCCGTTGCAATTCCCTGCAAGACACCTTCAACCAATTCATCAATGGTTTCCGGGTCAGCGAACACCTTGGTAGGTATCAACCGTGACGAGAGAAGAGAGAAGATTCCAGATGGCTCCGTGACTTTGGCATCGGCCGATGTCACTGATAGGTAATTGGCGTAGCTGGAGTAGGAATTATATTCATTGGCGGACACGGAAAGATCCGTGCGATTGGCGAGGAACTGGGCAAATCGGGCGGTGGCGGACTTTAACTTCGATCCATTGTCTCCATAAGGCAGTACCAAGCTGATGGCAAATTTCTCAGGAAAGTACTCGATCTGGCCTGTGACAAGCTGGGCAGACCAGTCCATCTGGTTCTTGGCGTGAGCGGTCAGAATTTCACGGAGGGCAACATTCTCCGTCGCATTGGTGTGAGGGCCAGCATTAGTGAAATTTGCTGTAAAGGTGTAGGTGTGGATTGGTAATGATGGGTAAAGCTGAACACGATACTTGGTAAGGACCGCGTAGGTACCGCCTCCACCGCCGCGCATGGCCCAGAAAAGATCAGGATCATTACATTGGTTGATCACGCGTAGCTCTCCATCGGCAGTGACGACTTCGAATTCCACGGCATTGTCAGCCATGAGGCCATAAGTTGTGGTAAATGACCCGACACCGCCTCCTTGAGCGAATCCGCCAGCAACGCCGACAGACTCTTCATACCCTCCCATAATATCCATTCCGTGATTATCGAAGAAGCGGTAGGCATCTCCCGCGACAACACCAGCGCCAAGCTCTCCGACATTTTGACTGCTCGAAGTGGGACAGCCCTGAGCGGTGAAGTTGGAGTGGAATATCAGACTGTCGAGATTTTTGGTCCAGATAGCAAGGGTGTTTGGAACAGATGATCTTCCGTAGAAGTCGTGGCCAGTGTTTTTCACGCTGATGCGGATGTTGTGGGTCTTTGCAAACTTGAGTGTGGCAGCAATGTGCGATGGTTCATGAACATCAACATAATATGATGCTAGACGACCAAGAGAGCAATTCCCATATGTAATCTCGGTTGGATCAGATTCCAGAAGCGCACATCCAGAGTCATGACAAGTCTCCCAGTTCAGCCAATAGGTCTGTCCGAAGTGCTCTCCACGAGGGATACTATCGCCATAGTATTCCTGAACAATATTGCAGGCATCTGGGCTGTAGTATCTTGAAGTTTTGTAGCAGGAGGCGGCAATTGGAATGGTTTCAGATAAGCGACCATCAACGCTGGTGTTGAGTTGCTTCCATTCGCTCAATGATGGCCAACATTTTTGACCTGGTCGACAGTCGTAACTGGCAGCAGTGACGGATGCTATCAGAATAAAAAGGACGAGAAAAACGGAAAAGAGGGTTTTGGTCATTTTGTGCCAGCCAGAATGTCAGATGTGCTTTGGCAATATTGAACGTTTAAATTTGTAGAAGAATTGACAATGTTGAAGCTGATGAGAAAAGTCTCTCCTGGGCATCAATGCCTTTATATAATAACTTCCTATCACCAGCACGTCGGTCTCGAATTCAAATATTCAAGGTTTATAATCTTCATCCAAGCATGAAGGTCATTGATTTGAGATCAGCATTCCGCAAAGGGAAACACGCGTAAGCAAGGATTCCACTACCCACAGAAACGAAGACTTCGAACCGTTGTCGACAATCCTTTCGCTACTTCGCCACGTCTATTGCCGATCGAGCAGATTCAATCTATCACAAAAGTCTCAGAAGCTGCGGCGTCACCGAAATTGCGATCGTATATGCAGGGCATCGAAACTGCTTCCCGTTATGGTAAAGTGGGGCCGCGTTGCTTATTCTTAGTCTCGGAGGGCCCGAGCCCAACCTTCTTTGCTGCGCGAGTGGGTAATCGACGCCTCTCTTTGACAAGGTTTGCTAGCTCTGATGGACGTGGGTGTAAGCTGATGCGAAATTTGACTTTTCCTCAATTCACGGAGAATGCGATTTCAAGATCGAAACCAATATCCTCTTTGGGAAGCATCGCATCGTACACAGCCGTTCCAGCTTCTAGATGAAGCAATGTAGACGTTGTAGGCTTTGGCTAGGCGCAGCCGCAGTTTTCAGTGCACCAGAGAGCGATACGATCGAATATAAATCACCATGATCGCATCAGACCAGATCTTCTTTTTGTCTACACTCCATCCTTCACAAGACTCGCCTACCCCTTCTGTGATATTTCTAAGCACCTAGCAAGACAATGGCTATCACTGCTGAGCACATCGCTATTGCAGAGCTGGTTATATACATACCCGTCACTTTACTTGCGATCTTCGTGGTCTTCCGTCACGGATTCCACAAGCAGCTGGGATGGATCTATCTCTGTATCTTTGGTGTTATCCGCATTGCGGGTGCCATCATGGAAGTCCTTAGCACCAAGAACCCCGATAATGACAACGACAAAGAGTGGGCGGTTATCCTTCAATCGGTTGGCCTCTCACCTCTCCTTCTATCGACATTAGGACTGTTAAAAAGAATGTGAGTGTAATCTGTGGCCTTCGCTTGAAAGATTGGAAGGATTCCTATTTCTAAACTTCAGTACCTAGCTTTGACGAGACAACTTGCCATCTCCCATCGGATCCAAACTCGAAAAGAAACCTCATAGTTCAGGGACTGAGTGTTTTCCCTGGCATAATCGGTAGACTGTGAGTGCTCACGTCCACACCCGCTGCAAAACTTGAACCCTAATCCCCTCAGTGTATCCATCTTCACTAGCAGGGCAACCGCCACATCTCGTCGCAGCAAAATCGTCCAACTGCTCCACCTCCCCGCCTTAATCGCCCTGATCTTGGCCATCAGTGGCGGAACCGACGAAGCCTCTTCCAACATCTCTGATCACGCATCAGGAAAATCCGAAACCCGTGCCGCGATCATCCTCTTCCTCCTTATTTACGTTGCTGCCTGTATCCTTTTCCTCATCACTATGCGCAATCTGCGGACTATGGCACCGAGCCAGCAACGGATTTACATCTGCATCTTCTTTGCGTTGCCGTTGATTGCGGTTCGGTTACTCTACAGCTTGATCAGTGACTTCGGGAGCGATCCTAAATTCTCGTTGGTCGATGGCGACCCGAGTGTTCAGCTAGGTATGGCCACCATTGAGGAATTCCTTGTTGTTTTGATGTACACCATTCTGGGGTTGGTGACTCCTCGGTCTATTATTGACCCTGCTGTCGGGGGTGGCATTATTCCACCGCAGAGCTATACAATGGAAGGATCAGGACCTTCTGGCGGGCCTTCCGAATCTGGTATGGCTTACCAAAATGTTGCATATGCAGAGGCCGGAGCTCAGAGCGCGTACTCTCAGCAGCATGCACGACGGAATTGGCACCAATAATGCTGGAGGTGAACCACAGCAAATAGCCGAGTTTATGATCAACGCATGAGTTGCAAACTTGCATGTATAGAGCCGGAATATGAATATATCGAGATAAGGGAGGTAACACTAGAAATTGTCAAAGCAATAATGCATAGAAAGCGTGAAGATAGCAATATTAATTATCTTAGTTTGATCTATTCCCTATGATCATGTTCAAAAGTTCTAAGTTGCTCTCGTTGCATCCAATAATCTATTCAATCCCTTCAAATTTCTATATGGTCATCACTGCTTGGTGTACCCTCTTGCGACAACCATGCTCGGGAACGCATTCCTCGCCGCAAGAGATGTGCCATTGCCAAAGCTTGATTGATGCCCATAGAATGGCCAATCTTCTCTAAGCAGTTGATAATCCACTGGCGAAGGTCCTGACAGGCAAGGCCAGAGTTCCCAGCAATCAACAGCGGCCACATCAGGCTGAATCCGCCCGCCCCTGTCACTTTGAGTGGGGCGGAATCCTCAACGTCGCTTTCTTCATTGGCTTCTATCCCTGCACCAAGATTAAAAGGAACACTGGCGCATATATCTTCTACCAGCTGATGTGCAACAAGTCGGCTTTGACTATCCAATGCACGCTGTCGGCGACGGTCAGTATCTTCCAAGGTAGATGCTTCAAGTGTCTTCACAGCATCGATGATCAGTTCGTGCACCAGAATCCTTGCTGATCGGTAATTATTCCACATGCTACTTGATGCAAGGCTTTCATATATATGGTAATTATCTCCCCAGACGGCTTTGGTGATGGCTTCCCCATTGAACAGTGGAACTTTGACGGTTCTGTAGCTCCATGCGAGAGGCACGCTGATGAAAAGTGATGTGAGATTTGCATCGATGGTCAAGGCAGTACGAATGATCTCGCCAGGGTCCGTAACGCTTCCATCCTTCATCGAAGCGCAGAAATTACTCAAGCGAATGACTTCGAGGCCCAGTTGGTCAACAATGTGGTCGTTTGAGTTTCGGTATCTCATCGCATTCTCTGAGAGCTGAAACAGAAGCGGCGAACTGTATCTTTCCTGGTAGATCTTGCCAATATGCTAAGTGCATTCTTGGTTAGGGACTTTGATGGATTCAACAACAATATCTTTCAGACAATGAAACTCACTATTTGTGCGCGCAATTGGGTGAACAAGTCTAGCCCTTCCCGGCGGACCAATTGGTCCACACCTCGAAATTCTATCAATTTTGTGGCGCCTTCCATATGCTTCATCCAACGGTCAATGAAGGAGCCGTCAGAGCAAGTAATAACCTGTTCGGTCAGACACTCCGTTTCTCTGATCGGATCAACTTGTCAAACATACTTCAAACATGCCCAGTAAGACGACTGCCGCCAAGGTGTCATCTCGCTTGGACATGGCGATACTAGCCAATGCCCGGTTGGTCTCTGAAAGCGCATTGGTGTACTCGCGTCGGGCTTTCAACATCATTTGAGGCGACAGCCGGATGTTAGATAAAGCCGCCAGGCCAACCGCATTGAGAGCGGAATTCACCGCTACATTCCCGGGGTCAGCAATCAAAGGCAGGAGATATGACATATGCCCCCCTTCGAGACCACCAGTAATATAGTGAGAAAAGAAATAGCCTTTCGCTAGATCTTGCGCCGGGAACTCTATATTGTTCCTTGGCGAAAAGCTCAAAGTGCTAGTTGATATAGATTCCTCCGTGCTGACGGGCGTTATAGCGCCAGACCGCTTCTTCCGCGCGGAGCGTTGTGCCCGGCTGATGACCTCTTCATTCTGGTCTCGGAAGCCCAGATCAAGCCTATTTCGATACCCAGGGCAGTCGACTCTCGCCCTGATACATGAACTGCAGGATGGTATACCTTGGTCGCACTAGTAAGCTAGATCAGCCCTTGCGCTGCATTTCTCGGGACTACATGGTCAAAGGGCGTCATGTGGATCCAAACTACCTTCAACCGTCTCGACCGACAACGCTCACAAGCACCGCTTGGCTTGCCTCGATACACCATTCAACCAGCTGTCAAATATAAACTGGCCGATTGCTTTTGTCCAAAAGAAGTTACCAGTTAGTCGTACCAACTTAGCGAACAGATCACCTGGTAAACATATATGACGCGATAGATGCCTAGAGCCAAAACGTGGAATGTGAGAACAAGAAGTATGAAAGTAGGGAACAGCTTTGGGCAAGTACTTCGACGGAGCGGGGCCAAGCTACCCAAGATGCGTGGTGGCAATTGGGCGCAGAATGGTGAGCTTGTATACTCTGATCTTCCGCCTAGCTCGATTGGGCAGGTGTTTCGATCTGACTCATCCATGCTGACCAATCACAGCCCGGCAGCTGATTATGTGGAATGCTTCTTCGTAAAAACACCCGGACACCAATTGCTACATCCGGCTAGGAGAATCTATAGCGCAGCGGCTACCTCAGATAAACTTTTCCCGACCAATCTCCAGAAAGAGATTCCTTGTCCGGAATTCAAGAACAACACGTTCCAGGCGGTTCGTTTCTCCTCTGGAACTCACGTATCCATTGTGTGACAGCCTTACCAAGAAGCACCATGATGCCTATATAAACTAAGAGCACAAACATCTCCCCTAAAAATCGCTCCCACTCGTCTTCCACTTCATCTTCCTCTGCATCTGTGGTCCCATCTTCTTCCTGGCTCTCGGGTAAGAATGATGCAGCTTCGCATTTCACACACAATGCGTGAGGCTCGTGGTAACTGTTTCCATGTATTATACATGCAATAGCATGGCCTTTAGCGAAGCATCTATCCACAAGTCGATGGGTTGGAGGATGTATAGGGCAGAAACACATTTCTATTTTTTGAGGAAATGTTTTGAAGCCAAGTTGAAATAAGACGTTTGTGTTGATAGTACTTGAATTTGGAGATTTCGTCTCTTAATAAATGCTGACTGAAACTGCTCACCTTGGACTATCTGACATCCTTTATAAGTGCATAGGTATGTCTTAGAATCAATAAAGGGTCAGGTTTATCATAATGAAATCATGGTACGTCTTAGATGGGCTAGTGAGTTGACCTGTCATTGTGGGAATTTTCAACAATGAAAATTTAGAACAAAAGCCATGTCCAGGACTCTTTGTCATACCCCTAAAAGAAGTTCATTCATTGAAGTAAAGTCGTGAAGAAGCATATCATAAGAACTTTGCTGGGGACCCTGGTAGCTCTCTTGTTGATTCGAAAGGTAGATGGTAGTCTCATTCTGTAATAGAGGATTTTACCCAGTAAGATTGTATGAGATGAATGTGGTAAAAGAAATAACAACGACTTTGCCTTCTTTTAAGATATCCTGAAAGGATGTAATATGCGGATCGAAAGGCAGTAACATAAAAACTGATTCTAGATGTTACTTTCCGTGAGCTAAAGGCTATACATAGGGGAAAAAAGCGTTTTAAAACATCACAACTGCACAGCTTGATGCAGTCTGATGCGATAGAGTCGCATTCTTTGGCGGTGATCATAACAACTACCTAGAAGAATGCCGTGGCATCCACGTCGTTCTCTCCAAGGTTGCCCAGGTCCCAATTAGTCTCCACAGTCTTCAAAAGACTGTAGTGGTTATATGCAGTGTCGTCTTTCGTACCAACCTGCGCGCTAGAGACCGCACCACCCAAAAGGACAGCATAGATTTGGTTCGTTCCCGTGGTCAAGCCCTCGTCAAAGGTAAGGATGATCAAAGTGCTATCAGTGTTAAAGTTCTCATTTGAGAGCAGAGGAGTCAAAAAATTACGAGACCAAAGTCCAGCTGTGGCAAGGGAGCTATCGTGACCATCGTTGGCTGCCAGCCACATTGAAGTCAGTATAATTTCAACAGATTTCCAACTACAGAACAAAGAAACACATACTCATGTTGGGGGTGATGAACATCCACTGAGGCAGCTCGTTGTTGTCCAGGTCTTTGTAGAACATAGTGAAGTTCTTCGATTTAGCAAGACGGTCGGTATCCGATGTGACCGAGTTGTAGCTCATCAGGGGGCTTGGAAACAATGTATCAGTAACTTGGTGCTCTCACAAATCTGGATGGTGGGTGACTCACTTGTGCTTGCGCATATAATCATTCGCACCAGTCTTTTGGTTCTTATAATTTGCCTCGAAGCCAGAGTAAGGCATATCCTCTTGATACAGACTCCAGCTAACACCAGCATCTTCCAGGAGATCAACGATAGTCTCAGTGCTCGAAGAGATATAGTGTGTAGAGTCGTCAGTGATTCCGAAGGTGTTACCCCCAACAGCGGCCACATAGTTAGGCTGCGACCTCATGTGAGAAACGAGGAATCACTTGAAAATCTGGGCGAGTCATCTTACCTGAGAGGGGTGGGTGATCGCATAGTAATTTGTAAGTGTGATGCCTAGGGACGCGAGGTAGGCGAGGTTGGCTAAATACCAGGTTAGCGATATGCATTATAATCGATTGTCATGCCATTAATGAGCACTTACTATCCTTAATAGCAGCACTGTAATCCTCATTCTCTAACCAGATCTGAACAAAGCGATCGAAGGTCAGACCGGCGACACTCGAGGTAGGAGATAGAGTTAGCGCAGTGGCAGCCGCCTTAGCTACGGCAGCCGTGGCAGTAGAAGTATACTGCGACTGGGCATAAACCGCCGAAAACAGCGCAAAAAACGCTGTATTCCTTGAGAAGGTCATGGTGCTTAGCGAAGTGGTAATGGTGGTGAAGGGATAGAGCTATAGAATACAATCTAGTCGGTGGCTACATTCTCTCCCTATATATAAGCATCCAATGCCAGGCCCTGTTAGATAGCATTGGACTGTAATTCGTATTTCTTCAGGTCGCGTCACTATTCAACTTTCCGCAGAGCTAAGCGAGGTGGTATCGCAATATCAATTTATCGTGTTATATCCTGGCAACCGACCACGTGTAGCGGCACAGTCCGTAGCACGAAACCACGCTAGGGACTTGCATAACACCTTTCAAAATAGTGTAAGTTTCTGCAGGCACGAAGTACTCTGTTCACTTATAGACGGAAGTGTGCGCCTACATGATTAACAATACCATTTCAAGAGACCATCTCACCATGCTCATGATGCAAACAGGCAGAGTGGAAAGTGAGATTCGGCAATTGTTACAGGGTCTAGCGGGACACGGAGTATCCCGCAGCATCGCGGGGATGTCTGCAAACCCTCGGAAGCTTTTAGGCTCTTCATATTGCACGGCATCGAAGCTAGCTCCCGTGTATTCTCGCAAATCGTATGGCGACTAGTGTACACGTGTGCCAAGGACTTGTTTTCGATCTTCTGCACATTGTCAGGCTAACAATGCGCCGCGGGATCTTGAATACGTGCGATCTGCAGAACGCCTAGGCAGGTCTGCAGACTGTTTTAGGGCACTTACAAAGTTAAATCCTCCTGACGCGCCAATGGGACTTTAGTTATCGCTCAGCATATGAGTCAACGTGCCTGACAAGTTCCTCGGTTAACGACGAAGCAGTTCAAAATACCGACAGTCTCGTTTGCACCCTCGTGAGACTGGTGGCTTGCCTTCTTCAATGCAATTTGATATTGAAGATGACATTATTCGCTTTGAGCTCCACCATAATGAAGGCCAGGGTGTTAATAGGCGAGAACAATGGCTAGCTCTCTAGAGTTACGAGTGGAAAGGCGGCCGATTTTAGCGCTAGAGGCTATCAATCTTCGGAATGTATTTCATGTGCCCTCGGATTCTATATGTAAACCTGCTTTGTTTATGATTTTGGGACTTATATTATTAGCATTCGGGTAAGATTAAGGAAAATCAAATATAAACGAAAACGCTCATGGGGAATCAACACTCTTTCAGGGAGTGATCTAATTAGCAATCAATGCACTTCCCGATACGTCAGAACTGTGCGCTCTATCCAGCATTCTCTCCTAGACCTGCCACCGGGGGTCCCTCTCTATTAACTCGACTCACGTCGCCGCTATTGTCAGGCTCTCATGTTCGCGGCCGAGTTTGTGGAGGAATAGGTTGTGGGAACTGTAATTCCATTGCCTGTCTTCTCTGGCGTCGTCCTGTGCGTTGGACCTGTAGGAAATTGACACCCACCTGGGCAAGGAATATCGCCAGGAACGCACCCATGACGAGGGTTTGTGGGATATAAGTCTGGGATGAGTTCTCTGCGTTGGTGCTTGGTTGTTCTTCGGGGTTGCTTGTCTGTCGTATAGTCTCCTGAAAAGGCGTTGAGCCACCGAAAGATACTGAGATCGAAAACGTAAAAGGGGTGAATGACGTAAGCACATTGGGAGTCAAGGAGTTGACAAATCTTGAGAGAGGTTTTAATGCCAGAGGTATAAGGCAAAGGACGAGGAGAGGAACGGCTAGTCATAAGACAGAATTTATAGACGAGCGAGATGACCTAGAAGACAGAGTTAGATGGATATTGTGAACAGCATGATTGATAATTACCAGTCACGGGCCTCCAGTTCCCTTGCCCATCGCGCACAGATCTTCAGTCGCTCCCTAACGCTCATCGCGGACAGAATGGGATACTTTTCCTCTTCGGCGATGGGTAGAATACTGGCGAACCACCATGGAAATCGGGCGGCATCCGTGGGAACAGGTCCATAAGCTAACATAACGCGCGGGTGTAGCCACGGGGCGCCTGTTTGGCGCTGTTTACGAATGAATTCCCGCGTCAGCAGCATCAGATCTTGAGTTGACATCGACTCTAATGGGGCTTCGACATCAAGTCCATCCGGGGATGGATCTAAATTTGCATTTGCCGCTGTCTCCATTGCCTCGAGTCTTTCCTCTTCTGCTAAAGAGATATCATCCATGCGCTCAGTTCTAGCCACATGATATCCATCGAGCATGCCGGCCTCCAGCACTTTGAATCGTGATACTCCGGTGGCAATGACAAGGCTGCGCCCATCTGGCAACAACTCGTAGCGCTCAACCATTAGCAATGTTCCATACTGCATAAATGGAACACCACCGATTTCATCTGCTTGTGGCCGGCCCCGGCGGTTATACATGACCATGCCAAACTTGCCATCCCCACTCTCAACAACTCGCCGTATCATAAGTCGATATCGAGGTTCAAAGATGTGCAAAAATGTTGGCATGGTAGGAAATGACAAAGTGCAAACGAATAGCGGCAACTTTTTATCTTGGTCCACACCCAGTTCATCTTGGGCGACAGCTTCTCTCCTAGCTGCGACCTGGTCCGCGAAAAGTTCGTCAATCAGCTTTGAGAGTACCCAGTTTCTAGGCTCATTTTGCATGGACGTGGGCATTCCAAGTTTGCGGCGGCATATCGGACAAAGATCGGAGTGATCCAGCACTCGAGCAATACATGTTCGACAGAAGGTATGGCCACAGGGCAAGGTCAAAGGATCAAGTATAAGAGCATAGCAGACCTGGCAGTCTAGTTCGCACCGAAGCTTTTCCTTGAATTGTTGGAAGCAGCTGCGATCTTCCTCGGTATATGCTTGAGGTAGCGACGCTCCACCAGAATCACCACCGGCTTCTTCATAACCAACATCAACGGCATCGTAAGGGAAGTCGCCCTCATAAACCGCCTGATATAAGCCATGGAGCCATGTCCGCTGACCTATATGAAGGCTCTGTTGTTCTGAAGCAGGCTCTGAATCTTTTGAACCTTTCCTCCAACAGATAGCCCGGCCATCCGCATCGCGCGCATTCCGGGCATCCTGCCTCGCCATCAATTCCTCTTGGAAGATCCCAACCACGAAGCAAAGTACCACATCAGTACCGCAGTCTCCAACGCAATGTTCGCCAACGCAGCCATCTTGACCTTCCCAGTAACATGTAAATCCCTCTTCTCTACCCTGCGCCACGGGGTACGTGATCCCCGTGCGCGGTCGGACGGGTGGCAAACATTCCCGACATACAGTATTCCCGCACGGTAATCGGCATGGGGCGCGCAGGGGTTTCGAGCAGCGATAGCACTGAATCAACCGCACGACGATGTGAGGGGCAACCTTTCGTTCGGAGGGATCATGTTCTTCGGAGCTGGACATATCCGAGCTCTCCACGGTCGCAACGGGTTCGGCCTCGGCTGGCGGCGGGAGCGGGGGCGGGGGCGGGGATGGTTCTTCAACATTCTCCATGGCTTGCCGGTGAGAATGAGAGGTCGGAGAGGTCGATATTTTTCCAAAGTTCTTGAGACATTCGAGGAGAGAGACCATGGGAAGACCGGGTCGAATCTCTGGGGATGAGGGTGGGGATCTGCAATCAAAAGCGGGTCTCAGTCACCATCTTAGATCAAAATTTGCGTGCGCTGAACCTGCGTCATAGGGAGAACTTTCTTTTACACGATACTGGGATTTCAGGTTTTTAGGTCAAGTAGATTGTTTGTACATGAGGTTTGCTCTATACTGACTATTTCTACCCGGTTTCCAATCGTCAGATTACCTATCTTGATATTGACTACAACGGCATATAAAAGCCAATGCGCGAGGTACGCAAAATATGTGATTGATATCATTCGTGTCTCATTTCCAAAGCCAGTCCGCCGCCAGATATGATGCAGAGAGCAAAAAAACGAAAACATGAAACCAGACCATGATTCAATCCTTTGCCGAGACTCTCGGTGCTTATAGATTGGAAATGTGTATAAATCATTGACGCCACGCCACTGGGAAAAAGGAAACAAGCAAATGAATGGTCATAAACCCTGTCAACGAGGTGGAAAAAGCCGCTTCATCATTTGGATATCATGAGCACTATGTGGAACAATCTGAGTCAGACTCAGAATCTTCTTCAAGAACTATGCGCCTCATAACACTCTTGTCGAAGAGGTCGAGGGCAAACCGTCGCGCTGGTAACCGGTAATGATGGCTTTCGAGGATGCAAAGCGTCTTTCGGAAAAGGTGAACTTGGTGAAACCTTTCAGGTTGCTTGGATTTCATCCTAAATCAATCGTGGTCAGCAGGTACTATCGAACAAGAGGAAAATAGTAAATTACCCGTGTAGGTCCGACGCAGATCTTTTGGATAAAACGGTATTTCCCATGTCGACAACCAGCTTCAGGATTTTTTGGTTGATGGCATCGGGATCGGTGGTAATCTCCTTGATTTTGTCTTGTGGGGTACGTTTGGTCTCGGAATCGTAACCAGGGAAAGAGATCTAGGCCTGTTAGTGGTGGGATATGATGACACTGGCACTGCACGCTTACCAAGAACAGCTTGCGGAAGTCGGTGGGAAGACAAAGACCTAGCGAATCGCCTTCATGATTGATGGCTGAATCCCATCCCATACCCCGAAGCACCTCGAGCCCGTGACGACTGCGAGAGATCAAGCCGAGGACGAAGAAGGCAGTTCCTCGCATAGTCAAAACTCCGGCGCTCTCTGCAATGGCCACAATGCGTTGTACGATTTCTATTTCAAGGAATGGTGCACCAAGCTCCATGGATCCAACATTGCCAACGGCCCAGAGGCATCCTTTCACCTTGAGAAGCGCCTCGTGATCTTCCTCGTCGAGGCGAAAATCGCGGATTGTCCAAGCGAATTCATTGAAATGACCGGACTGCTCCAGTAGCTTACAACCTTCTGCGGTGCGGGCAAGTTCACGGTAGAAATGAGGTGGGACCACTCCAATGTCCTGCATGTCGACCAAATCCTCCGGCGCAAAACTATTGCGACGTGGTTGATCAACATAAGCTCTGGATAAGGCGGCCTCCACAAGACCAACGTAAGAGTCGTTTCGACCAAGGAACCAGTCGTCCATCTCCTGTGTGATATAATCTAGGCCATCCAAATAATGGTAGCCGACCGAAGTTGACAAAAAGCGCAGAAGAAGCGGTGCGCCAATCTCTCCTAGATGGTCAAGAGACGGTCGGCACTTGACCACGAATTCAAGATAGTCTCGCTGGTTGCATGCCTCTTCGAGAATCTTAACAGCGACCTGGCAAACTGTGACATCCGGATCGTATAGCTGAGTCACGAGAAGCTTTACTACCCATTCCGCATTGCCAATCGCCACTTGAGGAGACACTGTGAGATCGCCGACCGCATATTTTCGGAGAAGGCGTGTGGCAAAGATACGGATATCTTTTGAACCAATTGTGAGCGCTTTTGAAAGCATGACTCTAAGATGGCTTTCTCGACTATAGTCCATGTTTCCCAAGAGAGTCTGGATCAGGTCATTTCGATCTTGCAACTCGATGATGTGATAGAACATGTTCAACATGTGCCATCGTTCCATCATGAGGAGGCCGTTCGCGTCAGCGCTCAGCGTTCCTAACATCGCAAAGTATCCTCCACTTAAGGTGTTTCCCATTTGCTCCCGGGAGAACAATGGGGAGGCAGAGGTCAATCCACTCATGCGATCTAATTGCGCAAGACACTCAGCAACTTGCCGCAAAAACTTGTTCTCAGCAAGATACTTGGTTCCCTCTGCAGTCTGAACGAGAGTGCGCATCAAGGCGCAGCCAGTCCGGACATAGCGCTGGTTTGGCTTGGTGTTTGGGACCATAGAAAAGCGATACTTGAAGGGCCGGTAAAACCCAACAAGCCGTTTCATGAATTTGGAACCCTTGATTGCCTCGTCCATTCGCTTGGGGTTGGTGAGGGGGCCTTCGACCAGACGATGGATGAGATCCCACTTCCACTTTATATAATTAACAGTGTTTAAAACATGAGTCTCCAAAATGGCATTGCGAAATTGAGTCTCATCCATGGAATAGGTCAGCTTATCTTTACTCTGATCAATTGGTAGCAAAGAAGCTGATATGTCGGTGTCCACGTTGTAACGCCCTACTCCATTGGGGACAGCTCCAGAGCGTGCCAATGTTCGGTTGATGCTTTCAATTTGAAAGATGGTTGAAGTCGAAACATCATGATTCTCTGTGTCAAATTTTATTGCAGCGGGAAGCAGATGTGGAAGGACTTGCAAGTTTGCACTGACGGTCGCTGGTAGTGAGTGGTGGGCCAGCTTAAGAACTTCGGTTAAGAGGAGAGTAGCTTTGCGCCTAAGTGAAGGATCTGTTTCATCCTCAATCAGATCAGAAAGAGCCTATGATCGATTAGCATTGTGCAGTTGGTCTAAATCTCAGGCAATTCCCTACCTTGGGTAAGCCTGCAGCAATCAAGGCTGCCAAGATAAGGGTGGAAAAGTGAGCCGTCAGGTCAAACTTGTTGGCAGTGCCATCTGCAAAGCCGCGCGGGTGCTTAGGGTCGGTATCAGAGCGTAGATTCGACACTCGACCATAAGTGGTGAGTCTCCTGCCCGCGAGGAAAGAAGATGACCAGGACGGAGGCTTTATTCGCAGAGCGTCGAATAGTAACTCCATGATGAGGTCGCGAGCTTGGGAGTCAGGGTACTGAAGTGATTCAAGGAGAGACCGCAATGGTCTTGCTTGGTGTCTTGCAAGGATCACTAGGCCAGGCCATGTCTTGAGCATTGCGGAGATTGCTCGGGCGGCAGATTTTAAGCGGCCATTTCGTAAAGAATCGGCTAAGGAGTCGGTAAAAGGCGCTAGGACGGCTTCTAGTTCGCAGCCTTGCAGGTATTTTCGGCTTCGTGGTGTATCAAGAACATGCAAAAAACTTGAAATCAAACTTTCCGAAGCACCAAATGTGCCTTCAGACAAAGCATCATGTAGAGCAGCAAATCCGCCTGCGGAAGCTACGAGTTCAGGATCTTTGACTAACATCTCTGCCAATGTCATGATTGATATGTTCCGTAAACGATCATCATGATGCTCTGCAATGGAAACGATTGTACGCACTATGGCACGAGATATTTCCTTGACTCCGTCTTTCACGTCGAGAAAAGCTCTCACAAACTTCAAAGCTTGCTCTCTTTCGATACTGGCTTTGCTTTCCTTAACCAGTGATAATATCACCAATTCATCCGTGTGCAATGCCCGAATAGTCTGAAGTGATTTTCGGTCCGCAATGGCGTAACGAGTCAACCGATAGCCAGCAGCCACCACTTCTTTGCTGTCACCAAGAAGCATGACTTGAACGCGTAGCCCAAAAACAGACCATGCGAGATCATATTTGAGAGTGGGGTATCGTTTGAACAGCTCGACCAAGCTGTTCGCGCGCTCAACATAGAAATCAGGTGACATTCCCTCAATCTCAAGGGCCTGAAGAGTCTCCGTAAGAACATAGGTCGGAGACTCTATTTCTCCTTCCCCATCTTGTTGTCTCTCTTCATCGAAGGGTCCAGGAGCGTTGAGGTTGTGACTGCGGGTCGGTGAACGCATAGGGCTCCCTCTGAATAGGCTCGAGAGACGACTGCGCGGGGGAGTGGTGGACGGCGCCTGTGCGCGTAATAGCTCCTCTTCCAGCTCATTTTGTAGCTCTGCCAGTTTGCGGTTGGATGAGCTCAATTCTGATTCCACTCGTAGCCGCTGTTCCTTGGTCTGCTTGGGAGGCTTTGCGTACAGCGCCTCGAGCATGTTCTCAGTCCCGGTCTTGATCTTCATTTCCTTTGCAATCTTATCTCGAATAATAGCCTGACGCTCCTCCGTTGTGGGTAAATCATCTTCGCCGATCGATCTGCTTGCTCGTCTCGTATAGGTGCCATCAGGGCGGGGGGTCACGCTGCGGGAATTCATGCTCTTGAGCTCCGCACTGAAGCTGCCTGGCCCGCCAAACGAGGGGGCCAGTGATGCTCCACGAGGAGCTGTCGAAATGCTGCCTCCAGACCCCGACCTTCCATCGCGTACTGATCGGGCAGCTCCATCAATATAGCTGCCATCCGCTGAACCACCATCTTGGCTGAATGACGAGCGACCATCACCCAAGACGCGGTGCTGGGTCGACGCGGAGAACGCTGAAGTGTGTCCGGAAGCCATAAAGCTCCATCTAGCCACAGAGGCAGTCTATCACCTGTGGCAAATGTCCTGAGTGTCGAGGGGCTGCATTGGTGTACGGGTTGGGAGGTCGAGTCGCGGCGCAAGGGTTCGGGGATATGGGGAAGCGAAATCGTAAGGGAGGGGGAGGGCCTCCGCACAGTCACGGGTTGTAGTTCTGATGATCACGGAGCATTCGCATTTGCCATAACCACGAATCGTATAGCACAAGTAAAAGGTCACGTCTCAGGACGATCACTTCTAATACGCTTCTGTCCCACTCGGATCGGTTCAGCCTGATCCACGAAACACATGGATGACTAAGGCTTCATCGGCCACTCGAACACTGCACTCAAGGCGCAATAGGAGATGGTCATATTAATTAGGCCTAATCATGGCAGTTATTCTAAAATCAAATGTCTCATAATCCCCGTATATGTCTCTTTTTGTTGTACTCACGAACGTACTCTTCTCGTGATGGTCAAGTTTAGATTCAAGGCTGTTTCCATGGTTATATATTTGAGGATACATACACCACTAACAACGAACGTATCAATATCACAGTATATACTTCTGAGCTTGGAAGGTGAACTACTACTTAATGATATTACATGTACACATATTTGAGATCAAAAATATTGGATGGATCGCACCTTGTGGTGCATACATACCCCGCGTTAAGCCTCGATCATATTGTCTCACTCATTGCTGATCATAGACCTTTTATACCTAGGTGGAGGCCCGGATGACAGCTATGTTGTAGAGTTTAGAAAGAGTAAACATATCCCCTGTGGCATATCATACACCGACACCAATTTCTCGTTCAACTGCACCGGGTCTCACGTTTCCTAATATCAAAATTAAGATTGGTTTGTGGTCTTCTCCAGGATCGTCTTCATCATTTCGTTTCCAAGGGTGGCCGCCTCAGGGAAACGAGGAGCAAAGTAGTCAGCGATGCGCTCGAAGCGGTCGCGGTAGCTCTCAAAGTCTCCAAAGGAGACACAGTCAGACCAAGCCTGGTGAAGATCCAATTCGTCAGTATCCCAAAATGCCTCACTGATGATACAAACTTACCCGTGCAGCGAATGTAAATTCGAGATCATCCGAGCGAAAAGTGGTCGCATCGATGGCAGTGTCCAATGCTTCCTCGAGAAGTTCGGCATTGCGGAATAAATATTCAGTCACACCCAACCAAAGACGGAAAAGCTGCAAGATTGTTAAAAAACGGGGTTTAAGCTCCACCATAAGCTATTCGTCACATACCGGCGTAGAGCAGATCATATGATCATAGGGCACGATGCCAAGCTTCGACCAGCAGTCGACAATGGCAAGCAGACTCAAATGGCTGTTGGGTGGTGACTTTTCTCGGGATCGGTTGGATAGAGAGAATCGATCCAGCACTTCGTCTTTCAATAACAGATCTTGTCCTTCGGTACCTTCCCGGAACACGTATGCACCGGCAGCCTTAACCCGTCGCTTAAGCTCTTCCCGGTGTCCCCCAATCATCAACTTGTATAGATCCGTCACCGATTCGGCATACTGTCGAATCTGCTGCTTGGCAGCTGGATTAAGGATGGCGAGACCAGCATAGACATGCCATTTATTCGAGTAAATGCGCAGAGTAATATTGATCTTCACATTCTCAATACCACCGACCCACCGGGACATCTCCCAGGGAAATTGTTCGTTGGCATGCCATGCGGTGCCCATGCTCAGGAAGGCTGCGTGCGTAACGGCTTGGGTGTCGGCCGTGATTCGATCATGCATCTCACCGGTAAGGTGCACATGTTTGGATCCAAATGAGGAGAGGATTTCTTCAACAAATCGGACACTTTCGTCAGAAGCACGGTGTTGAATGATAACCTAGTTTATGCAGTGTTAGTTCCCAGCCTCTATTGAGATCGGGTACCGACATGAAGTCCCTACCAGAGGCTGTCCTTTCGGATTGACTTTGGGCCCGTGCAGCGAATGGCAGGATACGATCTCTACATCCGCCGGCAGGTGCTTTTCAAATGCGGCAAGTTCCGGAGCCTTGCAGGACGTCTGGCCACCGACAATGGCGCCTTGCTTGGTAGCTTCATTATTCCACGAGTCAGACAAATACTGATCTTTAAACTGGCTTGGGTCAAATGGGTCCGAAACATACATGGCCCGTACTGTGCGACGACACGGTCGATCACACCGGCTTCTACACTGTACAGAATGAAATCGCTAATTCTGGAAACCAAATGACCATTGGGAAAGATGGTGACCCTTTGCTATATACGATGAGTGTCTGGGCGGGATGATCCCAGCGGGAGACGTACTTGAGAGGCAAATTCTTGTTGTAAAGATTCATAATTCTCAGGTCTATCACAGGCGTTTATCCTTTGGAAATGAAAAATCAAATGTTAGTAACTGATAATTGCTGTTGTCGTGTTTCGCATGAATAATCATGATATCAAATATTGAGTATGAAGACCTATTAGATTCACTGATTAGCATATATTCCCGAAAGCAAGTATGAGTGATGGAATATAGACAAATTCGATAAGTTCAAAGAACTTTCAGACAAGAAAAATTAAGGTAGCGAGATATTTACATCATCGACAGTCCGGCGTACACTACCGACCAAAAAGGCTAGGCAGCAACCACCGAACCATACTCGAGCCAAATGCACTCAGGTCATCATTCGAAGGGGGGAGGGAAACAAAGCAAGAGTGAAAAGCTTACCTGATGAGGGAAATTGCGTGTAGGTCGAGAGAACACAAAAACAGGTTGTATTTACCTCCATCCTGCATCACTCAGGCGCTGGGCATACATCTTGCCCATATCGCCCATTCCAATGATGCCGATCGAGGCATCTTCCTTGGTGCGTGCCATCCTTGTAGACTCACGCTAGCAACCTCAACTGGGTATACTGCGTATCTTAATGACGACCACGTCGTGCAGGGTTAGTAAACTGTTTCAATGTATCTTAGCAGTCCAAGATACCGGTGTTCCACGGTATCTGCAGAGGCTTGGAAGATGAATTGCAATGATCAGAGGACGTAGGACGAGGCCGCCGAAAGAAAATTTAAATAGACGTACAGAGCTAAGCCCTCACCGCCTTTCGGGCCGACTGCAGCCCGTGTACAACGGCACCACCTTAGTCAGCATCTCGCTTGCTCGCTATTGCCCAACGAGCCAATCAGCGCCCAGCTGAAGCCGAGGGCACACATCCACTTTTTTTTTCATCCATTTCCTCTTCTTCCTTCTTCAGTTCCGTATTCCATCCACGCCAACTCCATCCAACAGTCGCAATGGCCCCTACCAAGAAGGCTCCCGCCGCCAAGGAGAACGTCTCCCTCGGCCCCCTCGCCGGTGACGGTATGTCGAAATTCTCGATTTCAGCTTATGATCATAACTCTGACAAGCGCATACAGGCAAGCTCGTTTTCGGCGTTGCTCGCATCTTCGCCTCCTTCAACGACACCTTCGTTCACGTTACCGATCTTTCGTACGTTTTCTTTCCAAAACCCTTCTTTGAAACCCCGCGCCCAATCTATTCAATTTGGTGGAATTGCGCATAGCGGGGAATCGAACACTACGCAAAAGTTCAACAGCTAATTTCTACTTCAGCGGCCGTGAAACCATCACCCGTGTTACCGGTGGTATGAAGGTCAAGGCTGACCGTGACGAGTCCTCCCCCTACGCCGCCATGTTGGCTGCTCAGGACGTCGCTGTCCGCTGCAAGGAGCTCGGCATCAACGCCCTCCACATCAAGATCCGTGCCACTGGTGGTAACGGCACCAAGACCCCCGGTCCCGGTGCGCAGTCCGCTCTCCGTGCTCTTGCCCGTGCTGGTATGCGCATTGGTCGTATTGAGGACGTCACCCCCACTCCCTCCGACTCTACTCGTCGCAAGGGTGGTCGCCGTGGTCGTCGTCTGTAGACGTGTGCAGGTACGTCTCATCCTTCCTACTGCGTCTCTATTGCGTGGTTGGCTTGGTGGCTACCGGCGGGGTCTACTCGCAACTGTGGATGGAATAAACGCGAAGAACGGCCCTTATTGCCTGGTCTTCAATTTTTTTCATACCCTGAAAAGAAAACTTTGTCCTCGGTTTTAGCTATTATGTTTGAGTATTCTTTCATTAATTGACTATTTCTGAGTTATTTTTGTCCTTGTCGTAACTGTCTCGTAAATTCTAATAGTCGTGGAGGTCAATTCCGAGTTATGCACGTAGCAGTATGGCCTGAGGCTAAGACCGCTAATACCATGCGGGTAGCTTATCGCGGGGCTGATAAAAAAAAGTATCCAACTTGCGCGTCTTGCAAAACCTTCAAATCAACTCTTCCCGACACTGAAACCTATTCTTCCTTCTAAATATACTTCTCATGCTTCTAATGTCTCCTGCTTGAGAAACAAAACCATACCATTCCAGGAAACGCGTCCCATTCTCCCGTCTACGTCATTTTACCGACCTCACCACGTTTCTCGCACCATTCGTAGAGCAGCTTGTGCAAGTTCAGATATCCGGAAACACATCATATGAAATATGTCTTTACCAGTTCAGCCATCGCCGACGATCCTTCTTCCCCAACTCCCACCTAAGACCTTAGTCGGCATCGATCTCATAACCTTCACCTCTACCGCCAAATTCCACGGAATCAGAGACCTCCCAGATGGATGGCACTTCCTCTATACCGGCACGACAGAAAGTCTTTCCTTACGCTCCGGGGCATGGTTTTACATTGGAGATATCAATACAGTCGGATATGGACACAATGAATCCGCACTCGTATCACATAGACCAAAGAAAGGCCAGAGCAATGAACCCGAGATCTACATCTGGAAATGGAGTGCAGACACCGAGTCTCTCACCTCGCTGAAATATGACAACGATAGGGACTGCCAAGAAGCTATGCGCTACAAAGCCAACTTGGGTGCGATCTGGCAGAGCGGAGGCTTATTCCGGTATCGAAGCCGTGTGTCCAAATCAATGGTCCCGAATGCAGATGCAACAATAAATGGAGAACCAGCACAGCTAGAAGACGACGATGAAAGTGAGGAAAGCGGCCGCAAGAATTGGCGGTGTCTTACAAATCGAATTTTCCCTGATATCCTGACACGAATGATCGGAAATCCGAATTACGATGTTGATGCGCATCCAAGGTGGATGGTTACCTCGGCCAGTACGGCAAACCGCGATGCTGATCATATCCCTGGACTTGACCCGCAGAAGGTGGGAGAGGACGGTGTTCCGGAGACTTTGGGTGAACAGGAACGGGAGTTTGGGTTTCTTCCTGTTGACCTGAAAAATACCTGGCGAGAGGGTGCCATTGGGCGTGAAAGGACCGAGGCAGCTCAAGATCGATCCTGGGCGTTAGGGGATTTGATAGATCGATTCTCGAAGTATAAACATCCAGGAACGGGAGAAATACTATCTGACGAGGAACTGGGAGAGGCGCATGTGCTCGGAGAGTTACAATTCACATTCTTAATGGTATTGACCATGATGAACTACTCTTGTTTACAACAGTGGAAGCGGTTACTTGAGCTCGTCTTGACATCCCGTGCGGCCATTGTCGACAAAGAAGGTTTCATGAGTGAGTTTGTCGGTTTACTGCTGCGGCAATTGAAACGATGTGATGATGTGGAGGGTGGATTGTTTGAAATGGACGGGGATGATGGCGGTGCATTCCTTCGCAATTTGCTGAAGAAATTCCACCGTTTGGTGTATCAAGCTGTCGACGAGAACAAGGGATCCTTGGTGAAAAAGGAGCTTGCGAAATTGGAGAGTTGGGTGAGGGAGGAATTTGATTGGGAGCTGACCCACGAGTCCATTGTCAAACGTGGCATGATCCAATTGGAGGATGGCGAAGAAGTCGAACTAGACATGGATGACAATGACGAGGACGAAGAGACCGGCGAGTACGCACCTATGATTGTTGATTCGGAGGAAGCAACTCTCTAGGCTTATTTCCATCTTTTAGTTCCGAAATCTTTGGGACTTAACTTCATCTAACGAAGCCTATGTTTCAATACCAAATATTAAAGTATTTCCAATTTGAATGTTGAGTAATTTGATTATGATTCCTGGAATCGGTCGTAAGTTGCTCATTTTGAAGAGACAATCTTGGCTTGTCCCACTGTTGCGTAGTGCATTTCCATTGCTTAGGTGAAGTCTATGTACCTTTATTCTCTAGCCTAATAGCATATTGGAGAAGCGTCTAACCCGGACTAGAAACAGAATGCGATCTTAAACAAAGAGCACTTGTCTATTTCTCTTCATGCTCAACAATATAGGCCCAGTCATGCTCTTCCGTGCCGTACATGATAGCCTCCAACCAAGACTTAATCTGCGCAGCATAACCCGCAGCCTCGCCCTTCGGACCCAAAGTACTGATATCGGTTTCAATGTTGCGGATCATCGCAACGGGAGTGATGAAATACTATATACGTCGTCAGCATCAATAATCCACTATAAGATCCAAGACTCAAGAAAAGGACTCACAGCAGTACCCGAAACAAAAGACTCAACGATCCGACCCTCAACCGCAGCCTTCTCAATCTCCCCAATAGTCAAAGTCCGCTCCACAACCTGCAATGGCTCCAGAGAACCAACCGACTTCTTAGAAAGCTTCTCAGAAACCAAATCCAAGACGCTGCGTCGGGTGATACCAGGCAAGATCAACTGGTTCTCCAGTGGGGCAGTCACAAGTTCCAATTTGCCCGTATCAGCATTATGCCAAATAATAAAGAAGTTACTAGCACCGGCCTCAGTAACCTGTCGGTCCTCTCCGAATAGCCAAAGGATCTGGTCAAAGCCCAACGCCTGTGCCTGTCCGTGCGACTGTAGTGAGGGGCCGTAGTTGGCACCGAGCTTGGCGTATCCGAAGCCGCCTGGCCAAGCACGAATAGTGTTGGGGTTCGAAGCGTACAGTCTCAATCCCTTCGAAGGCTCGGTCTGACCTTCTTTCTTCATCTTGGTAAAATCAGGCCAGGGGACAGCGATAATGTAAAGCAGGGCTTCCTTGGGGACTTGGACGCCAAGGTGAGCACCGTTGCCAATCAAAGTAGGACGGATATAGAGGAATGAGCCGGGGCGATCCTTGGGTAGCCAGCCTGTTTGAAATATTAGTTTTTGGAATCTGAGTCAAGTCGGATGAAGTCAAGACATACGTGCGCCGTCAATTTGCATCAGCTTGCCAACCAATTTCTTGAGCTCGTCGTACTTGAAGCTGGGGAGTGAAGATCGCAGCGCACTGGAGTTTAGGCGTTCGCCGTTGAGATCAGGACGGAATAGACGCAGCTTGCCGTCGTAGCCACGGTACACCTTCATACCCTCGAAGCACTCTGTCGCGTAGTGAAGGCAGGAAGCTGTCGGCGGGATGCTAAGATTCTGGTAGGGCTTCACCTCAGGTGTCTCCCAGCCCTTGGCTGCTGTCCACCTCACGGTGACCATATGGTCAGTACAGTATGAGTGACTCAGCTCCTCTGGAGAGCCAGGGAGAGGGACATCCCGCAGGTTGGTGGATCTGGTGATGTTGAAGCTCGAGCCGTCGAGCTCGGCCACATTTTGAGCGATGGAACCCATGGTGAGTGAATGGGTGAGTATGTTGATGAGCTCGTTAGGATTGATGGAAACGAATTAATCTGATCCCTCCAGTCAATGGAAAGAAAATTGCAAGTTTGGTCGAGTATGAGTCACTCGTGGATTGATTATTGAAATTGAAGTGGGAGGTAAGAAGTTTGTACTGCACCACTAGATAATTGAGAAGAGTTATTTATAGGACTGAAATGTCATTAGAAAAACAAGGGAAGGACTCTTATTATATCTCTCAACCTTGGACTTGCGGTTTGCCCCGGACTTTGGACGGAACCGGGCCGAAGAAATTTCTTCGCCGGGAATCGAGAAATTTGCCATTGGATCGGACCAATTGGCAAGACTTCAAAAGAATTCGTTTTGAATAATCAACAAACACAGACTCGCGCATATTGCATTTATTTTTATAAGTTCCTCTTATAGTAGCGATCTGTATGCAGTCTTGGGGATGTTGCGCCCTGTACGGATACATGCCATTTTGATAGTTCGCCCTTATCAACGGGCCCACTTAGTTGGCACATTACCGATAATAGCCGTCTGGAATGTCGACCGAAGATGCTAATAAGCTTTCTGAAAAGAGTATAGTTGAAGTCGGCCTGAAACAATTGACATACAGATAAGATTGGCGGTTTGCGCTGCATGTGGTTGTGAGTGGCTATCTATGGAGGCATCTGTCCGCAACGGTTCAGTGTAGGGGAAATAAATAGAAATTGGTGAAACATGACGCATTTATATTGCAACACAGGGTTTCACGGAGAGTCTGCTAGCATCAGTTACTAGATCGAAATTGCTGATCTCGACAGAACAATCTTCTTTCGGAAAACCAGTATGCATGTCGCTAAAAGAGGTAAACACATGGCAGAATCCTCATTAAAACAACTGGAAGATGAATCAATTTTATCAAATAACATATGGATCGATTTCGTGAATATTGCCTTCTATTGCTGTGTTTCTGCCTCGTTTCACATCAATGAGACAATGCTGCACTTTTTAGACTTCTATGCATATGTATCTCTCCTTTTGTCACCCTTGCCCAATATGATGACGATTCTCGCAAGATCATTCCCTCTGCCCCGACTAAAGAGCCTGCTCTGCGACTTTGAAGCTTTGTCGTGAGATCAATTAGCCCCGGTCGTTTCTAGATAATGTTGCGCTGCGATGTAGATCTAACAATCATCCTCTATGAAGCCAGGGACGGAATTGATGAATCTATGTTCAAGGATAATAAAGACGTTCTTGAGGTTTCTTTACAGCGATTGATGCATGTTGTTTCTCAGAAAATTCATCTCAAGGGATTTGTAAGCAGCTCCTGGGAACAAAAATCCAAAATCAGTAGTTGCAATCTCCAGGTGTCATCGCATGCTGTCAGGGTGAGAACAAATTCCTGCTTAGCGTATTGCTTCAGCTTAGCGATCATGAACCAATTGGATATGGTATATGATCTGACATGTAAGTAGCTGGCAGGGCAAGTTGTCAGCGAAGGCCAGTTACTTGAACAGGCTTCGACAGTCAAATCGATGTCTTCCTTCCTTTCCGGGGTACCTTCCCTTCTCGCCACGGGAGAGTCCACAATCTTCAGCTTCGGGTGCCTCTGTGAAGTATCATCAATAGGCGCGGTGGTTTTCTTTTTTTTTCAAGATGTCCGAATGGATTGACGCCTAGAGAATTCTCGTTGGGCGGGGCGCATCCATCCAGTGCGACTCCGTCGACAGTGTATCTCCCCGTATAGATCAATTTAAACATCACATGAATTAGATAGCACTTGTGTCTTTCAAATTGAATTCCATTATTTTTCTGGATTTAATTTTCTTGTTAGAAGTGGCTTTCCTGGCAGGCCTTATAGAGAGACGTGCCTTAAATTCACCTTTATATTCGCCGCTATAGGCTTTCTTGAACCAGTCTGGTCGGAAGCAGGCAATTCCCTTACAAGCTGCGAGTGTGCGATCACTAAAGACAATTTTCATGTGCTGTACGCATTATTGAGAAAAAGTCTGGTTTCGCTTCGTCAGTAGTGGTCAAGAAGTAATACGTAGAGTGTTGAGCTTACCAATTCACCAGACCGCCCAAGGAATTCATGTTGCCTAGAGGTGGAGGGGCAATTGGGGTAGTTTGCTTCAGGACTGGAGCTAGTCGTGAGGACGAAGTCATTATAGGACTCGGTCAAAGGCTTCAAAAATTGATGCCGACAAGCGAAAGAAAGATGGGAAGAAGATTGTGAAAACAAAAGGTGAGAACAAAGAAGATTGATAGAGAAGGTGGTGAGATCCACGGTTTAAAGGAAGATGGAATGCCTTGTAAAATCAATGTCGGAGAAGCTAGGGAAGTCAAATGGAAGAAAAAGCTAGAACAATAAACAAGAGACCCATCTGATTGCCTGTGAGCTCATGTAGCCGCGTTATCAAAGTCGAGACAATCCCATGTGTTCGGTATGGTGTCTCAGTATGAGAAACCTCTTTGTTTCTCTTGAAACGCGTCATTGCCAAATTTCAGGGCTGATGAGAGTCACTATAACAATGGAGCTCTCCTATGTGGCTTATTTTTCCGCAACATATCTTCCAGGAGAGACAAGTATTTCATCAGGCTTCGAGGCAAAGGATTTCCATAGACTTAGCAATCGTGACTCGATACTGCGATATAGAATTGGGTCGACGGAATTAAGCTCCATGTTGAAGCAAGAATTGTTGATTTACCCTTAAGTAAAAGCTGCTCAAGTGGCTAGCCATCTAGTTCAACTTGCTTTCATGTAGAAATGACATATATAATCCCAGCTTTGGAAGATATCCGATCATAGGTCTATGCCACCTAGACTTTGAGTTAGCTCAGTAGTATCGTGAGATTTGAATACCCAGATACAGTTGAATAGTACCTAATCTAAGTGGGTCAGTAGAGATATGACTTGGCGTGGTCCACGGGTAATTATCTTAGATCCAGTGCCAGATCAACTGAGCGCTATATTGCTAGTCCGGGGTCTACAATGATCGATTATTAACCCACATTAAGACCCTGGCCCAAAGAACTTAGCTTTCTCCAATATACATCTTTTGGATGCCGAGACAATTCGGCAGATGATGACTAGCTATCCTGGCACACTACAACACACCCGAGCTCCTGGGTGCCGCGCGTCAGGTAATATAAAACATTGATCACGGGTAACCCACTGAATGACCCACAGGGGTCCACGCAAGATAGGCCAGGAGCTCATACACCTCATCTACCAATATAATGGACAGCAAACACGCAAAGGCCCCTTTGGGCAGGTTACAAAAGTACGAATCTAAAAGTTGAAACATTGGCCGCCAAACCCCGAAACCGGTGGGTTGGGACGTATTCGCAGGAATCCACCTTCGATCACGGTCAAACACCACAAGCCATGCAAAACAAGCCCAATCAGCGGCCCTTGTCTGCCCACTTGTGTCGCCCCGAACCAAACTCCCCATGTTTGCACCAACCAGAGTAACGGATCCAGCCGCTCAGCCTATGCCAATGCAACGGAAGAGAAGCCCGCGTTGCAGGGTTTAGTTCGTATCTGTTGTCGAAAAAAATACCACCACTTGGGTGAGAGATCGCTTAGGATGACGGCGGCTTTGCCCAATTAATAGATGTGCAGGTGGCGCTTAAGCTAGACAGGGATTATATTTCCCGGCTGAATGGTAACCCAACTATACACCCGTGTCCAGGAGCGGAAATGACCCACCAAACATCCACCCATCATGCGGCATCACTGTTTCTTTTTTTGTCCTGCTAGGAAGGACCCGGTGCTTTGGGTACGATGGCACGACGGCGGTCTTGTTTATCTCAAGACGTATGTGACTGTGGAGAAAGCTGTACGAAGACCAAGTCGTAGTGCCGATACCTGTCCTAGAGACTAAATATCCCGCTAAGGCATTTTCTCATATTTGCTGGTCCTAGGACCGAAGGCGTTTGTGGGCCATCACTGTATCCGTATGGGAGGTGAGAAACGAAGAAATGAAATCAATCAAGGAAGAAGTCCAACAATATTACAGTGAGATTTTAGAGTTTGGGACGCGATGTTGATGCTAATTGAACCAAGCTTGGGGCCGTGCAGGGTGGAGAACCTCAGTGTGACACCGTTCAATGCGGTCCACTGTATGTGTCAGTGATATCAGCCTCGTAAATGATTTTTCCCTTGGGACTGACATATGCCCACCTGCGGTCGCATGCATGTTTGGATCTGCGAAGCGTCTGTGAGCCCTGCAAAGCTGGTCCATGATATGAGTCCTGCCCAATTTTTCAAGTTGAGAGTAGCTATGCAGCCATGGATCATTTTCATCTGGAGCTACAATTCCTCGCTTTCATTCTTCATTCCTACATTCCCTTGTCGGATGCAAGCGCTGTGGGTCTTCTCAGAAGGATTCGGTAGGTACATAGCCCCGTTGCGAGGTACACAGTGGCCCGTGTTGGGTGGAGATTGAAAAGTGAGATGTGCGGTTAAGCGCAGCTCTGCTATGCCATGCATAGGCAAGGGCAAACTATGTAGGAGGGGTTGTCTGGTTCGGTCAAATTTAAGTCCGCGGAAGTAGTGATTTGGAATTAAAAAAAATGGAAGTAACCATGGGACCGAGACCACGATTAAGTTGAATAGGTATAGAAAGAGCCTCGCCAATTTGTAGCTAAAAGAGAGGTCATCCACGGCACATAGATCTCTCCGATACGATCATGCCTGGCCCTGGTTACGTTGACATTATAACTAGTACCCTAGAGGCCCCCTTGGGTCAGAACGATCCTGACCAGTCGGGAAAGAGAAGAACGAACCATGAAAATAACGGAAAAGAGGAAAAGATTGAAAAACAGGCATTCTCCAGCGAGTCAGCTACTGTGGGTTAGTGCAACGCGGAGCAAGTGCCAAGGGAGGAGGTGCCCATGCGCCAAACCCGATTGGACGGCAATCACCCGGCCAATCAAACACGCCGGAAAAGAGTTGACTGGCATCTGGGGAGGCTGGATCTGAAAAAGTATACCGTCAAATCAAGAAAAGAAAAGTTAAAAAGTGATCCATAACAGAGCTCTGGGACGGTGGGTGCGGAGATCGTCCCGGGCTTTCATCAACTACTGTAATGTAATGATATCAATGATCTACGTGGGCGTCGCCACCAGACCAGCCGCTTGACTCGAAACTACTGGCAAACATCCTGTAAAGATCAAGGGCCACGTTCTGTTCCCCACCCTATACAAAGCTATACCGGCTATATTTATCACGGCTTACCATGATGTCAAGCGTTGATCGAGGAGCGGAAAGACTTTCGTTGTTTATTACGTACGTGCTGCAACATTCCTGATCAGATGGTGGGTATCGAGATGTTCCTGCTTGCGACATCGTACAGACGCCCCAGGGTCAGCCTTGATGGCAATTCAGGTACATGATGTACATGGCGTAGGTTCTCAGCCAAAAGTGGGCCCAATGTAAAAAATGGGAAACTGGTTGCGCATGTACCGGCGCGGTAGTCTTTCCCGTCACCTCATGAAGGCGCTACCGGGCCACATCGGTGGTACCATGTGGAGTAGTATCAAGACATCGGAGGTTCCTTCAAATGAGGCCACGTGCGGTTGGGATAAGTGGATATGGGAAAATGGCAAAAAATCTTACAGCCAGGATCATTGGCAAAACAGAGAATAATGGGGGCAAAAGAGTCCGGGGGAAAAGACCGAGCACACCGATTTTTGGGATGCAAAACCCGCATGCCCCTGGGCTTTCATATTGGACCCAGCTCGTACCATGGAGGGAGCTCAAGAATCCTGCGATTGGATTCGACGGAAAGAATGATCATCATTCGGGCGCAGTCTTCCGAGGCGCTCTCTCTTCGACCTCGTGGTAATGTATAATGATGAATGCATATTAGCGTCTTGTTTCCCGAGAACCCATCGATTTGATTGGTTAGTTTTTCCTTTTTCTTTTTTTCTTTTTCTTTTCCTGTCTCTCGTTTCCGATGGCAAGCCCTTTTTTAAGCCGGTAATTTGACTGTTCCCTACTTGGGCCGTAGCGGTCATGATCGAGCGCGCATCGGCTCCTTCGCGAATCTCTCGGTGAACAAGATTCCGGTCTAGGCTCTTCCTGATGGAGACCCTACACCACCCCTTGTCTGGTATGCCGACGTAAATGTTGACAGGTCTCTGGGTATTCTCTCCAATCGCTGTCCTGTGTTCAATCTTGGGCCACTAGGGACCCGGTTGTGTGACAACCGCTGACCCCGGCATGTTTGCGCCAGAGATGTCGCCCCCCTCAGTTTAATTTGTGCTTTATAATCTGCAGGTTGAATCTGTCATCTGCGTGGAAGCCATTGCTCTCCCACGTTCCAATCTTTGAGGTCATAACGAGGCAAACAGGATTGTGACATCCTGATCCGGCATGCCCCCTTGAACTTCGTCCGCATACAAATGGAATTGTGAATGCTTTAAATTGATGTTGCGCCATATACCAAAAGGCTGGTGTTGTAATGAGGCTATAAGGGTCAGTATTATACCCCTTCCCTCCCCTCTTGTGATGTGTGAGGCGAGCGGCTAACGTCTGATTTAGAGCTTGCATCGCTAAAACAGACTGGATGGCGGTAGATTCCCAATCAGCTCGCCAGAACCAGATGGCCCATGAGTTAGGTTATTTTTTGGCGCAGAAAATGAGCCACCATAACTCTTCGAGGTCTTTCGCTCCGCTAGCGCCAGGCCCACCACGCGTGGTCGCACCACAATCATCGATGGCCGTGGGCAAGCCGAAAAAGAATTCTACAGCATGTCTGGCATGCAAAGCAGCCAAGAGGAAGGTAAGTTCTAAATTCGAGGAGTCTGACGAAAACATGTCGCAGAGCAAGGCGTGAGCTGACAGCCAAATCTCTCTTGAAAATAGTGCTCTGGACCTCCTTCCCCATGCAAAGCTTGTGTCAGCGCCGGTGCCGAGAGCGATTGTCATTTCGACCCAAGCAAAGATCTGAGGCGCCGAGTCGCCGTCAAACGAACGATCCAGGAGTTGACAGATCACAAAGATCTGCTCGACTCACTGTTGGCAACATTGCGTTCGGCACATATGGATAAGGTGAACGAATTGGTGATGTTGGTGAGGAGCAATGGGTCTTTAAGCGAAATTGCCCATGCAGTAGGAAGCCCCGTCACGCGATTCACAGATTCAAAATTTTTGTCAGCCGCGAGTCTGTCATTGTCAGAAGATATGGATCAGCACCTGGATGCGGGACTCATAGCGCAGCTCCAGCGAAGGAGGGGTTCAGACCTTGAGTCGGCTACCGGTTCTTCAGAGCAAGACAAGCTGAAGGTCTCACCACAAGTCGCACTTGATCCTTATGCACGAGTGACCTTAGAAAACCTCTGCGACGTTCCCTTATTGGAAGTCCCGGCCACGCCGTGGACAGACGTTACGGATGACAATGACCTTGTATCGCATCTTGTTTCGCTGTACTTCACATGGGATCATCCATGTGTCCAGTTTTTGGATCAAAACAAATTTCTTGAACATATGAGACGAGGAGTGCTAGACTCCGAGTTTTGCTCTCCGATGCTGGTCAACAGCATCTTGTCCATGGCCAGTGTATGTTGCCTTCTCCCAATTCTTGTCGTTGTAAGAAGCTTATTCATGACCCAACAGACTTATTCTGATCGGCCGGGCGCGTTCTCAGATCCTGAGGATACATTTTCGCGTGGTCAACATTTTCTCCTGGAGGCAGAGAGGTTGTTCCGGGCTGAGGAAGGAGCACCCCGTTTAACAACTGTCCAGGCTCTTCTTTTGATGAGTTGTGTGTATGTGAATCACCGCGTTCTTTTGCAGTTTGATGGTTTGTAATCAGAGGCTGAAAATTCTCAACAGGATGTCGTGTCAGGGTAAGGCCAATATGAGTTGGCTGATGCTGGGACTTGCGATCCAAATGGCACGGGATTTGGGTTTGTTTGGGCAACGAAATGGCCATCATTGTGGCGAAGATCAGTCGAAGGAAATCATAGAGGTTCACACCATTACGGCATGGAGCATATTCAGCTTGAACCTGTGAGTGGTTCTCTGGCAACTCAAGGACCAATTCTCGCTAACCAACAACCAGACAAATGTCAACGAGGCTTCAAAGGGAGCATAGCTTAATACAACCCGTATATGGTATTGAAGTTGGAGGACACAATGATTGTGATTGGACCCCGTATCCGCGGTCAAACCAGGTCACTTTTGCGACCCAGCCCGCGCTTCTCCCTCAAATGCGAAAGGGGCTCTCCAATTTAACCCAGATTCAGATTCACATCCATGGCATTATGAATGAGCACATGCGTGGGGATTTCTGCATTCTCCTGGGTAAAGCCGAGGGCCCATATAAAAGTTTACAGCAATGGCTGGCTACTTGGCCAGATACCTCACAGCTTAAGAAAGAGCCAGTCCCACAGCTTCTGATTCTCCGGTGAGTGACCCATCAATGTCATGCGGGTGCCTCGACCGATTTCTCATACTGATTCATTCACAGTCTCCAATGCTTGCAAGCGGTCACAAACCTCCTTGAACATCTGATTGAACGTGATTCACAAGTATCCGTGGCCCGTGATTTGCGGCAGCAGTGGTGCGAATACATGGAGGAAATGAGTCGGTGTCTTCGTATCTACCGCACTTCATATGGGCTCCGGCATATCCCTAGCCAGTTGGTTGCAGTGGTTCAATCAGGTCTTCACGCACTCTTGTATCAGCTAGACGAGTCTGTCGAAGCAAAGGATGTATTTATAGAGCTTTCTCGTCTTGCGATTGGTCTGAGTCAGAGGTTCAAACCAATAGCAAACTCAATCGACACAATTATATCGTTGTCCCAACGCGGGACTGCGAACCTCCCCCCTGAGGCCATTGCGGTCCTCGATGGCTCGGAAACTTGAGGACGGGGTGTTGAAAATAATATTTAAACTAACCAGGTAAATCTAACCATGGTTTGAAAAGCTCTCGAGTCAATTAGCATTGGAAAAAAAAAAACTGCCGGTGGTACTTGTGATGTCGGCGCGTATCACTGCAAAAGAAGTGGCCCCAATTTTTAATGGAGTCGGCCTGAATGGAAAGATATGTGAAGCATGAACGCGTGTGTTTGGATGATACTCGAAGGTTTGTTAAGTCGCCGTGGCCTCAGGCCGTAAAGCGTGTTTTGTTCTGGCTCTAGGGATCTAGAAGAAGGGGATTCAGGTATAGATCCCTATCCAACAGACACGATATGATACCTCGTCCAAACTGAAGGAAAGACCTGGGGTGGAGGTGTTAAGGGGGTGAATTTGAGGAATAATTGGGCAAGCAGGCGTCCTTTGAGAGATGAGAGAATGGCGAGCCCGTCACCTCGCCTCCCACACCCGGAATACTTTTCCGGTGCAAACAGTACCACTGGGAACACAGCACCAAGGTCTACGTAACACCAGCACCAACCTCACCTTGCTTTGAAAGGGAATTGGTTGGTGGGATCTGGCCCCGGGTACCTTTCTATTCCCACTTTCTGCGCCTTACGCTCTTGGGCAGGTGCCTAGTGGGAGCTAGTGCATAAAAAGCCCTTCAGAGACCGGTACTTTACTGGCCAGGCAACTTGCAATCTTTTGTTATAGAAAATGAAATCATGTACACGTATAAAATAATGTACCTACAACTGGTTTGTTTCCCTGTGTCAAATAGGCGACCCTGCCCTTGGTGGCCATTTGTTGCTTCGATGGATTCAGCCTAGTAGTGTTATCATTTGTTTTCTAATCTCCAGCAAGATCAGCCAAATGTCTATGGCGGTTTTGAATGTCGATTTTAATAGTAAATTATGAGGTTATGGACAGTGTCAGGCCATGGAATAGACAGATCCTGTCACATTTGAGTAGGCGCAGCAGCTAGGTACCACGGTACCATGTACCCTGTTCTTATTTCCATTTTCTGCGCAAATCACGAATTAGAAATCCAAAAGATGGAAATCCGAAGCCAATACTGACAGTCTGCAACATTGATATGTTAATCAGACAGGCCAGGGATTCGATATATTTCATGACTAGCCCTGAACTATGGACACACATAACTACGATTCGAGTGCTCCTTAGCCAGTCTTTCAACAGTGCATGACTTCAAAAGACCACAAAGTCATGCGACACTCTGATTCAATGAGTAAATGTATCGCAACAATTTCAATTCATCTCAAAAACTATCTTGTACATACAGACATTCCGCTAGATGTTGCTCGTGATCATGCATAAATACACATAGCTGAGTCATCCAACGATTTTATGCGCAGATAAGATAAGCACAAACACCGAAGCGAAAACCCTCAAAATTCAACTTCTAGTGGTAAATCCCACACGCCGACGACGGACGTGCACCCCCACCACTCAACCCTTCCTTCCGCCTCTTGCCGTCATCTCGGCATCTCGAAGCAGAGAATCTATCCTTCTCTCTTTTTCCTCCCATACAACTCGCAATCCCTTGCCTCCTACCACTCCCACAATGTCGTACGAAGACCGCGCCAATGCGCGCCCCAACCTGAACGACGAGTCTGATGTTGAGGAGGAGACCATGGCCAACGACTACCGTGAGCAGGTCAACTTTGATGATAGCATGAGCGAGCTGGACCGGACGACTTCCCTTGGTGGTTCACAAACCCAGGACATTCAGGCACAGTTGGCTGCTGCCGCTACCCCGCTGGAATACCAGGCGACTCTGGAAACCAAGTTCGCTAGCTACGATAACTACTGCAGTCTCTTTCACTACATCCTGAACTCGGAAGGCCCCGTGGATCTGGAGGTCCCCTCGGTAGGTGCTTTGGATGACTCTCAAACCCGATCTTTAAACAAAGAAAATGAAGCTTGGCAAATTCGTCTTGCGAAAGGAATTGTGGACAGCAGGCTAACCAAAATCCTTCATATATAGTACTACTGGGCTTGGGATGTCATTGATGAGTTCATTTACCAATTCGAGTCCTTCTGCCGCTACCGCAACCGGATCGCTCGCACGGGATCCAACGAGGAGGAGGCTCAGGTGCTCCGCGAGAACCCCAACACATGGGGATGCTACTCGGTCCTTAACGTCCTCTACTCGCTCATCCAGCGCTCCCAGATCAACGAGCAGCTGGCTGCTATCAAGCAGGGTGAGGATCCTCTTGCCGTTGCCGGTGAGTATGGCTCCCGCCCTCTCTACAAGATGCTGGGCTACTTCTCCATCGTCGGTCTGTTGCGTGTGCACTGCCTGCTTGGTGACTTCAGCCTCGCCCTGAAGACCCTCGACGACATCGAGATGAACAAAAAGGCCATGTTCGCCCGGGTGATGGCCGCCCACTTCACCACGTACTACTACGTCGGTTTCTCCTACATGATGATGCGCCGTTATGCCGATGCCATCCGCATGTTCAGCCACATCCTGGTCTACGTTTCCCGGACCAAGAACTTCCAGAAGGGTGGTAACAACTACGATGCTATCGCCAAGAAGAACGACCAGATGCTCGCTCTGATCGCGATTTGCGTGGCTCTGCACCCCACCCGTCTGGATGATACCATCCACTCCGCCGTCCGTGAGAAGTACGGTGAGCAGTTCCACCGCATGCAGCGTGGCGGCCCCGAGGCCCTGCCCGTCTTCGAGGAGCTCTTCCGCTCCTCCTGCCCCAAGTTCATCAGCCCCACTCCTCCTGACTTCGAGAACCCCGCCTACAACGTCGACCCCGTCGATCACCACACCGCCATCTTCATGGATGAGGTCAAGAACACCCTGTTCAACCCCACCATTCGCTCATACTTGAAGCTCTACACCACCATGGACCTGAAGAAGCTGGCTGGCTTCCTCGAGGTGCAGCCCGAGCAGCTCCGCTCTTGGTTGCTGGTGAACAAGCAGCGCAGTCGCCAAATCCGCTGGGTTGAGGGCAGCCTGCTCGAGGGCGACTCCGCCATCTCCAACGATCTCGACTACGCTCTCGAGGACGACCTTATCCATGTTAGCGAGACCAAGGCCGGTCGCCGCCTGGTGGACTGGTACCTGCGCAACCTTGCCCGTGTCTACTAAGTGCCCGTGCCCAATACACATCACGTTCCATTCCGGATGTGTTGCTCTGCTGGTATTCTGACAAGTTGTCAAAAAGAAAAGTGAAGAATGGACTTCTACATGCAAGAAAGAACGGACATGACTCGAGATGATTTTTTCTTTCATATTATTATCCCGCTTCCCCTTGTTTTTCTCCCCCATTATCCATATTGCCCCCATCGCCCTGCTTCCGATACGCTTTTTACCTTTTTTTTTTCATTTTCATATTTTTGTGAATCTTTTTGTGTTTCCCCTGGTCCTTTGGTTTTACGGAGTCCGTATGGATTCAAAACCATGTCAGGCTTCTGCGATGGCTTGGGAGGGCGTACGATTTCTCACATTTGCCCCGGTCTGCTGTTCTTCTTTGGTCTTGGGCGATTTGGTCCCCGAGGCGAGTGTCAGGTGTGAGGTAGAAGAAAAAAGACTTGATGAAATGCATAGACGCAATGATTCTACTTGGTTTTCCCATATGTAGCCGTAGTGTACAGCCCGTAGTGTTTTCTGTACTTTAATACGGGAGTGTATCGCTAGGTAATGGGAATTGACGGTTTCAAGGGAGAGAAGAGGGGTATAACATGCAAATTAGTCTATCTAATCGCCACGCAAATGCCATAACTATATGTACACGCCAAAGCGAAAAAGAAAATAGGGTAAATGTAATACAAATATAGAAAATCCCAATGTTTTGATGTCAATTCACTCAGCCCATCACATCGAAGCTCGTTCCACAACCACAGTTACTGGTTGCTCGTGGATTATCCACAATCGTAAATTGGCTTCCAATCAACTCTGTCGTGTAGTCTACTGTACTGCCAGACAAAAGCTCCAGTGAAGGCTCGTCCATAACGACCTTAGCTTCTCCGGCTGCATCCGCTGGTGCGCCCTCAGCGTCTTCTCCCTCAAAGACAGTGTCTTCCTCGGCGTCAATCTTGGACGCTGACTCGAGCGACATCATGTACTGGAAGCCATGGCAGCCACCACTAGTGACTGTGATGCGCAGGTGGTGGTAGGGGTTCTCTTCTTTTGTGGCTGAGGGAGAAGAGGATGGATTGGTGATATCGCGAAGACGCTAAAGTAAAGTCAGTTTATGGAAATAATGGGGAAAAAAAGAAAGAAACAAAAAGAGAAGAAAAGCAAAACAGAAAGATTTTTAAGAACAAAAGGAAAAACATACAACAGTTAGGATTCGCATGTGGTCACCCACCATACTACTAACTAACCGGCGTGTGGCTTAAGTACGGCTGAGCGGACGGGAAGCCCTGTTCTCCACACCCTATGGTCGTATGTACAAGGATCATCATCAAACTGGCTTAAGCCGAGCCTCGACTTTCCTTGTACTCATAATCAATTGGAATGAAGCAGCTTCCCATCCCATCAAAACAACAAAAAACAAGAGTTGAAAGAGACTAGTGTGAACCTACCTCAACAGCACGAGGAGAAATATTAATCATGAGCGTCTCCCCATCATCTCCAGCCCTCGGATTCTGAGTGACCTTGGTGGCTGACCGAACGGACGAAGACGAAAACGAGGCAACAGGCGCCTGTAAACGAGAGCAGGCAATCAAGGAGCGTGGAATTGAGGGTCTGGATAGGGATGCAGAGGCGACAACTGTTTTCCGGTGAGGTGCGATTTCGCCGACGGAGAATGCGGAGAGGCGTGTAGCGGGCCGAGAGGTTGAAAGGAACCGACGGCACGTTTGCTGGGATAACTGGCGGGCGGGTGTGGATGAACGCAAATATCGAGTCATATTGGAGACGTGTATTGTGCGTTGTTCTTCACTCAGGGCGTAGGCAGAGAAAGGTGGAGGTTTAGTTATGATTTAATCGCATCGTTCCATCTAACTAATTATCTCGGGTTTGTCAGATCGGCAGTGGCGCGATTGGTCAGCGAGGGCGGAGGGTGGTGGCAGAATCTTTTGTTGGGATGACTGGATCGCGGGGTGCATGTGCTTGCCTTCAACTAGGTAGTGTAGTGCCTGTGGACCTATATGCCACCTGGAGTGGGGAAATTGGATCGATGTGTTATGCAAAGAACACTAGGTACTGATCTTCAAAGGAAGAATTGTAGTATGTAACCCGAAATTTTCCAAGGAATATATATTTACTATGGATATATCCGAACTGGTAGTGCCCCTTGACTACTTATCCTGGTTTATCTCACTTAAATATCAGCTGGCAAAGCGGGGCTCTCAATTGCCTATGAGGATTGCACCAGCCTTGCAAGTAGGATTCTTATTGGAGGTACAGAGGCCGTCGTTGAAGACATATCCAATATAGCAGATAGGCTTCGTGTGGAACACACTTCTCGCCATCGCGAGAGCTTCCAAGAGGGCAAATTGGTATGCCTAGGACACAGGTTTGAACATCAAACCCCGTACCTGTTGGACAACACTTGACATGTCCAGAGGAGTGATCGATGGTGGGCACTATGTCGTCAACTTTCAAGTGTATATTGACGGTGAGGGGTTTGGCCATTCTGCTAGGCCTGAGAGAGAGACAATGCAAAGAAAAAGGCCAAGGCCCTATGAGTCTTTACCATGCTATTTCTCGTTGTCCTTCAAATGAGTGGACTTGGTTGCTTGCTTCACACTTTACAGTGCTGTCAACACGGAGGGTTATATAGTAACTTCATTTTCGACTAAATAATGAGTCAATAATTACAAAAAAAAAACAAATATTGACATCAAATCCAACGAAAGGAGAATAGAGAGTTGGTTACGTGACAGGAATCAGTGGCTTTGTCGATTTAACCCATTTTGTGATGGCATTGCATCGCCCATGGCAAATCTCAGAACATACCACATGTATGAGTTGAAGCAATGGTATCGGACGGTTCTTGGGCGGTTTCATTCACAACGATCAATCATCAAGTCAGCTCTCACGATTGGAGACATCATCTGCAACTACGTGTTTTATTGTATTGGTCAAATGCATCAAGGATAGGGAAAATCAAAAGAGCGTCAGCAACTTGCAGAGTAAAATGAATGGACTGCGTTGGCTAGTGATTTTCTACATTGAATGGCCAGAAAGTATAGTTGATTGGCATCAGAATGACAGGAAACAAGAGCCGCCTGAGCTGAAGTTGCACGTGTTTGGTCGATGCCACGCTATCTGTGGAGTTGCCTGATTTGTGGAGCTGTGGTTGTTACACGATGCCCCGTATCATGCAGCTTCCCGGCTGATCGCGGGGCCGCTTCGCCCAAAGATGCATGAGACTTGTCTTTGCGGAGTAAAAGGTCCGCAGGATGCGGGCCGACGCGCGAGAGAACCGCGGCTGCATGCTCATTTTGGACTTGCCTTGAGAACAATGCCAGCAGGTACAACCGTGGTGGCGTATTGGCCGGTGTTGGCGGCGCCGTGAACCTGGTCTGCAAGGGATCTAGCGTCATACCCGTAAGGAAGACCCTCTCTGGTACTGATATCCAAACTTGTCAAGCTCTAACACTCATCAGAACTTCCTGTCAACGGTCGGTACCATGTCTCTTCACTCTTGAATCAAAGACCCGGTAATGAGATCCGCTTTTTCCCGCGATTGGGGCTGCTCATTAGGTCTTGGAAATTTCACCGTTCAAGATGGCATTGATCGGATCGTGGCCTCGATTCAGGTTTTTGCGAACTTTGTCTGATTTTCCCTGGACTAATTTGTGATTTTAGGGGCTCTTTCGGGATTCTGGATGAATACAGTCTGTAATCGTCTATCATCGTCTGTCTTGTTTCATCATATCATGAGGACATAGTAACTTATTGAGTAAGCTTATGAGATTTAATTGGGGCAGAGATCATGGGTGTTTCAGAGTCAAAATCAGTGGATGCACAGATATCTAACCATCCGTAGCATTCTCATTCCAACCTCTTATCATGCTTCATAGTACATAGATGCCAAATCGGGAAGGTGGTGAAAGAGCGGGAGTTGATGGCAGAATATTCAATCAGCCAAGTGAATCGCGGGGTGCTATCTTTCCAGCGCTGTAGTTTATTACTTCTTGTCCATTCCATATTCAGCAAGATAGACCAACCTTGGAAGGCGGCTCCCCGTGAAACTCAACCCTATCTCCCACCATGGGCTCGCGGCAGCATCTTCGTGATATGACATCAGGCCCCCCACTTCCATATCAGGATGATATCAGAGCCTATAAGAAAGAATATGCCGAGGCTCTCGATGCCCAGGATCCTCTTCACAAATTTCGGGACGAATTTATCATTCCATCCAAGAAGGACTTGAAGCGAACCACTCTAGCAGTGGATGAAGGTAGGTAGTGTGGCAATGACTTGGCTTACCTGCGATGGATATTGACCTATTTACATAGATGTCAATGAAGCTGCAGACCCCAGATGTATCTACTTCTGCGGCAACTCTCTTGGTGTTCAACCTCATAGCACCCGGAGATACATTGAACAGTATCTACGAACCTGGGCCACAAAGGGCGTGACAGGTCATTTTGTCCCTCATGACGACGAACTTATTCCTCCATTTGTTGACGTCGACACCGCGGCGTCAAAGTTAATGGCTCCGGTTGTGGGAGCTTCGCAAAGTGAGGTAGCAGTCATGGGAACCCTGACTGCCAATCTTCATCTTCTCATGGCCAGCTTCTACCGTCCCACTCAGGGAAAGTATAAGATCATTTTGGAAGGCAAGGCATTTCCCAGTGACCATGTATGTTGTCTAATATCAATGATCGTCTGTGACTGTCTATGTATAAACTCTAACATGAAACATAGTACGCAATCGAGTCGCAAATCTTGCACCACAATCTTGACCCAAAAGATGCAATGGTCCTGATTGAGCCCAAGGACCTTGATCACCCCACCTTGACAACAGAGCAGATTCTTCAGGTGATTGATGAAAATGCCTCTAATACGGCATTAGTCCTGCTCTCTGCAGTTCAATTTTACACTGGTCAATATTTTGATATTGAGCGCATCACAGCACATGCCCAATCAATGGGCATTTTAGTTGGCTGGGACTGTGCCCATGCCGCTGGAAATGTGGATTTGCGCTTACATGACTGGAATGTGGATTTTGCAGCGTGGTGCACTTACAAGTACATGAACAGTGGACCCGGCGGAATGGCAGGGCTATTTGTTCATGAACGCCACGGCCATGTAGATGAACAGCAGGACGGCGAGGAGGGATACCGTCCCCGCTTTTCAGGCTGGTGGGGTCACGATAGCAAGACCCGCTTCAAGATGGTGAACAGTATGTTTTGCTTCTGAAGGATATGACCTTGGAGATGTAAATGCTAATTAACTTAGAATTCCTTCCTCAGCCCGGTGCCGCAGGCTTCCAACTTTCGAACCCCTCCGTGCTGGATATTAATGCCGTCATTGCGTCTCTTGAAATTTTCAACCGCACGACGATGAAGGAAATTCGTCAGAAGTCGTTGAACCTCACGGGCTATCTCGAACATCTACTAATCAAATATCCACTTGATTCTCCGCCCGAAGAGAAGCCATTTACCCTCATTACACCATCGAATCCAGCCGAAAGAGGTGCTCAGCTCAGCTTGCGGCTCCAGCCCGGACTGTTAGACCATGTTCTTCATCACTTGGAAGAGAATGGAGTCGTTGTCGATGAACGAAAACCTGATGTGGTTCGGGTAGCGCCTGCGCCATTGTATAACACCTATGCGGAGGTGTGGGAGTTTTGCCAAATCTTTTTGCAGGCGTGCCGAGAGGCTATCAAGGTTCGGCAATGATACCCAGGTGTATATGTATGATACGAATCTGTGGGTATGTATGTATTAAATGGGAAAGATGAGCTACTTGGATACTTGAAATCCTATTGGAGATTCGAATACATCAATGATTTCAAAAAGGCCGAGATATGAGCAAACGAACCATTGAAAAGGATCGGGACTCAGGCATCTGAAGTATCTGGTATATGGGTTCCGGTTTCGGTAGGAAGGCACGGACCTAAGGGTCCGGACTTAAGCCGGCGCTGATAGGCGTTCTAAAGTAGAAGCTTCGGGTACTCGGCATTTGGAGCCCCACAATTGGTTGGAACTTAAATGATTTTTTGAGGTTAGGATCTAATCCCATGCCGGATAGTCATGCCAGCATAACCAAGGTTCCCTTCATCAAATATTTCCCTGGGATACTTACTTCTTCGCGTCTCACGGACATGGAGAAATCTACTACGGTTGACTTAGAAACCTCGCAAGACCATGGAGATAACACCGAGGACAACACTGGCGACTATTCCGTCTTTACACAGAACCAGAAGCGGTTTATCGTGTTTATAGCCTCCTGGGCGGGGTTTTTCTCCCCGGTCTCTTCACAGATCTACTTCCCTGCGTTGAATACTCTTGCGCAGGATCTTCATGTGTCCAATTCACTTATTAATCTCACTTTAACGAGTTATATGGTTTGTTCCTCCAAACCTCCAGGATTCTGCAAAAAAAAAAAAAGTTGAGTCTCGGCGATGAAGCTAACATGCCGAGCACAGATTTTCCAAGGCCTATCGCCGATGTTCATCGGAGATTTTGCCGATAAGGCCGGGAGACGACCGGCTTACATTGTCTGCTTTACGCTCTACATTGCTGCTAATATTGGCTTGGCCTTGCAGAACAACTATGCTGCTCTTTTTGTCCTTCGGTGTTTACAGAGTGCAGGAAGTAGCACAACTATTGCTCTCTCCTCTGGCGTTGTTTCTGATGTCGCGACTGTGGCCGAGCGAGGCTCATACATGGGCTTTGTCACAGCAGGCTCCCTATTAGGTCCCTCAGTTGGTCCGGTCATCGGAGGTCTACTAGCTCAGTATCTCGGATGGAGAGCGATCTTTTGGTTCCTCACCATTTTCGCAGGTGCTTTCCTTGTCCCATTCCTAATCTTCTTTCCCGAGACTGCTCGTGGCATTGTCGGTGATGGGTCTATACCGCCGCAGAAATGGAACATGTCTCTGATCAGCTATCTCAAGACCCGCAAAGCTAGGGCAGAAGGAATTGAGTCCCCAGCCAGTACGAAACAGCAGAAGCTGAGTTTCCCAAATCCCTTCAAAACACTCGCCATCGTGTTCCAGAAGGACACCAGCATCATTTTGGCATCCAACGCGATTCTGTTTGCGGGGTTTTACGATGTCAGTGCCACTATTCCCTCGATCTACAAAGAACTTTACGGGCTGGACGACCTCCAGATCGGCCTGTGCTATATTCCCTTCGGCCTTGGGGCTACCATCGCATCTATCCTGAACGGCAAATTCCTGGACTTCAACTATCGCAGACTGGCAAAACAACTGAACTTCCCATTGGTCAAGAACCGCTTCGTAGACCTGCGCAATTTCCCCATCGAAAAGGCGCGTCTTCAGATTGCATTTCCTCTCCTAACGATTGGCAGCCTGAGTATCGTGGCCTTTGGATGGTGCTTGAATTATGGTGTTCATCTCGCTGCTCCGACCACCATTCTATTCGTGATGGGGCTTTCTCTAACGGGGTCTTTCAATACTGTTAGCACCCTCCTAGTGGATCTATATCCGACACAGGCTGCCAAGGCGACTGCTGCTAATAACTTTGTCCGGTGTTTGCTTGGAGCTGGTGCTACGGCCGTTGTGGATCTCATGTTGTCATCCATGGGCCGTGGCTGGTGCTTTACTTTTGTTGCCCTTGTGATGCTATGTACATCACCATTGCTTCTGATTGTGATCTGGCAAGGACCGAAATGGCGCGAGGAGCGTCGTTTGAGAGAAGACTCTAAACAAGCTGGTCAGTCTGCCGCATGAGAGATTGGAGATGTCAAAACCGGCTGAGTTTTAATGCGCATATTATTGCCTGTTACCGCATGATTGTCAACGCCGTTACGACCAAAATATTTGCATAATCATATGGATACCCCTTTGCAGTTTTCAGTTCATAATATACACGCTTATTCAAGGGCCTGAATCGTGATGAAATCAACTCCTGTTGCCAATTTGCCATATTCTGCAAGCACTCTATACTAATGCGAGTATCACCTAAAAGCAAAATAAGCCTGCTCCAAAGGCTGCCGTTCCGATTCCCATGCAAGCCAATCCGATCTTGTTGTCCTAAAAAACTGTCAGTATCAATATTAGAGATCTTTGCGGTGAAGACATACGGCAACAGTCCCATGGCATTGACCTTCCAGATTCCCAATGCCAATAAACCCAACTGCATAAGAATATAAACAGCCTTCACTCCGTACAGACGTCCATGCGTAGTTGGAGTGTCGAACTTGGCAAACATGACATTAGTGTTGATGAGACCCTGGATAGGGCCCTTGAACAACATGAAGACCATCATAATGCTGAAAATCTGAAGGCTGTTTCCGGACATGTACATCATGATCGCGTTCATGGGAATCTGCTTGGATGGGGCGATGGCGATCTCCCACGCTTTCTTGAGCTTCAGAGCGTCGGTCTCTTCGGGTTTCTTCTCGGTCGGTTGCTTCTGCTGCTGCTTCTGCTGGTAAATTGTTAGAATATCACTAAAAAGGCCCCACAGAGGTTTGTTCTCAGGTTGAGTGTGCTCTCACCTGTTTACCTCCCCGGGTGCTGGAGAAGCCTGGTGGATCCTGAATGCTGGTGGCAGCTTTGGTGGGACGTGGCATGGGGGAGTTCAGCGCGACCACCCATTGCGGCGGGGGCGGAGGAGGAAGAGGCGAGGACATAATGTGATATGAGGCGTGATGGTGTCGCAGATAGGATGTGGTGGAGGTCGAAAAGTGGGAAAGGATGACGGGGCGAAGGGTTCCCTCCGCAGCTCCCACTCCACTCCGCCTTGAATCTCAGATTCTCCTTTCTCTCCTGAACTCACCTTTCCACCCAAACTTCGATTCTACAGTTTACAGCTACCTTCCGCCCGGGTCTCTATGCTTGATCATGTCCAATCGATGATTTCCGCTGTCTCCGAATCCCCTGAACCCACCGTGGCGCAGTGAAAAAGCCGCGCCCTTTTCTCGAGGCTTACATCCTACGCCTACGAACTACACCTTCATCTCGATCTACTCTCTCCAGACTCGCCCCAAATCGAACCCTGAACTATATTTTACCTCCCATATCTAATATTGTTTGCCTTTCGACTATTGTCAACTCAATCTCGCATGTGATTGATTGGACCGACGCTAGAACCAAACCTACAAAGAAGGAACCGCCACAGAATCCCCTGCGATTCGCCCACGCCGCAGCCATGAGTTCTGGGGGAGATGCGAAACTATTCGCTAGGGTATGTACCCTCTCTTATCGTCTGATCCTCCATCAAAAGTCCTAAAATGACTTTCCCCTCTTCCCCGCACATCACACACCTTGCACCTTAAATGCGATGACCCTTGCGGTTTATACCGCTTGGCTTTTGCGATCTGCCTTTTTACATTGAAATTCCCCACCCGCGAGTCCGCCATGTTTATCGGGTTCGCCCCGTATCCTCCAGGATATAGCTCACGCTTTTCGCGCAATCCACAGGGCAAGGTCGCCGAGCTGCGAACTGAGCTTCAAAGCGGAGGCAAGAAGGACAAGAACTACTCCGCCAAGAAGATCGCCCTCAAGAAGATTGTGGCCAACATGACTATGAGCAACAACGATATGGTTGCGCTGTTCCCCGACGTGATCGAGTGCATGAACCTACCGAGTTTGGAGATCAAGAAGATGTATGTTGGAATCGAGCGACCTTGTGGCCACTCGGAAGCTTATTGCTGACCTATGCTTCAGGTGCTTTTTGTTCTTGGTGAACTACTCAAGAATGAAACCGGAGGCTGCGTTGAAGGCGCTGCCCACTTTGGTCGAGGTATGGCGTCCACCTGTGAGAGTAATGGAACTCGAAAGATGGCTGATCAGCTCTATAGGACATGGGAGATAACAATCCTCTTGTACGAGCGCTTGCTCTGCGAACCATTTCCTATGTCCATGTGCGCGAATTTGTCGAAGCGACCTTCCAACCACTCAAGCGCCTCATGCAGGACAACGACCCTTATGTCCGCAAGACAGCCGCTTTCTGTGTTGCCAAGCTGTACGAACATGACAAGAAGATGGTTGAGAACTCAGATTTGATTGATCGCTTGAACCGCATGCTCAAGGATGAGAACCCAACCGTTGTCTCCAGTGTGCTGGCTTCTTTGGTGGATATTTGGGGTCGCAGCGAATCGATATCTCTGACTATCGACTACACCAGTGCTTCAAAGCTGGTTTCGATCCTAGCGGACTGCTCCGAGTATGACTTGTCTTTTACTACTAATCCCTAAATGCGCGCTAACATTTGTCTAGATGGGGTCAAACCTATATCCTTGAAGCCTTGATGTCATATGTGCCCCAGGACACTGCTGAGGCACTCCTACTGGCAGAGCGAATTGCCCCACGGCTATCTCACTCAAATTCTGCGGTCGTTCTTACGTCCTGTCGAGTACTTCTTTATCTAATGAACTATATTTCCGACGAAAAGCATATCACCTCATTAAGCAAGAAAATGTCACCGCCCCTCGTTACTCTCCTCGCCAAGCCTCCGGAGGTTCAATACCTGGCCCTGCGCAATGCCATTCTGATTCTCCAGAAGAGGCCGGAAGTTCTCCGCAATGATATTCGCGTTTTCTTCTGCAACTATAACGACCCAATCTATGTCAAAGTGACCAAGTTAGAGCTGATGTTCATGTTGACCACGAAAGATAACATATCTGTGGTCCTGGCAGAGCTTCGAGAGTAAGTCATGTCTCTGACTCTGTCCTTCATTTGTACTAATCATAGACCAGATATGCCACTGAAATTGACGTGCATTTCGTGCGTAAAGCAGTTCGTGCCATTGGAAAGCTTGCAATCAAAATCGAGTCAGCCGCACGGCAATGTATCGAAACATTGCTAGAACTGGTCGACGCCAAAATTCCTTACATTGTCCAGGAAGCCACCGTTGTGATCCGCAACATCTTTCGGAAATATCCCAACCAGTACGAGGGCATCATCGGCCACGTGATTAGCAACATTGACGACCTTGATGAGCCCGAAGCCAAAGCAGCCGTCATCTGGATCATTGGCCAGTATGCAGACCGAATTGAGAACTCCGACGGCCTTCTCCAGGACTACCTGGCTACCTTCCACGACGAAACGGTCGAAGTGCAGCTGGCTCTGCTCACGGCCACAGTAAAGCTCTTCATCCAACGACCGACCAAGGGCCAACAGCTCGTACCCCAAGTTCTGAAATGGTGTACTGAGGAAACCGATGACCCTGACCTTCGAGACCGTGGCTACATGTACTGGCGTCTCTTATCCACCGACCCAGCAACAGCCAAGCAAGTAGTCATGGGCCAAAAGCCACCCATCACAGCTGAAAGCGAGAAGCTCGACCCCCGCACCTTGGAAGAGCTTTGTCTCAACGTGGGCACTTTGGCAACCGTCTACCTCAAGCCAATTCACCAGGTTTTCCGCGCTGCACGACCCCGCCGACTGCAACCCAGTCCGGCTCTCCAAAGGCCGCGCGTCGAAGACGGTACAGCTAACATGCTCGAATACAACCCGCCAACCGCGAATCTTGCCCCCACCTCCACGAGTAACAGTGGTCTAGCCACTATCATTACAACGGGTAACCCCATCAGCCCTGTCAACGCTCCTCCCCCTCCTACATTCCCCGTCAGTGCGAACCCGGTTCCGGGCGGTCTGAGTCCCAACTCTGCTGCTATCAACGCGGCAGACTCCTACTTCAATAATATCGGTTCTCAGCAAATGGCATCTATGAACCTAGGTGGCCGAGACGATGGCGATGTAGGCGGTGGTGGTGCCCAGACACAATATGTTGTGACGCAGAACTCGCAGCAGGTGTATCAGCCACAACTGGCTGGTGGTGCGGCTACGGGTGAGTTGTTGTTGCTATAATCTCTTGAGTGTGGATGTGTGCTAGGACTGGAACTATGTTGTAATTGTAGATAGCATATCATGTCATGCCTGCTAGGATGATAAGCATAGGGAGTGTATGGTTACTTAATCTTTATTATTCTTGTTTATTTGGTTTGATACTTGGATTGACAATACATTGGTTTTTGGTGGCCGGGCTTCCCTCCGAATGAATGTACGTATAAAGTAGTAAAAGGTAAAACCTAGCACTACTAGGGTTCAAATTTGGATATCGTCGCTAAGATAAAGATAACTAAATACATGAATAAACCGAGGTATCATAGAGGGCTTGCAATGATTCACGACGGGGGCTAGAGATAGAGCAGAGTCTGATAATACATTTTAATCACTCTTCATCCATCTTCGACAAACCACCACGACTGCGACGGATTCGCTCGTCGAGACTATCCTCCTGCACACGCTTGTGTACTTGCGACATGAATGCACCACGGTCAGATCGCTGTCGATCATCGGCTTCCCTCTGCGTCTCTTCCTTCTTGTCGATATCGGCGATACGCTGTTGCCGGTCTGATTCCAGCTCGGTGGCATTGGATTGCATCTCTGCTAGCTTGCGAGCACGCTCCTCCTCAAGGGCTTTGGGATCAGGTTTGGGCTGTGCAGGACGAGGCGGTCGGCCAAAGTTCTCACGCCTGGTATTGAAGTTGTCGTTGCGTCGAGGATAGTCCCGACGGCTATCTTGATCATGGGAGCGGCCATTGCGATCTTGGGTCGGGCGTGGCGAAGGGCTGCGTCGACGGGGAGAGGCGCGTCGAGGAGACCGGGCACGGTCGGTATCGTTGTCGGGCTTACGGCCACGATCTCGTCTGTCGTCTCGGTCATTGGGGCGGCTGGGGTATGAATCTCTTCTCTCTCGGTACTCGCGGCGACCTTGATCACGGTCTCGGTCCCGGTCATCACGGCGAGATCGCCCATCGTCGCCTCGACGATCCCGATTCTCACCACGGGTTCGCTCATGATCTCTATCGTCTCTCCGATCCCGGTCGTCACGATCCCTCTCGCTGCGGTGTCTGCGTGAAGATCTTTCTCCCTCAGCAGGCGATCTGGACCGACGCCGATGTGAAGAACGATGAGACGGACGTCTTGGATCATCCTCCACCTCACCGCTATACCGTTTGCGATTCGAATCATGGTCCCGATGTCTCCGCTCCCTCCCATGGTCGCGGTTCCGATCCCCACCTCGCCTCTCCTCTCTCTCCTTCCGCTTCATGGTCTCTTTGACCATGGCCTCATACGCCGCCTGCTCTCTCTTCTTAACCTCGAATAGCGGGTCGGCCATCACCTTCGCCATGGTGTCACGCGCCGAGCCAATAGATGGCCCCGCAACCGCAGCTGCATTTGCACCGACAAGATCTGCGCCCTTCTCCAATTTTTTGTTATCGGTGTCCTTCTTCAGCAAAATGCCATCGATCCGTCGCTTTCCGAGCAAATAACCTTCCATCTCTTCGGAATACTGGCCCGTTGCGCTCGAGGGTGCCTGGTACATCCAATCAACGCGATTCTGGGTCTTCTGCTTGCCGGATGCTTCTTGGAGGCGCTGTAGCTCTTGAATCTGGCGCTCTTCTTCACGTTCGCGGCGGAGTTGGTCGATCCGCTTGCGCTCCTCGAGCGCTTTCTGTTCTTCCGACCATACGCGCTCTTGGTTGCGCAGCAGCGATGGGTGCCATGACCTGGAGATTTGTTAGTGGATATCTCGATTTTGCGGGAAATGCTGTATGCCTTGTCGGAAAACAAAGAATTTGCAGGTTCAAGTAACTTACTTCTTCAGATTCAGATCACCACCCATGTTTGCAGCGATAGGAGAAAGTTTTGTGGAAATAGAAGATGCAGGACAAAAGTCGAGAGATGCTGCCCGACACGATAGACATGGAAGTCGCGTTCGTTGCCTAGGGCATCCACGCGGAAACTTATCATGTGATTGGTGCCCTACTCACAAGGCTGCATACCTTTACTTCTAAGGTGACTACTAGTCTACATAATCGTGCTCTACAAAAATGTCTCGAATAGAAGATTGGTTACATTGCAAATAGGTACAGGCAAAGAAAAATAGGGGAAGGGCATACAGAGCAGAAACAACATCTGCCTGGACGAGAGAAAAAGAGTGCACGCTCGCTCAATTCTCCAAAAAGAAAAAGACAACCATCCCGCCTGTTACTCATTAACACATAAGCGGAATGGCCGAGAAAGGTCAATAAACAAGATGGAAACAAAGTAAGAGGGGAAGAGAGAATATCGACCTAAACTCATACACGAACCCACCCGATCTACAAAAGAAAAAAAAACTCGTTTCATTGAAGGGATGCTTGGGACACAGTGGAGCGTATTACTTGCTCATTTGTTGTTTTCCCAGCCAACCCAGCTGCGTGGCATAACTCGCCAGACCTTGCACTCACCACTGCGCATGTCATTGAGCTTGAAGCTCTCCATCTTCACCTTTTTGCTCTCGCGCCCTTGCTCCCAGGCCCGGATCTTCTTCTTGGTACCATCCCAATCCACAACGATGCCAACGTGGTCAGGCTTTCCAACTTCAGAGTTGTATTTCTGGTGCATAGTGCCACGATGGCCTTGGAATCGAGCATTGCGGAAGCTCACAATATCACCAGCGCGGATCTCGTCATTCTGTGAGACCGACGCATTTGCCAAGTTTGAATAAACCAAAGCACCGTACGCCCGGGTGCCAACGGGTAGCAATGCATCGGCCAGAGGGTTCAGGAGATGCTGAACCAGACCGAAAGGAGTACCATCTCCTACAGTAGAATTTTGATAGGAGTTAATGGACTCGGAGATCCTGATACCAATCTGGTTGTGTGCCTGTTCCAACTGGTCCTGACGGGGCTGAAGCGGGGGCGGCTCATGGCGTTGCTCCAGGGAGACATCTGCAGGGTTCCTGGGATCAAACTGAGCTGCTATAACGGTCTGGGAGTAGTCCATGAAGAGGATATAAATGTCCTTGGAGACAGTGGTCTTACCACCGCGCTTTGAGGAGGAGGACTCTTCAACCTCAAAGAGTATATCCTTTCGATTTTGGATAGATGGCGGCGGGGTGTTCGGCTGTGTCCACCAGAGGGTGTTTTCCGCATAATCAATGTCAGTGGCAATGAAGCCCTGGTCAGTGGAAGGGCGGGAAACATCCATGGAACGCCGGATATTGGACGGGCCTCTTGCCATGTCCATAGAAGGGCGCGTGCTGCGCGTTGCAGAAGGGGACGGCATAGCTGGGACCTGGGATGGGGGAGGCAGTGGGGCTAGAGATGCACGCTTTTGAGACATTGGTACAGGTGGCGCCTCATTTGTAGGGCTTTGTACAGGAGATGTATCATACAAATCATCAAAGCTCTCTCTCACTGGCTGTTGCGGAGGAAGAGGAGGCGGTACCTCTGGGCGACCACTGGGAGGAACCGGGGGTGTAGGCAAACCATGCCGAGGTTCAACATAGTTGAAAGGGTCATATTCGTCGTCCCCACCGTATGGTGGCTCTCTGCCAGGTGGGGGCGGAGGTGGTCCTCGAGGTGTATCCATAGAGGCTCTAGCATTGCGAGGAGGCTGGCTTGGGGGCAGAGGCGGGACTCCTCTTGGAGCGGCGGTTGGAGGAAGGGGTGGAGGAGGACGAGACTCCGGAGGGCTGCGAGGGGATTGAAGAGAATACTCATCAGTCATCATGCCCTCGTCAAAGCTAGAGTCACGCTCATGGGCTCTCAGTGCATCCTTGTGCTTGACACCGGACGCAATGTCAGTATCGTAGTCGCCATCGTATTCCGTCACTTCTCCTTCAACATCTTCTCCAGCTTGGCGGGGGGCGGAAATGGCACTGCCGCGACTATCCGCAGTGGATCGTCGACGTGGCTGGCTTGGAGGAGGTGGAGGTGGGGCACGGCTTTGCGCTGGTGGCATGGGTGGGTTTGATGGAACGGGAGGAGGGGGCCGACTAGCTCTCTTTTCGGCAGTTGACGTCTGGGGCAAGGGAGGTGGTATGTCATAGGTTGAGGAGCGACGAGAACCAGTGTTTTCAGAGATTGCAGGAGCAGGTACAGGCGGGGGAACGCCTGCGACAGATTCCAAGGACAGGTTGTTTGCATGAATAGATAACTCATCGTCGGATTCATTACCGGCATCAATGCCAGGTGGTCTGAACGAAGAAGGGAGAGTTCGGGCTAAAGATTATTGGTTAGATTGTTTTTCAAGTCACAAAGGCGGCATTCACTAAAATGAGAACCTACCTCCGGGCACTGGGGGCGGGGAGGCCATCTGCTCCGTAGGCACAGGTGGTGGAATGGGTCGAGACTCCAAAGGTGGAGGAGGAGCAGCTCGTTCTGACAAAAGATTAGATCTTTCTTCCACAGACTATCCGAAGGAAGAATCACTCACCACGGTTAGGGACAGGAGGACGTTCCGTAGAGGAACGCGGGGGAGCACCTTCATGGACAACATCTTCGACGTCTGGCACCTCTTGCGGGGTATGTTGCTCTTTGATAGGAGTCGCCAAATTTTCCTCTTCTTCCTTCTCAACACCAGCAGGCGGGCCTGGTCTAGTACCGATGTTCATTCCAGGAAGCGGAATCATTGGAACTGGAGGAGCATGGCCAGGGGACGTCGGTTCAGGCTCAGCAAGCCTCTTCTCTGACTCGCCAGGAGTCTTGGGCTTGCGAGGGGCAGGAGCACCCATGCCGGGCATGCCACCTGGGGGACCGAAAAGGCCCATCATACCCATACCACCACTCATCTTGGCCATTCGATTACGAAGCTCCATTCTGCGTTTGGTTTCGGGGTCCATTTCTTCCTCTTCCCCCTCCTCTTCTTCGTCAGCATCCTCTGACACATCCTTCTGCTCAGTAGTGTGGGCGGGCGGAACTGGAGCTTGACGTGGGCGCTCCTCATCATCTTCTCTGCTGGTAGAGGTCTCTCCAGCATCCTCGGAGTCTGCTGCGGCAGAGTAGTCGGCATCATTCGATTCGCTGGCGATCTCTTCATGAGGTGAGAACGGAGGGGGCATGGTGGGAGGAGCTTTGGTTCTCAAAGTATCAACACTGGGGTCTCGTGGAGCTGTCGGAGCTTCAATAGGAGAAGCCACCTGTTCTTCGTCCTCATCGTCTTCGGCTGCCAGTGCGGCAGTTTCCACTGGCTGCTCAATAGGCTGCTCGACAGTCTTCTTCGGAGGCTTCGGCTTCTCTTTCTTTTGAGCAGCCTCGGCATGGCGCTGAGCTTGTTCAAGCTGCTGCTTTTGAAGAAGAGCTATCCGGTCCTTCAGGCTGGTGGGCTTTGGCTGGTCCTCTGCGCCTTCCTCGGCATCCTGTGCCGCCGCTGCCGGCGGGGGTGGTGGTGGTGGTGGCCGGCTTTCAGAAACAGGCGGTTCCCGAGCAAGCTGTTCCTTAACCTCCGGGTCCTCCTCTCTCTTGTAAATTTTTGCAGCAGGTTCTCGCGGTGGAGCCACGAAGGAGTCCTTGCTTGGGGGCGGAGCAACGAACTGCTTCTTGACAAAGGAGGACGGCTGCTGACCACCAGGCTTGATAGGAGCAATTGGTGCGGCAGCGGATCTATTGAATGCAGCAATTCGATCTTTAAATGAGTTCCCTGCAGGCTTCTCTCCCACGGCCGGTGGTGGGGGCTTTGTAGATGCCTTCGCTGGAGGCGGGGCGGGGGCAGCAGCAGCAGCAACGGGGGCAACGGGAGCGGGGGCCGGTGTAGGCTGAGGGGGTGAGGATGGAACCTCCACGACCGGAGTGGGGGGGGTTTGGAGGCAAGACTTGGGCTTGGGGAGCATCAGCTTGTTGGAAGCCTGTTTCGGGTTCCTCCTGTTCCTCCTCGGGTTGCGCCGTTACCTCGGGTTCTGGCTGGACTGGGCTCTCAGGCACAGCCACGGGAGCTTCCACCGGCGCAGGTTCAGGCTCCTTCTTTGGTCTGGTAGGACGGGCTGGTCGCGGGGGTGCCGGAGGTTCATATCGCTCGACGAAGTTCTTGGGGAAGATACCCTCTTGCTTGGCTCCCGAGCTGTCTGTGTATTCGCCATTGTACCACTCGGCATCCTCCTCGGAGGTGACGGTTACGATCTGACCGATTGGGAAGCTAAGGTCGTCATCGTGGCCCGAAGCATACTCGAAGACCGCTCGAACCGTAAAAGGCGGGTTGGACATCTGGCAAAACGACCTCGTTCACGGGGACGGAAGAGGTAAAGAGAACGCTAAACAACAGGTGTGTAAGGGCAACCGGACGAGAACTATACAGGGCCGAGCACCAGCTCAAGTACGTGCAGCATGCAGTGGTTGTTTGACTTCGTGGGGGAAACAGTTTTTTTTGCGCCTACAGGCTGAAGAGTCGGTCAGCGTGGGACACAACGGGTGCCTAGTAGGTCGGAGATGAGGGGGTTGGAGGAGATGACGAGGGGGCCGTTTGGAAAGGGGAACTCACACAGTCAAATAGTATCGATCACCCTTAGCAGAATTAAGGATTGAGAGCGATGCACAGGGATGATCGAGTGCAAAAAAAGGACACAGTTGGGGACAGAGGGGGAAGTGGAAGGAAGGGAAGGTGAGGTGGTCGTCACTTGGCGGGATGAGGGAACAGAGGCTCCACTGACGATCGGCGGCTAACAAGCAAGCAACTGAACCAGGGTACACACATCTGGTATAAGCAGTTGTTCAAGAAATGGCAGATTATGATCAGTCCTTGGGCATCTTCGACTCTCGTCTAGTAAATATACATTTAGGAGGGTAAGCTCATATAGCTTCTATGAAGTCATGCAGCCTTCCAATCACGCAGTAGGTATACGTATGTGCACTTCTGATAAAGAAAACAATCAAATTCTTTGTCATAGATTTAGATAGATCTATCTATACCCAAGCTAAGCCCCGCTGCAGCCCAATGTGCGAGTGAAGTGTCGTGACTCTTATTGGCGACATCATCGCCTCGCAAATCCCGGGGTTTCATTGCTGGTTCCCGTTGCTCCGTTTTTTTGGGACCGAAGACCCGCGAACCATAATTTCCTTCCTCTTGCTCTGTACTTCTACCTTCTTCAAATCTCGCCCATAAAGCACCGATTTAGCTGAATATTGAGCTCAACTCATTCAAAATCATGGCACCCTCACAAGGCCCCCCCAAATCTATTTTAAAAACCTCCCTTCCCTCTGCATACGCCGCCGTCAACGCCGAACAACCAGCGCCACACCACCCGTCCTTGTCACAGGAAGAACAAGATAGATACCTTCAGGGCCGACCTGGCGCAAATGCACGTCACTTGGATATTGCACTGCAACATGCGCAGCAGATCCAGGCCCAGAAAGATGCCGAAGAAATGATTCTAGACCGTACAGTCGAGCTTCTCGCCATCCCCGCCTCCTCCTCCGCGGACCCGGCTTCCCCCTCACCAGACGAGGCGCGGACTTTCAAATCTGCACTGGTCTCATTCCGACCGACCGATTACGATAATTATATTGTGGAGCGAAACTACGAGGATCTGTGTGGTTATGGGCTTTGTCCTCGAAAGAATCGCAAGGAGGCATCGAACGCCCGGGGTCAGACCTTCCACTTTAAATATGGCGCCAAGGGAAGCGGACCCGGTGGTCGTGGCCGCAGCATGGATATTGTACCTCGAGAGAAATTGGAAAAGTGGTGCTCGGACGAGTGTGCAGAGCGGGCACTCTTTATCCGTGTGCAACTGGCAGAAGAGCCTGTTTGGGAGAGGCGTGCCAGTGATACTCGAAGCATGAGAATTCTTTTGTTGGAAGAAGCTCGTGCGAAGCGCCAGAAGCAGCCTAAGCCCGAAAGCTCATCCGCTGCGGCAGTCACTGCTGAGATGGAGAACTTGAAGATTCATGACCCCGATCGCTCACGCGAGCTTGCTCTGGAGCGTGGCGACAATACCGTCATTAATCGTGATGGTCGGGTGGACATTCAGATCAACGAAAAAGAACTTGGGTCTGGGCCTTCTGCTAGCGCACCGCAGTGGCGGCCAGAGGACGCTTTGGGAGGATCCATCGAAGGACATGTTCCCCAGGAACTAGGAAGCAAGCGCTCGACTCAAGACGAGGGAGATCTGCTTGATCAAATTTGAAGGCAGAGGCCATGGCATCATTTGGCGTTTTCGAGCGGTTTACAGATAATACCCTGTGGAGGCATATCATAGCATACGGGAACATGAAAAGTCTACGAAATGACCAACTATAACTTGATCTTCGGCTGCACGACGACCAGCATGACACCAGTATCTGAGCATAGCCTTGACCAATGGTCTGGGCCTTCCGAATCAGAGATCCAGGAACCCCTACGTAGTTCCAACCAGGGGACAGATGTCCACGCAGGTCTAAACACGAGAAAAAAGTTTTGGCAATCAAGCGTCATCCCCAAAGGGGAATCGGCGACACCTTTGTCATAGGGAATCATTTTTTCATTCCTCATCCATAGATAGCCTCCATTATCATGCTATAACCATGATAGCCGGGAAAAAAGCCAACCAGAACAAGTATCGGGTAACGCCGGGGTGTCGACCGAAGACAAGCACTTTTGGATATTATCGAGGGTGCTGAATTTAGCGGGGACCGAAGCGGCGGGGGCGCTCAGCGTTCTGCTGCTGGGAGACGGTGACGACGTTGACCTTGAGGTTGTCGAACTGTGGGGGCATCAGGTTAGATAAAACTTCCCCAATATATGAGCAGTGTCGGGGTTAACTTACGCCGAGGTTCTTGAGCAGGTCCTTGGTCTCAGCGTCGACGTCGAGCTGGCCAGACTCGGTCTGGGAGACGTCGAGGGCGGAAACCTCAGGGACGTACTGGTCCTTGCGCTCACGCTCCTCCTCCTGGAGCTTGAAGGAGATACCGCGGACGGGGCCACGCTGGATACGCTTCATCAAGTGGGTGGTGTAACCAGCGATCTTGTTGCGGAGACGCTTGGAGGCAATGATGGCTGCGAATTCGTTAGCTCACAGATACAATGCAATATTCGCGATGGAGAAAAAACTAACCGATCTCATCGCAGATGCGCTTGTTGGTCTCGAAGTCGAGAGTCAACTTGGGGTAGTAGCGCTCGATGATGACCTTGGCGGACCGCTTAACGGTCTTAGTACGGACGCGACCCATTTTGGCGAATTGTTGGCTGGAAGGATGTTCGAAGAGGAAACTCGAAGTATCACCAATTTGGATAAGAGTTGGCGGTTGCTCTCGCTTAGTCTTTTGTGGATCACAGCCCTAGCCCAGCCCTAGATCACGTGTGGGACATCTTGTCTTGTTATGTAATACAAACCATGGCTTCTTGCCTCAGGCACTAATATCGGCACCTACAGTCTGTTTGCTAGATATCCTAAATTAAACTCTTCTTCCTAGTTCTAGTGTATGATTAGTAATGAAAGACCTGCTATGAAGACCTGAAAGTCGCTCTACCGTGCATTTTGCCATTAAAAAGGTCATACTGCTCTTCCTGAGTACTATTATTGCCTCAGGCCACAAGGTGATGGTAGTAACCTTTCTATCACACTATGTACTTATCTAGGGGGCTTGTCTTGTACAAATACTAGCTTTGGGGACAAAGCTAACCGTTTCAGCAGCTGCTCCCATAAGTGACACTGTCATCGATGGATTGCATATACTACATTTTTCTCCGCAGAGGGAGCGATGTGGACCAATCCGGTAAGGATCACCTCGGACCCATCTCTTAAATTGTGGGTCCTCATGCATTGGTGGAGTACTTTCATGGCCAAACCGCAAGCCTTCAACCTTCAAATTATACTGCATCTCTGATTTGCTGACTGAAGACTACCTCAGACTCCGCAAGCTCTCACGGATGATGCAGAAATCACCCAGTCTTTTATCTAACACCAGATGATTTCTATATCTTACTCCGCGACCATAGAGACGTTGTGTTAGGACTGAGAGGCATCGAACTCACAAGAAAGTGCCTTTGTGGGAAATGAACATGGCAATTTATCCATTTGTCTTGCTATACGGAGCTGGCAAACAATTCCTCATCAATATTAAACACTTGCATGCCGCAAAATGAGTCAAGGCTATCTTCACTCAGTACTCACTGACATATGGATCATGAAGCGAATTCTTCGTGCTTCAGTGACAGCCTTTTTTCATATAGCACGTCCCAAGAACTTGTGGTACCTCAGAATTGTCCAAGCGACAGAAGCACGACGACCTGATGGGAACATCTGCTACTGCAAGAGCCAACTTAACCGACTGCTCGATCACAGCCGCCTCTTCCATCCTTCCCAGGCGTGTCAGGCACTCATGATACCCCTTGAGTGACCACACATTGTTAGGGTGCCGACGGGGACGAATTATGGAATTGTCCAAACCCAGGTCCGCACGATATGTCTTCGCCGCTTCTTCTAGATGGCCCTGTTCCATCAGCAAAGCAGCATATGCGTGCCGTACAGGCTGCATCCACGACCAAGGCTCGCTATAGGGCAGTTCGTCTTCGAGATTGATTGCACGGCGGAAGGCAGCAAAGGCGATGTTGTAGCTAGCGCAGCGGTATTGAATCTCTCCCTCCAGCATGGCTGCGGCTACCTTGAGCACATCGACCATTTTGCCGTTATACGCGCGCCGAGACTGGGGTACTCGTGACCACGCTTCATGGAAGTTATCTTGTTCTTTCATTGCTGCGTCCACGTCTCCTAGGGCGGCGAGTGCTATTCCTCTGGCATAATGGGTTATGGCGGTGGTGCTTGAATATAGTACCCTATCGTGAGGTAGCTCTTTGGCCTTGAGTTCCTTCCACATACCAAATCGCACCATTACATGGATGCCAACAGACATAAATTGCTCTAACCAGTCAGCCATCGGTGGTGACTTAATTCGAAGGACTTCTTCGGGAATTGTTGACTCCATGCGAGTGACCGCATTGAGGGCAGTCTTCGATTTGCCGGCAAACATAGCCGCATAGATCAAAGAATGATAATTGTGCATGCGGTAGAAAGTATAGAAATTTTTCGCGCCTGATCTTTTGAAATATTTCTCGTCCACGAGGGTTGCTTTGGAGTTTGAGGCGATTGAGCGCCGCCAATCTCCGATCAGGATATCTAGGTGTGTAGGCATATGGTTGACGTGTCCAGCTTCGGGAACAAGCTCACGCAGATGGTCGGCTACGTTGATGCCCAGCTCTGGAGTGGGTGACATCTCAATGAAGTGTATATACAGGTGAAGAAGTCCAGGATTCAGATATGCACCGTCCTGCTCCTGTGCCAGCGCTTGTTCTAGCACAGCTTTTACCTCTATGGTCGGGGCCTTCGGATTTGGTTTGCCTGTGAATAGATCCCACAAGGCCCAAGGGGCCATGTTCATCAACGAATCGGCATATAGAGTCGCAATATTTAGATCATGGCCGAATGCGTCGTACACTGGTTTCATGGCGCTGGCATATGCTTTATTGACGGCGTGGTAATCAGTCGCAGGTCGATCTGTCGGGAAACGCGACTGTATGGCCACTATTAGACCTTGTTCGAATGCATTTGCCCTTGCAGCGAGCTCTTTCGCAGTTCGGGATGCCTTGTAGCCTAGTTTAACGGATGTATGGAGATCATCGTGGTCGAATTTGTGCCATGCCTTGTTGTAGTTTGGTCCAACGGCATAAGCGATGCCCCAGTACGCCATTGCACAAGCAGGGTCATGCGCAGCAGTCTGTTGAAAGCAATAAGCCCCTTCTGCATGGTTGAATGAATATACCCAAACAAGGCCTCGGTTGAACCAAATCTGGGCGTCGACGCTAGTGGTAGTTATAGTAAAGTTAAATGGGCCTAGATTATAGTACTCGTCGTTGGCTGGAACAGGCGCGACAATTTCTTGAGCCATGGTGGAATTCGCTCGAGGTAAAGAGCAGGTTCAAAGTGATTAAACAAATAATTGCCAGAGACTGAGATTGTAGAGTGTTTATGTAGTTGTGGCTTTAATAGGCTCACAAAAATGTATAATTTACGAGGAGATCACGTCACAGAACGATCTAGTCCGCCACTTGTCGTGTCACTTGATCAGACACCGTAATGCAACAAATCAAACGCCGGAAATGGAGACACGAGTTCGGTCACTCAGGTGAGTAAAGAATAACTTTTGAGCTCGGAACCTTGTAGATATTTGGCTCCAGATGTGTTGTGTGGGGTATACCCAGATAATCATTCTTCGAATAAAACAACCAGTTTCGATATATACCATTGAGATAATAAAAAAACATAAGATTGATGCATAGGATTTATATCACATGTTTAAAAAGGATAATGAAAGTAGCTTTACACAAGCACCAGATCTAATCGTACAATTCGCAGTATATTTTCGCTCATCTTCCACTCCGTTTATTGCTTTGAGCTCAAGTTCTGCATGAGGCTGCGGGCAACATCCTCAGTAGCTTGCTTAGGCTGCCGTTGCTTATAATCGCGCGAGGGTCTGAAACGCGCCTGGTTGAGATCTCTGTCCAGCCGAGGGACAAAGCGAGCGTCGCGGCGGGCAGCTGATGAAATGCTGGTAGCACTCTCCTTCTGGAAGTCTTCGATTCCGTACGGCGCCTTTGCAGTGGCACTTGCGCGGTAGGAGTATAGGCCGATACGGCCATTGGAGTCGACAGAGGCTCGGATTGGAGTGACATAGTATTTGGCACCTCCGGGGATGGTTGCGTCGAAGGAAGTCAAACCAGATGGGGTTCCTTGGTCAACGAAGGTCATGGCGTTCAAATCCTCCACGGCAATACCACCAACACCAGCGATGGCCTTGGACGACTGGCCCTTGAAACGGCCCTTGGGTCGCAGGATACGGGCCTGGACTGGACGCTGGTAAGCCTGGGGGCCGTGTTGCGGGTGGTTGTATGTAAGTGCGTGAGATCGGGTGTATGAGAGACCAGCGGAGGGATGTGTCATGGGGGGACCGCTAACGGCGTATTCGGCAGCAGACAGCTGGGTTCCGGGGGATTGGTAGTATTTCTGTCCAATTCGCTCGCTGGGGACAGCAGGGGGCGACGGAAGATCAAGCAGCTCAAATACGGCGGGACCAAGGGCGAAGGGGTCCTCACGCAGAGACTTGATATGTGCCTGGAATTCCTCATCGGTGACCTTGACGGGTGCGAGTCCCTCCAAATCACCTCCGTTGTCCTGTGCTTGTTTCCGGGCCTCCGCAAAGAGCTTGGCCTCCAACCGCTCGCGCAATTTCTGCAGCAGTTCGGGCTTCTGGTTCCGCACTTGCTTCAGGTAGGCCTGGAACTCAGCCTCAGTCTGTCCAACCAACCAAGGTCCAGCGTGTCTGAATTGTTTAGAACCGGGTACCTCACGCCCCTTACTAGTCTCTGTGTTGTCGACATGTGCCTCAAACGGGCTCTGGTGACGAGGAACGATGCTGGTCGCATAATTGACCTTGGAGGGAAGAGACATCGGCATGTGCAACTCTTGGAACTTCTCCAGAGTCATGGTGTGATCGGCCGCGGATTCGAAGTCGGTGACATGTTCGTAAGTATCGAGAGCCTGGATGCGGACAACCGGTCTAGCAGACTTCTCGGAAGTGGACTTGGCCGGAAGTGGACGCTTCAGACCCCAATCGCCTCGAGCGAGCGATTTGGGCGGCGTGACGATGGCGGCTCGGATGGGGTGAGGGAGTGTTGCGGTGTTCGACTCGAATACGGTCCTCGAGGATGGCGGTTCTTGTGGGGTTTGCAAGGCTTGGGGGAGTGCAAACAAACGGGACTTCCGTAGAAGATTCGCCGTAGGCGAAATCCGAGCGGTCGCCATCTTTGCTCAATGCCACGATGCAATGGAGCTGAACGGAGATCGCGAAGAAAAGTTGACCGGCTCACGGGCCATGCGGCACGGCCGACCACAGAGACCTAACGCGCAGCAATCTACATCTCCACATTACTCCGTATCTATTATAGAGCCCGCTCCACCAAAATTTGGGTTGTTTCACCAATTGATGGATTTTCAACAGTGTATAGTATTTTGTCTATTTCCTTCCAGTCTAACTGAATAGATGAGAGACATGAGTTGCCGAAATGTAATCAAGCACCGACTTCCAAGAGAGAGTCAGCTGTGTCCGCGATCGTCTGCTTAAAAGGCCGATAGTTTAGCCCCAAGATTTCCCGGGACTTGCTGTTATCAAATTCGAATATGTTACTAGGGAAATCGTCTGCCTCATCTGGAGAAGGAAGCTTTGCCTCCAGCTTAGGATGTGCCTCGCGAACGGCGTCGACAGCACGCTTATTAGAGAAATACCCAGCCACGACGAAGAATCTTTGGCCACCTGCCTCAGGGACCTCAATTGCCTTGACGTGTGCCAGTGCAACATCACGGACATCCACCCAAAGGAAGGTGCCCGTCGGAGGAATTTTCTCCTTGAATTTCCCTTGAATCATATCCCGCACCCGCTGGTTCGAAGTGTTGATGGCCTCCAGAGAGTTCAAGTAATGAACAATGGGACCGAAGACCAGGGGTGGGTTGATGGTTGCAATGTCAAAGTTGGGCTTCTCCTTTTCAACAAAATCCCATGCTGCTTTCTCAGCAAAGGTCTTGGCAAGGTGATGCGTTAGCTGAACTGTCATCAGTTCTGTTGTGAAGGTTTCAATATCTCACCTTGCTGGCCCGGTAGACTTGTGAATGGTCCATGGCCTCTTCCCATGTTACAGGGTTCCACTCTTTTTCACTATAAACCTTGGGGTGCTTTTTGCTATTCACAATGGCCGCGAATGACGATGTGACCACAACTCGCTTCACGGAGGGGGCGTAGGCCTTGATAGCTTTGAGGATACCGGTAGTTCCCTTGATGGCTGGATCCAAGAAGTCCTTCACAGGATCGTTGATGGTAAAGTGGAAAGGCGATGCCGTGTGGAGAACATAGTCAAATGGCGGGTTTGACTTGACGGCCTGGATTGAACAAATTAGCTTGGAAGGGGTCATTTAGTAACTTTGAAGCCGATTACCTCGTCAAATGCACCATCCTGAGCAACATCTTTGACAATAACATAAGAAAGCTTCTCCTTGGGCGTGTCCGGGTGAGCGTCCAGAATGCGCTTGCCCTTCTCCTCCGATCGAACGGTCACCACAGTATCGAAACTATTTAGTAGATACCATTAGTGAGAACTATGATTTCCTAGCCTTCATTTCATACCCATGATGCAAAAGTATATCAACGATATGAGCGGCGATAAAGCCACTGCCGCCTGTTCGATGGATGTTTAGATAGATCCATAAGGAAGGGGGTCCAAGAAGGAAGTCATACCAGTGAGTAGAACCTTGACCATTGTGACGATATGGATAATAGATTTGGTGGAATTGTATCAATTGAGGATGAGAAGCTTTGGAGGGCCCGGGGAATTGCCCTCGTTTTTATGGTTCTCCATACCCCTCGATCCCGTCATCGATCCCCACCATCGGTCCACTCTATCGGCATCGTCGATTACAAATGAGCATTTGCCTTTCAATCTTGCTGTTCTCTCGCTATTCTCGCCGGGGAGTTAATCAATAAATCCGAGTAACTCCGTTTTTAGTTTAGACTTGTCATTTTCTTAGACACCCCGAGGACGATCGGTCAGCACTAATTCCAAACGCCGGCAAGCTAGCCGTGCGTCTTATCAGAGGCTACAGCTCCAAGCAGGTTTTGTCAGGCTTTGTCTTTCTGGCTCGTTCGCAGACTGTAGGCCAATTACAGCCTTACAGCTTTCAATGCCATGTGGAATCGGGCAGTATGAAGCACCACCCGACCTGTTTGCGGATGACATTCTAAGCCGCGCGATAGGTCACTCTTTTTTGTTTTTGTTTTTTTGTATATAGCCCTTGGAAGATCCTAGGCCAAAGTGTAGCTTCGTTAAATTCAAGGTGCAGGTTCTTGTGAAGTCCCCCGCGTCGTTGCAAGTGAATGTGCTGAATTCGTTCCTAGATTGAACTCCTACGTGTTCCCCGCAATTTATCATCTATCATGCTGTGTACAGTTATGGACACATCTGCCCGAGGCTTTTACATAAAGTCCCACACAATTGTAGGCAGTAGTTACATGCACAAATTGAGATTCCCTCTTAGGGCTGGAGGGGCCATCCATGGATTTCTACATAATCCCTACTTCAGGTACTAAGAAGGGATAGTCGTTACCTAAATGGTCGACAGTGGTTTGATCGAAAGTAACCTTAGGAGGAAAGGATGAAACTTAATTGATGCAAGACGCTTCCAAAACAGCTTCATACCCCCTCGAGGATATTTCATCTACCTTCAAGCAATCGTTTCAAGGTTGGTGAAGAAGAGTTGAAGCTAAGAGTTGAACGTCAGGTGGTTAGAAGTGGTCTGTGCGCCGGCCGGCCTTCGACCTGAGCCTCACACATGACCTTCTCTCACCATTAATGCGTCTTGCGCCTCTGCTTTTCCCACTAGGTTGGCTTCCAATGTCCACCTTGGGGTGCAGCTCGCAAACATGGCGCAAGCTGGCCCGATCACCGACGTAACTCAGAGGCTCTTCGTGGAGCTGAAGTCGAAGAACGAGGAGACCCGAGCCCGAGCTGCCTACGAGCTCTATGACAACGTCTTATCAGTCTCACGAGGTACGACTCTCACTTGCCCTCTGATAAGTTAACTCTGGACGCGGCTGACCCCCTTTTCATTATAGACTGGCCTTCCGAGAAGTTTGTTGAATTTTACAATGCTGTTAGCCAAAGAATTGCCCAACTGGTGGTAACGGGGAGCGACGCAAATGAGAGAATCGGTGGACTCCTCGCCCTTGACCGACTCATCGATTTCGACGGTGTGGATGCCGCCCAAAAGACTACCCGTTTTGCCAGCTACCTACGGAGTGCCCTTCGAAGCAATGATAGCGTGGTATTGGTGTACGCCGCCCGA